AGGGAACTCCTAGCCGTTGTTTTTTTCCTACGTCAGTTCCGACCGTACCTGTACGGCCGTTCCTTTATCGTACGTACGGATCATGCGGCCTTGCAATATGCCCTTAAAGTGGATCAACCTTCCGGCCAGCTGTCGCGTTGGTTGGACACGCTACAGGAATTTTCATTTCAAATTCACCATCGCAAAGGGGTGCGCCATGCGAACGCAGACGCACTTTCCAGATTGCCGCAGCGCTCCCCTTGCAAATGTGCGTCGGGGACGCATAGATGTACGCCCAGCCTATCCCCCCCTTAGCCGCTGGTGTTGGCTGTTGAGGAGTCGGATGCTCCTGTGGAACCGGGGCCGACTGATGGGGTTTTGAATCTGCCACGGTCTGTTTGGATACGGGAGCAGATGATGGATGAGTCGTTAGTGTCCTTGCGGAAGCGATCTAAAGTGGAGATTGGGGGTCCGGTTACGGAGGGTGCGCCGGAAACCGCGATCCGAGATGGTCTGCTCATGTGGAGGGAAGGTCTCCAGGAGCGCTGGCATCTGGTGGTGCCTGCGTCCCTGCGATACGAGTTGATTAGAACTCTCCATTGCGACACGCTATTACATCTGGGTGTGCAGAAGACCTTGTTGACGTTGCAACGTCATTATTTTTGGCATGGCATGGCGACGGATGTCGTGGGGCACGTCCGCGCGTGCCCTGATTGTGCCCGACGTAAGCCACCTAAACATCCTTATGTGCCGCCTTTACAGTCAATTCAGGTGTCTCGGGTTAATGAATTGGTGGCACTGGACATTTTGGGACCTTTCCCACCATCGGCGAGGGGTAATAAATATTTGCTGGTCGGGGTTGAGTACCTCTCCCGTTGGCCGTTGCCCGACCAATCGGCCTTGGCCATTACCAACGCCTTTTTGTTCGGATACGTTATGGACAAGGGTGCGCCGGAGAGACTCCTCACGGACCAGGGCCGAAATTTCTCTTCTAAATTGTTGGCGGAAGTGTGTGCGGGCCTAGGGACTAAGAAGGTCCGGACATCCCCATACCATCCGCAAACCATACCATCCGCAAACGGATGGTATGGTTGAGCGGCTAAACCGGACATTGTCTGCCATGCTGTGCCATACGGTGAGTGAACAACAATCGGATTGGGACCTGCACATCCCGGGGGTGCTTTCGGCGTACAGGATGACTCCTCATGCGGCTACAGGTTATTCGCCGTTTTACCTTATGTATGGTCGGGAAAACGTGCCGCCGATGGATGTGCAGCTGGGAACCGGTGTGAAGGGACCTTGTAAACCGCTCCCTGACTACATTCGGGACACTGTTCGCCGGGTCTCGGAGGCGCGGGAGAGTGCCCGTGTGGCTACGGCCAAAGCCCAGGCCCGGAACGAGCGGTATGCGCGGCGTCTAAAGGGGGAATGCCCCTGGAAGGTTGGGGACCTGGCCTGGCTCCATTGCCCGCAGGTGCGGCCGGGTACCTCTCCCAAATTTCACAAACCTTGGCAAGGGCCCGTCCGCCTCATTGAGGTTCCTAACCCTCAGTCGGCGCGTGTTCAGATTGGTTCTCGCCGCTGGTTTGTTCACACGTCGCGCTTGAAACCGTATGTTGCTCCCCTACATGATGCTTCATCTCCCAATGTTGCCTTGCCGGGGTCTGTTGCTGCCGACTCTCCCCCGCCTGCGTCCATTGATCTTGCTAGAGCGCCTGTCATACCTGTTCCAGGCAGGCCGTCCTTGACACCAGAGGGGACGAGGCGCCCTGCTCGGAGGGTGCCTGCCAGATCTGCGGGAACTTCGAGCCCTGCAGCCCTTCCGACCCCGCTGCAGACACATCCGCGGGACACGCCCGAGACTGATCCTTCAGGGACACGGGACGTTGGTGGACTTCCAACAGCGACAGGGGGATTTCACCCTGTCACTCCTCAAACTCCATCACGTTCCCGTTCCGCGGGTGGGCCGCCGACCGTCCGGGACGGGCCGGCGACCCGCACACGTTCTAAATCCCTTGTGTTTCGTTGATTGTTACGTTGCATTATTGCTCTTACTGTGTATTTATTGCCTGCTTCTGCTACGTTACTTGATTATTATGTTGTGTTGATTGTTCATACTGTTATATTGCATGCTTGGTGTTCTTTGGTGTGCAAGGGTCGGTTTCGCCCGCATTACTGTTGGTGTTGTTCAGCCGAGGTCGGCTGGGTTTTTCTCCACGGGGGAGGGTGGTGTAATGCGGGCGCGGGCGACCTTCCGGATGTGACGTCACGGAGAGGTGGAGTTAGGTGACGTGGGAGCAAGGTTAAGGTTTTTAAGGGATGAGACCGGAAGAGGAGGGGAGAGAGTGAGAGACTGGACAAGAGTAAGGCCACGTTGGGCGAAGCCAGGAAGAGTGGCACGGGCGGCCAGCGGTGGCCAGCTAAGGGAGCAGCCAGCGGAGCTGCGAGAGAAGACAGCAGTGGGGCTGCTGGAGAGAAGGCGGTTGAGGAGCTGCAGTGAACACAGTCGGCGAGGCTGTGTGTGGGAGAGGCTACGAGAGCGACGAGAGGAGAGAGAGGCTACGAGAGCAACGAGAGGAGAAACTGCAGGAGAGCAGCCAGTGGGGGGCTGCGTGAGGGTAACAGCCAGCAAGGCTACGAGAACAACGGGAGACCAAACAGAGGAGCTGTTGGCGTGACGGGGTTAACAGCAGTATCAGTATCGGTATGGAAGCCTTATAGAAGGACAGCCGTGTGGGTTACGAGGAAGAACCGAATAAAGGACACCAAGCCAGACTTCGTGGTCGAATCCTTTATTACATATGCAACACAATTACTTCAGTTCACACAAATCAAAAAATGTGGTGATATAAAATCATCTTAGCAATCGTGTACAGATATACTGGATGTGTGACAGTGCAAATCAAATACATGACAAATTTACATCCATTTTCAGTCTTGCTACATGAATCTGGGCTGTAAACTATGCAAGGCGCTGTCCAACCAAGTTCCTACCTGCCCACTCCGAAGGAACGTGTTGAAACGGAACAAACTTTTCCGTTTAAGATTGGGTCATTAACACAAGTTTGGGAAGCATTTCAAATACCGTTGTTCGACGAAGAACCTCCACACCCAGTTGGCAAATATCCCTTGGAGACTGAGCAAATACATCGGTGGTTTTATTCTTCGTCTGGAGAGATTTGTTACCTATGAAACATAAACTCTTTAAATATTTACGCGACCTTCGAGTAATGTTATCACCCGAAATTTGTTTTCTTCGAAACTATTATCGAGGTGTCAAGACATCCGGTGGTTGAATGTGCACCTACCGTCGCTTGCCCATTTAGAAAATTGTGGCTGATATTGCCGACATACAAATTTAGTCCAAAACTGGGATATTCATCAGTTGATTAGCACTGGCCCAAAATGACAAGTGGCCATCAACATACATGATTCTTTAAGTTATCAAATACGACGGAGGTTCCCGACACATCCATGAAGTTTTAACCTAGTTTCATTCGTCACAAAATACCATCAAACTCCCAGGTGCGTTCATTAACTAAGTGTCATCAATCACCCATTCACTGCTCAATTACAGCCAGAGCAGCAGAAGCATCTATATCCTCGATTACACTACCATTGTACCACCTTGCCTGTGATGAAAAGGGGTTGAAACACATTTCTGCGGAGGGAGCTGGTAGGAACGTTGGGTTGCTCGGTCAATGGCCAGGGTCATCGGCGGCATGGTGTATTCCGCAAATATGGCCGACTGAGGGCGGGCACAAGCCGGCGTGAGTAGGTTAAACGTTGAGTTTTATAAGGGCACCATGGAGTGACCAGCCCCTCCCCACCCAGCCCCACCCTCCCCACCCAGCCCCACCCCTCCCAGCCTCACCCTGCACGACGGATACAATAATCCCCTGTGGGAAGGTGTAACCAGGTTCATACCAGTAATTAGACCAAGTAGCATCAGCAAACAAGTCGCGATTCATAAGAAATGTCAATGCAGCTGCTGATTGCAGGTGCTGTAATTGTGTAGCGTCGGAAATACATTGCACACGCCGCCCTATGTATACTCACCTGTAGTTGCGGGCACGGGTCTGTAGGGGGTGTCACCCTGAGACAGAGAGAGAGGGCCGGACCGTTGAGAGGCCGAGTTCCCCCCCCCCCGACCTCAGGTGAGGGGTTGGGGGGTTATTTCAGAGCCCCCTGGAAGGTTCCAGAAAGGGGGCGGTACCGGGGGCGAAGAGTCCCCGAGGTGGGTATAAAAGACGGACCTCAGGACTGCTGGAGGCAGTGATCTGAAGACGAAGACTGAAGACCAGCTTAGGTTAGGACGCTGGGAACCCGGGACCCGACCTCCTTTTAAGGGCCGGGGCCGAGCGCGGGCCAGTGGTCGAGACCCGCACCTTGGCTGGGTCGTGTCAGCAAAGCCTCCCCTAGGTCACCCTTAGCCGGAGGAATCAGAGCCCGTAGTCCCAGTGAGAGGGCACGTCAGACCGGAGGCCATACCTCCCCAGGTAGCGGGGATAAAGGGGCCTTGTGTTACAATATTTCAATAAACAGTGTTGCCTCTAAGCTACATCTCCGGTCTCCGTGGGAACCCACTACTATTGAATAACAAGCATGAGACTCAATGGAATCTTATTGGATCTTAAAGGAAGTAAATTTAATTGATTTGCAAGTGTTATCTACATCAACGAGGCTGTGTAGAATGTAGCTTTTGTTAAATTTTGCTAAATAATTGTTGTAAATTACATTTAAATAAGAACAGGAACCTATGGAGGCCAATTTCAACACAAAGTTGATTTTTCAAAGCAAGTAAACATTACAGTTCATGCTAAGAACAATTCCCATATTGTACCAGGTGTTCAACTGGCTTCATTGTTTCCCGCACCTCCTATGAGCAGTTGGCTACATACGGTGCAAAAATTCAACCTATATGAGAAATTTAAATGTTGCAACAGGATTCCCACATGTCCTCTTCCTATGCTCGTTGTGAATACTAGTCACTAAAACACATATAAAATTACCCTCAAAGATAAAGAAAACATTAATTTATTATTAAAACATTTGTATTCATTGGAGGCAATTGTCAATTTCTGATTTAAAAAAACGGCACCACAACTTACACCACCATCAACTCCACATAAATAGCACCACAAATATGGCATTTACCTGAATTATTTACAAAGAACCTATCTATGCAACACAATTACTTCAGTTCACACAAATCAAAAAATGTGGTGATAAAATCATCTTAGCAATCGTGTACAGATATACTGGATGTGTGACAGTGCAAATACATGACAAATTTACATCCATTTTCAGTCTTGCTACATGAATCTGGGCTGTAAACTATGCAAGGCAGCACCATACTTGATAGCCTTGATTGGCACACTTGCAGATTGATGGTAAAAATATTGAGACACGTTTTCATGAATAACCATTTTTACAGGGAGATTTTGAAATAATCACAGGATTGCAAAGAATTATGACGGCAACAAAATGATGTGGTCTACATAACTACTATTAACATTGCTCTGCATTATATTCGGTTATCAAACAAACCAGGTTGAAAATGCAGTAATTTAAACAAGTTAGGTGGCAAATTGGGTTCCCCGTATTTTACTATATTTTACTGGCTTTGCTCATTTTTATGTGAAATTTTATGCAATTTTAGTTTTAATACCAATCGACTATCTTTTGTAGAACTAACACATACACCACAAACATGTTATTTAGTCATGGTGACAACCTACAACATTAACTCTGCATATAGAGCATTGCAGTGAAAGATGTTTGGCCTTTGAGTGTGAGCATAGGGGTCATATTACTCCAACAGCCAGGTAGCCCCAGGACACACTACCATTAATGCAATGCAGTATCAACAGCAGATGGAGTGCTCGATATTTCATGCTCCAGCTATAGGGAAGGAACTGCCTGCCAGATTGACCTCATCGTTTGAATGAACCCACACCACTACAGCCATTGCAAAGCATTAGGTGTGGTGACAACACAACCCAGGAGAGAGGCTAAAGAGGTGAAGAGGCACTGCTTAAAAGTAGAATGCAGTGCCCAGGGTAAAACAATGAACACCTTGCCTTTTGGTATGTTTTAGCTCTCACATTCACAATTATCCATGTATAATGCATTATTTTCTTATTCTTTCTAAAACCACACTTTTTATGATGAGGAGCCAATGTTATCTGCCTGTCATTTGATAGGGTATCTGAATACACGACACATATGGGTATGTTTTTGTGTGCTTAGGAAAGGTAAATCTCATGTGCAGCTTTTGATAAGCTTTTTTGCAACGCTGCCATGAATCCTTTGGTAAAACCCCATCCATTTAAACAATTTTCTCCACGTGGCATTCAATATGCCCGTCTTCATTCGGCCTTGCTGTTTTTAGTCTCGGCTACCAGTCAAGGGATTGGAGGACAAGTTGGTAAAAGTAGGTCAAGATGTGGCACGTGGTACAAACACCAAGGGATGGTAGGAGTAGAAGAAGTGCACCATCCAGGGAGCTCATCTGCGCAAGACAGGCAGGCCATAGAGGATGGGAGCTGCCCCAATGAGGAACTTGAGGCGTGGCGCCTGGCGTGCATGGACCATGTGCTCGCTGATGGAAGCTCCAGGTGGTGCACTCAGCCACGTGCGCAGCAGTGCCTCCATGTAGCGGTCAATGTCGCGGTCCGTGACATCCCACAGGTTCCCCAGAATACAAGGACTGCACACAGACGAAGGGGTATGAGGTGGCATGCAAAGTATGTTTTTAAAACTGTTTACATTAACAGCATGGCTGCTTAAGCAGGTAATTGGTTATCACTCGTGCTAATGGTAACCTTCAACAAGTCATGGAAATTCCAGATTACTATCGTGGAGGTGAGCCTCTCCATAATGCGACTTGACTTCCCACGAACTGGCACTTAATATATCGACCTCTGATAAATAACACACTATTTTATGTTGCTCCATAAAATGCAAGTGTGCACAGTGGCACAGTAATTAGTGCACTGAGCTACAATCTTGGCCATCTGGGCTTGATTCCCAGTTATGAACATCAGTGGAAATTAGTGTGTGAACCTGTACTAGGCCTGCCATAGTTAAAGTCAGCCCTATATTGGCACCGAGTACAGTGTCAGCATCAGCACTGGGGACACAAATTTGTCTGGGAAAGTTGCTGGCCACTGCCACTGCCATCATGTGCTTGTTGCCCTTATTAGATGTGTATTATTATGAACACTTGCTCCAATAGTCTGTAAGGCTACAGGGAAGAGTATATTTTCCATGTCACGTGCCCTCACCAGCCGGCCATGATGTAGTTGAGGGCAATGCCCGAGGCCTCTAGGGTGCCCCGCATCGCCAGAGCTCCGCTGCTGCAACCGAAGAGTAGTGACACAGCACGGCAGTCGAGCCGCGGAATCGCGTGTGGCTTGAAGATCTGGGCTCCCGCCCCATGTCCTGCGTAACTGCACACGTGGGACGAGATGCACATTTGTAATGTGGAATTGTGATGTGGCCTGTCAATCTTACAGCTACACTCTGCTGTACTTTTGAACTTCGCACAAGGAAGGTGTGTTCCCAAAAAACATTTAATTGAAGTCAAATGGAAAGAAAAAAAACCTTCGACTTCATACTCATTACAAAGGCCTTATGCTCACTACCATAAATTCACTTCAACTAAATATTGCACTTACCATGCAATGCTGTTTCTAAAGAATTACCTCTTGACTGAATTTTACTAAAGTTTCAGGGCAAAGTTCAATTTCAAATATAATCCAACCCTAACTCATACTGAATGACCCCGACATGTTTGAGCATTTAAGCACTGCATTGTGGGCATATTTTTGGGGGAAATGATTTGCTTTGATCATAATCCGAGAAACAAAACAGTCTCGCAAAGTATCCTGCTGCTGAATGCACAAACACATGTACATTACACTGTCACGCATTTCATTACAAAGTGTCAGTGTATTGTGTGCAGTGTAGCATTGCAAGTTATTATACAAGGCTTTGGATAATTCTTACATGTACAGGTCCTTCTTGGTAAGAACTTCCTGGAGCTTCTCTGCTGTTGGGACCTTTCCTATCACACCCTCCCAGTCCTTTTCACTGCAGACCCATGAAATTCAAGTTTCGAGGGAGAGAACGGGACAAACAACAAATCATCATCAATATCATGACTGGTTACAGACAATGGCAACACACAAGTTGAAAAGTTATAAAAGCCTAATACAATACAGAAAGCATACGTGTAATTTTTCATCACATTAAACACTATAATGAAAAAGTAAATACATATTTTATTTTAAAAGTGACAGCTTCAAAATATGCACTAAACTAAACTCAAATTAACAACGAACCTTTCAAACCAGTCCCGGAAAGTGCTCTCCGTGCTGGACAAATTGGCTTGTGGATTGAGCAGGTAGAATGTGTTCCGCACGTCCACTTTGGCATTAAAAACATTACTCTTCACGTACTGGGATAAAGACATAAAAACAAAATATATGTTAACACATTGGAGTTTGTAAGCTGCTATATTGATTACGTTTATTAATGTACAAATAGTGATATCAGCGCTCGGGGGGGGGGGGGGGGGCATGTGACACCTTGGTGGTGAGCGCAGAAGCGAGGAGGAAGGCCAAAGAGGGCATGCGTGTGACGCTGCTCGCTCGCAGTAGGGGAATGTTCTCCCAAGGCAGCTTCTGCAGGTTCTGTGGACATATGTGCGTGCGTACAGATAAGCTTGTGCACCACAAACACACAACACTCAGACATTTATGCATGCGTAAAACACACAAATATATTAAATTGTGCACCGTAATGCACCTGTTCTGTGCTCATTATTGCAGCTGTTATTAGAAAGCATAGTAGTTTTTCCTGCACTGAAATTGAAAAAACCGTCGGAATTTTTTTAAATAAATACCATTTTGTTTTTTTCTGTATTCTCTTTTTATTAATATTGGGCAGACAATTATTTTCCTAACTGTATCCAAATATCACTGCGAGAGACAAGCTGAAACACTGGCTGTGCTACCTGGATCTCAAGATGACCCACCCACACCGAACACAGGGTGGGGGGTAAGGTTACTGGAGAACGTGAAGCACACCAATTATGCGTGGTTTCGTATGTACACCAAACTCACACCAGTCAGGATCATTGGAGACTGGTAGTACTGACTACAGGATAGCAAGTGGCCATTTGATATATGCAATAACATTTTAATTGTTAATTTAACAAGATCTGGCTATTAGTGTGATGGGGTTAAAGCCGCATTATTGAATTCACAAAGGATTGCTGTGACACCACGGGGAGGAAACAAATTTAGTTGTTTCCTCAACCTCAAATGGGCACTGGAGTGCTCATCTCTGTTAATGGGCCCAAGATAGTGATGGAATTTTATATTCATTTGGTAAGTGCCAGTCACTCCAAAAGACAATAATGCTCAACATCGCTCATTTTGTCTGCCTCGAATTAATAAAGGTTCAAAGTTGTCCATGAATGTGAAATAAGCACTATTGTCACCTAGGTTATCTAGAATCCACAGGAATATACAACTTAAGGTCTTCTACCTTTCGGGAAATTATAAATCGGTCACCTATGTTATTGGGGAGGTGATTACTTGTGCCTTGTTAAGCGTAATGATACTATTAATTTTCATGTGTTCTTGATAAATTCAGTCGGCGGTGCCGAGATGAGAATGTTCAACTCACGATTGGAAGGTTACAAATTCAAACCTGAGTTGGGGGTCAACACGGATCAATATTTATGTGGACACGAGTGGCTACATTCAGTGAGACCGGACTCCAACATGGGAATGTGACATTTCCAACACTGGCTGATAGCCACCTTTGGGGAGCATTGCATATTTTGCGCTCGAAGTACTATTATTTTCAAAAAAATAAAAGCACTACAGTCTACCTGCATCTCTCAAGCCCATATCCATCAGATGACCCAGAAACGTAGATGACAAACTGCTGATGTTGAGATTCAACACCGATTAAAATGGTCTGCGATGTCCTGTATAAGGCAGTCAACTACGAGCAGCAGTTTAATCCCTGTCTGCTGCATCAGTGACAAAACCAGCATGAGTGTGATGCGCAAGGCTGAGTTTCAGTGACCACACAGCCACCTTGTCCAGGATGAGGACGGTGGAGCCTGGATGCTGGGTGGTGCTAGTAGTGGCGGCGGCAGCAGCAATGCGGGTACTGCGGATGCGGGCAACAGCCTCCTGCAGCCTCGGCAGGAAGTGCTCATGGGGACACAGAGCATCGGCAAGTGAACGCAGCTTCTTCTTGCTCAAGCTGTCAGCCCCGGACAAGACCACCTGCACTCACGTGCGCAGTCACGCGACCAAGCAATGCAGAAATGTCATGTCACAATTTGTGCGTTGGCCTTAAAAAGTGACCTTTTTAACTGTTCATTGTTGAACAATGAGATGTCATTAACTATTTGTATTTTTAAATGCTTTGGAAATGCTACTTAACATCAATATTATTGAATGCACTTATTTTGCTGGGCACCAAGATGTTAGAAATTTCAGGGTGCTATAAAAGAGATAAAACCAATCAAGTATGTCCATTTCAGAAAATGCATGTACTTAAGAAAATATCTCTACTCGGACTGAAATTTCCGAAGCATATATTTGAAAAAAATAAACTTTTTTTTGTAAACCATAACCTCTTTAAGAAAGTATCTGCAGTATCAACTGCTTGAAGAATACAAATCAAATGTCTACAAAGTATTGCCATTAAAGTTGAAGGTATTGCTGCCACATAACTAGCCAAATACGAAAATGGCATCAGGTAAGTGGGGCTTAACACGACCTTGGAAACACATTTCATCAATGACTCGTCTCAAACCGACCAACCTGCAGAAGCTCATAGCTGACGGGTGGGCTTTTGTCTGACAGAAGCTGCTTCAGAGCTTCCGCCTCCTCGTGCAACACCTCCGCCAACTGGGAACTGGGCATCACTGGTGGCAGCAGCAGCCCCTTCCAGCAGCCGAGTACCTGCTCCTCCAGTGCCGTCAACAGCCGCTGTGCGCGCGCACACACACACCGCAATCCTCACTCATGGTGTCTACCAGATTTATTTTAAAGTTAAATTGTAAGATCTTAGGGTACCAACCCTGTTCGCATACTCTTCTGCTTCTAGACACACCTTGTTTGCCCTTTTTAACCTTGTTTTATAACTCGGGTCAGTTTGTTGTACTCAACCCGTACATTTTGTTTTCCTTTTATATCCAACTAGTTCATGAAGCCTGTCTTCGTCAGGCAAAAGTTTTCAATAAATATAATTAACCTGATATGATTTTTTTTTATCGACGATTAGACACTAACTACTACAAAAAAAAATTCCGCGAAAAAACACAAATAGTTGACGACTTGATTCAACTTATATTTCAAGAGGTACCCATCGGAAACCGCTCACTGTAAATATTCCGTTCTTTATTATTAGAAAGAACAATAATGAATGAACGTGTCGTGAGTTCAACTGAGTCGCAGACGCACTTCTTGGAGGCAACACATTTATTAAACCAACACACGGGGCACTACCCCTTAACACATTAAAAACCTATGGTGCTGGACCACCAGGCTATCTACACTAATTACACGGGAATTAGCTACGACGGACCGGACCCTGGCCTGGGTCCGGGTCCACGTGTTTTTATCCTGTGCCGCGGCTGGCTCCGCCTTCTGGAATCCTCTAGCAGGTTCCCGGCCCTGACACGTGACCACCCCGAGCCCCCACATGGGGGCCTTGTGTCGACTTTACCGGTCACGTGTCCTTCGGGGTCAACCAGTGCCATGGCCCTGAGTAACCCTATTCCCATGGCCAGCACTCTCACACCCTATCCTGTAGGGGCCGGCACTGCACGCAGAGCGTGGTGCCATCCAGCACTGCCAGTCAGCGCTCACAGAGCCCCTCTGGGGCCGGTACTGCACCCACATATACGTGGTGCCCGCGATGTCAATACATCACACGCCGTGCCTCTCTCGGGCCGGCATTACACAGTGACATCCGCGATGTCACTACAAACGTAATACTCTGAGGGGAAACGCCTTTCTTTTACCATTTTCGAATGATTAAGATTTAAACATCATAAAATTCGTAATTTTTTCACTCATAACCGCTTTAATCCAAAATATCTCAAAACAATAAAATATTGAATGGTTCTCGCTTGAATTTTATTTGCTGTTTAACGCTCTATCAAACTATACAAAATGGCAATCTTATATTTTGAACGGTTTCTGAATGACACAAACATGTTCATGTGGCACTTAAAATCGAGATTTGGGGGTCTTAAAATGAAAAAAACCCCTCAGATTTTCAGATTTATCCTGTTGTTTATGTCCTAAAAGCTACTTATGGACAAAATTTCAGCTTTCTACCTTGTTGGGAAGTACCCTAGAGGTTTTTGAGACAGATTAAGGTCTATATATAAATTATTCTTCAGCTGCTCCTGTAATACCAATTTTTAGACGGTTCCATGTCTTTTTGAAGAATCGTTTTCACAATCTCTCCTATTTCATCTACCCATTGCTCAACCCCAAGAAGTCCAATACGATCTTACTTTCGCTTTGAAATCTCCCATCACTAACAAAAGGTATTGTCTTGAGACTTTGTGTAAATGCTCGCTGCATAGCACTGCAAAACTTCTATCTATTCATTGGAAGTTGCTGCCGATGGTACTATCGTAATATCGTTTTTGCACCATATTTGCTCCTGATCCTTGTCTTCAGCATACAAGATTTTTGGTTAAAGGCTACGAAGGCCTGACTTGCTTTGGGCTGCAACACTAATGCGACTATCTCGGTGCCTATATTCTTGGGTCTTTCAGTAAAATCACGTAGATAGGATCGAAACGTCGTAGTTTTTTGTTACTTTTTGTTATTTTATTTGAACATATATACGTGACTTTACCGAAAGACCCAAGAATATGAATTCCTGCAGTCACAAAAGCTTTAAGTCAAGATTTATCTCGGTGCGTACCAACTTCTCTGCCTGAGGCTAGTACCTGATGATCATCATAAAAAACTACCTTGCCTTCCCATCTAGTTTCACAGAAACCAATAATTTCCAAAATTATATCTTTTCAAGTACGTGCATCATTCCATGTTTCTAATGCTATCTTATCCTTCGAACTGGCTAGATATCCTTCATTTTTTCTGTTTTCCAATAGCACATTGCCTGTTTCAGTCTCGGTTCTCAGTCAAAGAACGGTCCTGTTTGACCGGGCGACGACCGAGCCAGCATGGTTTTATTCGCGGTTTAATTTTCTCATTTGGTTTTACTAGTCTTTTTTTATCCTTCAACACAATCCCCTATACATGCGATTGAATTTTAGCAGCAGGTAAGTACCACTTCATTGCCCCCATTTCCCTCTGTAGGACCAACCTGCATGCGTTCATCCAGCTCATTGCGGTGCTGCCACCACAGCCTTTTCTCCGTCATGTTGCTCACCACTGCCTGCTGCTTCAGAATCGAGTCAAACTCTGCCAGCACCCAGTCCAGCCCTACCTGAAAAGGAGACAGATTGAAGCACCGTAGCAGAAGTATGCCAAGTATGGGAGGGTGATGTATTGAGGGAAACGTTGTGATGTGAACACCAACATTAAAATCAACCAAAAAATAATTAGGCTTACTGAAGCACCACGAGTGTTGTTAAACGAAGGATTAGGGCCAATGAGGGAGCAAGAACGAGCAACTGATTGACTAGTAGGTTAGGGTTAATGTGGAGGTGGTTCATGTGCCACGACCACAAACTGCTCTCCATATCAACATTAGCACTTTTAAGCTTCTTTCGTCAATTTTCATTTCAGGGACAAGATTCCCATCTTGATAAAATGGCCAAACAAAATACCAATAATTTGCCTCAATATTGGTAATGAAGACAGACATTGGCACATTTCCAATGTGATCTCTGATTAAAGTGAGCCTTTATGAGGATGATTAATATGAACTCTCTCCTATTTACAGAACCACTCCACCCCTTACTTGGTCTTTTCCAGGGTGCAAGCGCACGGTGATGGGTCTGGCCCCACGCTCCAGCCGAGTGAGCAGCACCAACTCCCCAACATCACGAATCTTGCGCAGGTCCCAGGGGAAAAGGTTGACGATTGAAAGCGTGCAGACTGCCACTCCTGCACAGAACGAGCATCCATAGTGAGAATTAAGTAGGGCAGACCAGAGCCTACTCGGTATTCAATACAGGAAATATCAATGGAGGGTGCTACGCTGTCCAGCTGCCTGTCTGTGCTGGTTGTCGACCAGATACAGTTAGTCAGCACTGGCACTTGTAAGATATTTTCAATGTTCGCCCTCTAATGCTGTATGAGATGCATATTTCATGAGCTAGGCAGTGATGTAAGTTAATGTCAAAATAAAAAAAATCCTACTTATAATGAAATCTTTAAAATGTATTACTTGAATATTAGATTTCAGAAGCTTTTAAGAGCCATTACGCCTAATAAGCGAAATGCTCCCGAGTCAAAATAAAGTAATCCCAGACTCAATACGCATTGTGTCGATGTACTTTGAAGTATCTACATTTTGTAATTACTCAGATTTTTTTTATATATATTGAATTATAAATCATGGCAGCAAAACAAACACTTGTGTAAACTATGCGCATGTGAGTGGGACATTAAACAATGTTTACTGCCCACGGAACCATATATCAACAATTACTACACCTCAGTCTGCTTATTTTTATTCTATTGAAGTAGAAATTTAGACGATCAATAACGTTGGCATAAAGTTGGTATTTTAGGCACTTTATGTGCAATTAACAGCACAAGTATTTCGATTTTTTTGCTGGGAGACAATGGCGGAGCCAGGATTTCCAGGCAGGGGGGGCAACCCCTCCAGCAATTAAAAATGATAGTTGTTAGTAAGTCAGGACTTGTCCCCTTGCTTTTTATTCGACGCGTGTGCGGTGATGGCGCAGCCATCGATTGAGGGTCGCATTTGAACCGTGTGTGATCGGCATCGCGCTCGCTGAAGGTGAATGCCTTCAGGGAAGTCGTGTACTGTATACGCAACTGCGCACAATTCTGTGAGTCACTTATAACGGCTTTGCCGTTACTTATTGCCAATTATGGACTCAGACTATTGTCCTATCACCTCAGAGTCCCTGGCACGTAATAATATGCTACACAGTGGCAGTGGGGGTCGCAAAATGCCAATTTATTACGAACTAGCGGGAAGTACCCGGCATTGCCTGGGAGAAAAATATATTTAAAAACTGCTCAAAACTTAAAAACATAACATATACAAATGAAAATAAAACTTTGATCATTACCTCATTAATTAAAATAAAACCCAACGCGCGGTGGAAAAAAAACTTAAGCTCGCGCGCCAAGATTCGATTCTTTAAATCGCGCAAAGTAATCGAAGGTTGTAGATTTCTTTAGAATCGGCCTATTCCCGTTTAATCGATACCACAAACGCTCATCTAAAAATATCGATTCTCGCCAGTCCTGTATGCGGGTGGACGCCACACACTTCATGGTCATTCACCCCCCCCCAAAATACAAAAGTCTCTTTTTATACGTTTAACATTGTGTACAGTATGGGAGCTAGCCACATGGCAAATTAAAAGTTTGTAACCTATTTCCCCCCCCCCCAGCCGCGCATTTGTGCGGGATACACGGACTACGCGGAGGGCTGGGGGGGGGATGTGTGACGTCAGCAGGCATACTGCGTAACGCTGCCGCATGCGGGTGACATGACATGTGACGTCACCGCTCACTTACCGTGCAAAATATATGCATTATTGCGCCCCCCCCCCCGCCCTCCACAAAAAAATTACAAAAGTACATTTTTTTTATCATTTTTGCAGTGTACAGTCTGGAAACTACCCACATGGCAAATTTAAAGTTTGTTGCATGTCGGGAAGTATGCTAAACATTTTGAACAGACACATTCACAAATTTCCCTTTTATATATATATAGACTAGCCTTACTACCCGGCTTCGCCATGCCCGGATGCGATGTTGACACACCACACCAGTTACTCGTTTGAGGCTGAGTTGACCTAGGGGAGGCCCAGGACCGGTCCAAATAATCGTCACCGGTGGTGGCCGTGAGCGGGATTCGAACTCAGGTCGGCGGGTTCGTAGCGCAGCGCGCTAACCACTACACTGCGTTACGCTTCCACATGTGCGGGTCACATGACAGATATGACGTCACAGCTCACTTGCCGTGCAAAAAATATATGCAATATTGAAAAAGTGTATTTTTATAATTTTTGCATGGTAGACAGGCTGGAAAGTACCCACATGGAAAATGTCAAGTTTGTTGCATGTCGGGAAGTATGCTAAACATTTTGAACGCACACATAATCACAACTTTGCCTTTTACATACACAGTAAAACCTTGGATTGCGAGTAACTTGGTCTGCGAGTGTTTTGCAAGACGAGCAAAAATTTTAAATAAATATGAATTTGATAAACGAGCGAGGTCTTGCAATATGAGTAGTACGTGTATACGCTTTGTCTGCCGAGCGTCACGTGATCACAACTGATATACGAGTGCTGTGATATACGAGTGCTTTGGATTACAAACACGTTTCCGGAACAAATTATGTTCGCAATCCAAGGTTTTTACTGTATATGCAGATAAACCCCAATGATCCGATCGAAATTAGGGATTTCAATCGGATCATTGGGGGGGGGGGGCACGTGCCACCCCACCCTCCCCACTGGCTCCGTGCCAGTGGGAATAGACAGTTTTACTTGATAGCGCAGGCACTTTCAATGGCTAAAAAATATATAATTTCAGTTAAATGTAACTAGTGAATGGGCACATTCCTGTGCTTGAGCAGTACAGAACTGCATCTCTAGCATGGACAGATGCATCGTTACCATCAGGAATAAGGTCAAACGCTTCTGCAAACTCCTGCGCCCGCTGGTGCATCCCTGCCGCAAACTGCGGCTGGAAGTTGAAGAGGGGCAAGATGTGCTGCAGGTGGCCATCCCTGGAGCCCGGGGTGCACTGCACTGCCTCTCCTTCACCCTTTCTGCAGTCAAATCACACACACACCACCAGTTAATTCAGAGCAAGCTGGACTTTTCGATTTAAAGCTTTCGTGACTGCAGGGATTCATCTTCTTGGTTCTTTCGGTAAAGTCACGTAGAAGGGAAATAATTAACTAATAAAACATAATAAAATAATTCTCACGACGTTTCGGCCACAACGCAAGCAGCCGTCCTCAGGTGAAGAACAGGTCTGTTCTTCACCTGAGGACGTCGTGAGAATTATTTTATTATGTTTTATTTTTTATTATTTGTTGTTCTTTCCTTTGCAGTGTGGCATGGGTCAATACACAAGCAATGGAGTCTGTAATCAAAGCCACGAGGCAGTGAGGGAGGTAATGCAATGTGCGACTGGTATAGTCACAACCTGGTATACAACAGGAGCGGAGGGAATATTTTCTTGGTATGACCGAGTAGCTATTTATTGTGTTTCTATCAAGTGTTGCAGATTATTTAAATCAAAATTGCTCTATATCTATACAAAACATGTTAACTTTATATAAAAAAATTGAATTGTTTCTACTTAACCCAATGGTTACAATGTACTGTCATTTATGCATTATTTTTACAAGAATTTCGTATTAGAGCAATGGATAGAATTATTACAAGCGTATTTTTTCATTCTCGGTGTCCAAAATGCTTTTATTAAAAATAAGGGAAAGCATTTTTACCCTATTTTGGAACTTCTTTTGCACCATACATAACCAACCATGCTAATCTGAGGTGCTCTTAAAGAAAGTTATTTAAAAACGCAGCATGTGCATGGACAAAATATTTAATTGGCCATAATCTGCTATGAAGTGTAATATTATTAGAAGGTAAGGCAGAATCGTATGTAGAACAGATATTATAAATGTCCTAATTATATGAATGTTTGTGCATAATTGGAAGATTGCACATTCAAATAAAAGACTGGTGTCAGCTGCAGACATTAACAGTGGGCCTCGATACTTTAAATTTACAATTGGTCTCTCGGGCCTTTAGGAGTGCACAGTATGTTATTAGTTACCTGTTGAATAGTGTGCCAATAATATTACTAAATCAAGCAAAAAAAATAATTTCATTTAGGCATATTTACCATGTGCCAATTGGCAAATTATGTCCCTTTGTCAAATGAGACAGAATATAAAGTTGACGGAACCTATTTATTCTTATACATCATTACTATTTCAAGAGTTTTGTTGATGCCATGTCAATAAATAACACTAATGTACGTGACATGTTAACTGTTCAACTACGTTATATTTGATCCAATCGTATCATTAAACGATATGACTGTATTATTAGTTATTTTTAAATAAATACAATTCATGATGGTCATGAAGCTAATAATAATAATAGGGTTATTTCCCCTTTTTTCTGGTGACAAAACTGAAACCTTTTGCAAGGAATCATGTTAACATTAACCACAATACTTGCAGTCAGAATGCAAACAAAAAAATACTCTGATAATTTATGCATTGTGCTTGAAACTGATTGAAATTATCAGTGTTAATTTTTGTTTGCATTCTGACTGCAAGTAGTGGTTAATGTAAACATGATTCCTTGAATAAGGTTTCAGTTTTGTCACCAGAAAAAAAGGGGAAAAACCCTATTATTATATTTTGGTACTGGCAAAGGAGGCCTCATGATGGTGATGAAGCTTTATTACATTTCAATTCGAATCAATTGTGGTTAAGGAAGCTGAAGCACATGCCAGACATGAGCCAGCTACCTGATCTTGCGAGTGACATTGGCGATCATTTGGTGGCGCAGGGTGACAGAAAGGCCCTCATTGTGCAGCCACGCAGTATCGAGGCCAGCGCCCTTCTCGCTGTGCCCGTCTCCCAGCCGGAGGCCATCGCCGGCGTGGAGAGCCAGTAGCTGGGCGAGCACGCGGTAGGATGCGCCCGACGGGTTGTGTGATATGCACTCGAGCGCGGCCAGCAGCACGTCCCGTGCCGCCTCCAGGGACAGGCTGCCATCTGCATGTGCCCATCACACACACACGTGCCCGTCAGATACACACACGCGCCCGTCACACACGTGCCGAGCAGCGTGACATGCAGCGGAGGTGAGGGTCAGGGGAGGAAGGTCAGGGGAAAATGCATCCAAGGTATTCGGAAATTTTACTTTCATTCAATTGCGTACTAGACACGCTTTTAAGAAACTGTAGTCACAGAAACAGTAAAATGTGATAAATGTAATAAACATTTAACGTGTATACTATTGCCGAGAATTTGGCAAAAGGTTGCTTAACAATGTTGTCTCATACCGGCAGCAAAGGAAATAGGCGAATTTGGAAATTTATCCACTGCTGATCAGTCACCAAGTTTTAGGCTTGCAACAATTAAAGTGTCATAATTCAGGGTCATGGTTTTATAAAAACAAAGTATTTAGCTATTGTGGTGAATATGAAGTCCATAATGGCAACAGTGTCTCCATGAACCTTCAATGTTTCCATTATCTAATCGTTTACAAAATATTAATAAGAAATAGTAAATTACATTCCTGCTTTGATGGATGTATCACAAGAGTAAGAATGCTTCTTGATCAATGAATCGCAACATGCTAACGGCACACTGATATGTGACTGGACATCACATGTTTATTTTCAGGATTCTGCTTCGCACATTTGGCCAAGTCCTCATCAAGTCGGAGGACACAAACGTTCCAATAGAAAACTCAAACATATGAAAGAAATAACAATAAAATAAGCACAGGGAGGTTAAACATCTGCATTATATTCTGATTTAATTAGGAACCTCATGGATGTCTCATGCACATATTTATTCTCACCCCAACCTATTCAACCAACATTTTCTCCAAGCCTCAAACAAATGCATGCATCGCTGGCGCACTCTGTTACTCGGGTTCGGAGACTCACCGTTGGTGTTCAGCCTCGTGACATGCAGTGGGGCCGGCGCTTGCACCAACCGCTCTGGGGCGGTGTATTCGTCTGGCTCGGTGGGGATCTGTCGCCGCACCACCTCCATCTCTCTGTCCTGTGTCTTCCGTGCTCTGGAAACCTTTGCCACCTTACATTCTGCGACTGGAAATCATCGTAAATTTGTAAGCGAGGTAGTCGCCTGAATAGCGATCTAAAAATTCAACAGAAAAAAATTAATTGTTCTTCCTTGTGGATATGTACTTTGGATTATGTAAGATTTTCCAATGTGCTTTTGTAAATATTTAATTATATCAGTATGGAACTCTCCAGGTTATTTCCATAGCAATATATATCTATTAGCATATTTCAGATGGATAACTGTCAGAAGAATGATGGTTAGCTGCCAAAGCAAAATTAGATTAGCATATTTACAAATATTGTTTTTGCTTTTGCTTGTCACTCCAAGTTTTGGGCAATCCATTGATTAATTTGAATAGAACTTACATAACTACAAGAGATAGTTTTGTATTTTTCATTGCATATTCCCTTTATAATTTCCCCTGAATTCGACGACTACTGTAATACTGGACCAGTTTCATATGACCGTTTGATCAATGACTTGCCTTGGTCTAATTTCACACTGCTTAGATGTGATAAGAATGTGCATTGATAAATTAATTAATTTCATCGTAGTTTTGTTCCGATACTTACTTTTAGATTTGACCTTGCGCATAACTCTTTTGTCATCAAGTGGTGAATCCTCATCCAGTGCCCTAATGACTTCTATGCTTTGATCCAGGTCCAACCAAACATCGTCCGTGTCCCCTTGGCGCAATTCTTCCCGCTCTACATCGTGGCCCCTTCCGATGGTGACCCTGCCTGCCTGCTTGGTCTTGCGGAGCACCTTCCTTTCAGCGTCATCCATAGGCTTATCTTGTTGGACAGCCGATGCCATCCGCCCTGAGCCTTTTGCCTTTGCCGTTGTCTCCACAGATTTCAGCTGTTTTTTGGGCTGGCTCTGTGTCGTCTGTCCTCTTCCCACCTTTTCCAGCTTCACCAACGTTGCACTGCCGCCATGCGCAGAAGAGGCTGCTTTTGTAGGTTGGGCTCTCGCTGTTGGTTTTTCATCCTTTGCTGGTTTGACTTTGCATGGTGGGACTTTAGTTGGAACTTTGGGCTTTGGCACAATCATGCTGAAAGGCTCCTTCACTTTAGCACTGCTGCTTCCTCTATCAGATGCAGCCACCTGCTGGTGTCTGGGCAGCTCAGAGTCTTCGTCACTGTCGCTAAACGTCACAATCCTCAAACGTGTCTGTACCTTCTTTTGAGCCTTAATGCAGGGGAGAACAGGAGAATTGGACGAATTCGAATCCTCTAATATAAAGAAGCTCTGGCTGGGTTTTATTGCCGATCTGGATGCTGTGCTACGTGCCGGAGTCTTGAAGCCAAAATTAGGCGTCTGAGGAAACTCCCGTTTCTTTTTCTGCGCTGATGGGGGTGGCTTCACAATGCCAGTGGAAGCCACGGTAGTAGAGGTGGAAGTTTCCGTGTTACTGACCGATGGTAAATCGGGTTCCTCTTCACAGGGTGTGATCATGGTGTTCAGAGCCCAAGAGCTTTGAAAGAGCTCTGCCACACTACAGTCCTGCTTGAGGGAGAGCTGCAACAGCATCATAATGGCCTTGACAATCATCAAGTTGGCCTTGATGTCGTGGGCATCCGCCAGCCCCAGGTCAGTTGACTGAAACACCTGCAGGCCCTTCTGCACGTTATCGGCCACACCGACAAACGAGCCGACCTTCAGAGCCCTCAACGCCAATTCCAGTCGCGCCGTTGCTTCCACGGCGTGTGTCATCTGGAAAGCAGCGTTTTTCAGTAGCAGTGGCCAACCACCTGGTCTCCTCGCAAGGATCTCGTGCAGCATGGCAGCACCGCGCTGCTTGAGGGCAGCTACCTGCTGGAGTGAGGCGAGCAGGAAGCGCCGGCTCACGGTGTCGTTCTGAAGTGCATCCTCCATGCGGCTCTGTGTCAGGAACCACTCGGCAGTGATGAGCGACAGCACCACGTCACGGCAGTTGGTGCAGGCGCACTGAGCCTTGTGGACCTGTGGCAGCCGGCTCTTCTGCTTGGCCAGCCCGGGAGAGCTGCTTATCCCATCTGCCCCGGTGATGCTTTGCTCACGCCCATGCACCAGCGACAGAGGAATAGACTTGAGAAAACTTTGGTTTTCAGACTCCTTCTCCTGTTCTTCCTCTGCGACTGGGCTGCGTTTGCTTGCAGACTTGGCTGTGCCACGGAGCTTCTTCAACTTGAAATCAGCACCTGCTTTCTTGGTAGCCTCAAACTCTAAAGAGCAGAAAAACAGACATGCTGTATTGTAATCTTTAAATACATCTGGGAAAAAAATCACACCATAATCCATTGTCACCATAATCACACATTATGGAATATTGTTACAATTTGTCTGTTTTTAAAGATTGCATTTTTCATCTACAGCCAGTTTCACTGAACATTCATTGGTTTACACCCTGTGGAACCATTTTAAGTTCCTGCTTATAAGGCATATGATTGATCTTGTAATATGTAAGAGTTTTAGGAGTGCTCCGTTTTAAAAAGTTACATTATCATGCTGTCCGGGTTCTCCACTCTGGTTTAATAAAGTATCATTCTAGATTTGAAGTTTTCGTGACTGCAAAGATCCATATTATTTGGTTATTTTGAAAGAAAGAACCAAAGAATATTAATAAAGTATATCTGAAACTCAAGGTTTGCTTCAAGAAAAATACTACATCTCTACTGTAGTATTTGCATTCGTAAATGAGCTCTTGGTTAGAGAAAAAACCTAAAAACATGAGAACGAGCAATGGAAGGAATATTGGTTGATAAACAGATTATACCTTACTGTAAAACTGTGTATCCTACAGTGTTTGCATTATTTGTAACATTGTGCAATTGCTTATCTTTAGTGGTCTTATTTTTCTTAGTAAAGGAGTAAGTGTGGCTCACCTTGGGAGGATTCAAGCAGAAAAGACAGCTGCTTCAATTCATGTTTGCTCTCCTCCAGTTCACCCCTCTGCACTTCCAGGCTCGCCTTTACAATCAGCAGCTCCGCACACCTGCAATTCGCACAAAGACAATGATCCACCTCATAGCCGACGCAGGCGGCTGGGGCAAGTGCTGCTAGCGAGCACAGTGCGAGGGGCTCATGTGGACAGCAATCAGCCGCTGCTGACGTTAACACACGATAACAGATACAGTACTCGTTTAAGTCACCCTCGGAAAGATCCAGGAACGGTTCAGATATCACTCGACGCTGATTTCAGCTAGGGAATTGAACCCAAGTGTCAGGTATGTAGCAGAATGTAATAAGCACAATATCACCGCTCCACGCACATGCTCACGCAACCACCCACCCACCGTCAATAAAAATAAAACGAGGTCCCCTTTACAACCTTGTTGGATCCAATAGTTGTTAGGTGTGGTCAACACCATTCACATAGTGAGGTTTTCCTCCGCATTGCACGTGTTGGCACCAGAGCAGTTTTACTTTCAGCAACGTAAACGTGCAAGAGCTCAATACAGGTACTCTTAGGTTTTTTCGGTAAAGTCACGTAGGTAAAAAATACAATTAATAAAAATAATGACAATAGAAATAAAATAATAAAAAATCACGACGTTTAGGAGGCAACACAAGTCATCAGGTGGGACCGTCAAAGCTAGATTTGCTGTATCAATTGAGGCAGAGATTCCGAGATACAAGTTCTTAAATACAAGTTAAGGGGGAGGAGGGGGGGGGGAGCTGATCAGAATGTGGTAGCCAATGAATGGAACGTATTGGGAGGGGGGGGCAGGGCTAAAAGAGAACAAGAGGTGTACGTGTTTGTGCACAAGCACCTGTTTGGTGCACATGATAACGTATTGGGAGGGGGGGGCGGGGCTAAAAGAGAACAAGAGGTGTACGTGGACCTATTTGTGCACAAGCACCTGTTGGTGCACATGATAGAAGAGAATGAAAATGCTCAATACAGGTGTGTCCTATTTCACAGGTATCCCCTTACAGCTTTAGCTCACCTGTGGAACAGAGGATAGTGCCCCCTGCTGAACATCTTTGCTACTTTGCAGCAACAACCAGATGTTCTCTGGGTCACGTTTTTTTTTTATACCACATTTGCATTGGTGCATAAGCAAAAATAACAAAAACTCGACACATTCATGCATAACGCTGCCCTAAAAGGGAAAATAATTATATTCATGGGCGCCATTGAGAAACGGAATTTTTTCATAGGATGTAAAAAAAGAAGGGTCATTGCCTGCTCTATATATGTTTCTTTTTCCTTGGTCAATATACAATTGGCAGTCAGTGGGACCAGTTGTGGCCTACGATGGCTCTTAGCATGGACTGATGAGCTATGGCCCGAGAATTTACGATACATAAGGGATAGAGATGCAGTGGGATGAGAAGTTAGATGCAGAGAAGAAATAGAGATATGAGAAGAGAAAAGAAAGATAGAGATGTATGGTGAATATGCATGTATTTAGACGACACGTGAGTTGACAGGAATGGATATGGGGGCATAGATAAGAGAAACATTTATAACAGATAGGCACGAGGTCCCTTGACAAGACAGCATAGAGGAGATGCATTAATAATCTAAGAGATTAAGGAGAGATGTATTCCAATAAAAATATACATCGGACAGTTCAGAGAGAGGAGATGTAAACATAAACCCATAGGCTGTACTGCCAGGAAACTGCAAAATAGGAATTAGCCATCCCAGCCAGATAGGGAGTCTCACAACTTATGATTTATCAACCCATGCCTTCAGAGTACTAGATTATAGGTATGCACCAGCATGACCAGCTAATCTATAATAAAGATTTGACCAGCTGTGTGATTGTGGCCTTGCACAGAGGCTGTCACCTGGTCACCAATGTCCCATGTGGCATCAGACACACAAAACAACAGCGCACACAACCTGCGTGTGAGCTGTAGCTTGGTGGTCAGCTTGAGCGCTTCAATGCAGAAGCTCTTGGCTTCCAGCACAATACCGCGTTTGGCCTGCAGTGACACTAGATGACGCGACACGTCCAGTAGCTCCGTGAGCACCGTCCACTTGAGTAGCACGTTATCCCCTGGTGAGAGACCGTGGAACGTGCACGCACAGGGGAAATCTTTGAGTGACCACGATTCAAAAGAACGACTTCATTCACCAACTGAATTTCTCTAAAACCAGGTTAGGGCCCAATGAGACAATAAGGTATGAGAATTGGGCTAAGGAAACTAAGTAACAAGCAATGGCTCTCCCCATTAATAGGTAGGCATGTGGCAATTCACCCTCCCACTCACATGCAATTCAATGAATTGTCATTATCCAGGGTTCCAAAAACAATATTGTTTAATGCCTAATTTGCAGCATTCCTTGTAAATTATGCCTATTGTTGTATTGCTTATTCCTAAATATAACAACAGCACGTAACTTGCATATTTGCAAGGTTTGTAAACTAAAGACTACTATTACAGCCTGGTTGAAAGCATGTATCATGATTATAACAAACAATTTAAATGAAGGAAGCAATTAATCATTATGTGCCTCATAATAAGACCCTTGAATCATACTATGTTACATGGGAAAGAAACAGCTAGGAATAGATTTCGATTTAAAGCTTTCGTGACTGCAGGAATTCATCTTCTTGGTTCTTTCGGTAAAGTCACATAGAAGAGAAATAATAAAATACTAAAAATACAACATAGTAAAATAATTATGTTTAATTTATTTTATTTTATTATTTCTCAGCTAGTAATAGCCTTTTTTCCCAGTGGTCATATTTCAACCATTGTAATTTGTATCAAAATAGTGCATCAATCAAATGGGGTAGGGCAGTTAATTATGTGAGGAAGGTGCAAAAGTGTCACGGTGTTCCATAAAGGTGCCACACAATTGGCACACCACTGCTATCGACCACTCACCCTGGTCGATGAAGATGCTGGTGGTAGCAGTGCCACTGGGCTTGTCGGAGCCCTGGGTATTGTTGAAGGAGGGCCCCAGAATGGCTTGCATGAGGCCAGTGAGCAAACGGTGGGCAACGCTCACTGCTACCAGTGGGCTCCTTAGATCTGCAATGTCCAAGACACATTCCCAAGTCACATTAATGTGCATTTCTCAGAAGCAGCTACCTGCCCAACAATGCCATGTTGCGCAGAATTGTATACATGATAGTGCAGCTGATATTGCCGATCCAGACAGATAAAAGGATCACCATCAAAGAAAACACAACACTTGTATAAAGACTGAACCTGGCTGGACTTTTGTCCAAAAGACGCAGAAGAGTTGACATGTTAAAATTAATTGATTATAATGTATTCTTACACACTTGATACGCATATCAAATCATGCATGTAACATTATTATTTGGTTCTTTCGGTTAAGTTATTTCGGTTAAGTTCTAAAATTAAGAATGCATGTAACATGTTTTTTATTAAATCGCTGACATTGAAAATGACAAGCTGCAAGTAAAAATCAACACTATTGTATGTATGATAGTTAAGAGGTAGGATTTATTCACCTTTGAAACTAAAGTTACCTTTAGGTTAATTAAACATATTAATATTTAGATTGAATTGAGACCCAAAATGTATATAATTAATTTATTCAAAGGGGGAATGTGGAATCGTTATGTGAATGACAAATAATTGTGTCATTGGTTATCTGCTTTGTTCACACAAGTACGATGCATCTCTGCTCACTTTCGCTAAATAGAAATGTGTCCCTTTGCAAAATCAAACACGAACAAATAAGAGAGCACGACACTATGATTTCTAGAGCTGATATAGGGAAATTTGTTCAGCAGAGGGATGCAATCCTAGTTATGACTATCATCCATGACTTCTAGGAATAGCATGATGCAATTCATATCATGTTATGATGCAATACCAGGTTCAGATTGCATCATTCATTGTTTTGCTCAAAAAGCAAGTACTGTCCAAACCCAGTCATAGATTTATTTATAGTCACTTATATGGAGTCACTATGGTGTTTAGCGCCAGCCACTGTGACAAAAGAGTGGAAATGTACATCTTGAGTCTCTCTCTGGCACCAAAGTGGATATGGCATGGAAGCAGGCCTGAGGGGGCATAGCTCTGGTGAGGGTCAGAGAGAGAGCAAGTGAGGATGTGATACTCTGTGTGAACCCAAGAGGGCGCGTGGCCGGGGCAGGGTAGCAAGGGGGACCAAAAGGGGGCTCGAGGGACACGTGATATGGGCCAGAGCCTTCTAGTAGGATCTAGAAGGGGGCGTGGCCGAGGGGGGAGGCAGGCCACGCTCAGGAGCATAAAGGGGCAGTCTCAAGAGGGTTCTGAGCTCTGTTGGAATGGAACCCATCGGTGCTACATCACTTCGATCCTCGGTTCTCGGTCTTCGATGTTACACTCGGCATCGTGGGTCGGGCAGTGTGTTACTGACTGACCCGGTTATGTAGTTACCCCGTTGTGGTCTAGTTAACGGTGTAGTTATCACCTAGATGTAGAACCAGTGTACGTTAATGTAGTTAAATAAACGTATTGCTTCCAACTCCAGTGTGTGCCTCCGTATATAATACACTACATATTCATAGATCCAGTCAAAGATGTATTTTCGTCATTTCTGGATTAAATTGAGATCCCTTCCCTTTATAACTCACTTATCCTCCACCATTCCCAAGTCAAGGGTCGTACATACTGACCCAGTAGCATATCTTTAAAACTGGAGCCAATCAACAATTTTAAGCATCATTTTCATTCTCAGTGACCCAGAATTAGTAGTTGGACTACATTTATTTCAGAAGCATTTTGGCTGTAGACCAGTGAAATCAACCATCGATCAAATGTTGAGAGCCAGTTGTTGTGTAACTTAACTACAGCAAGACCAGACTTCACGCGGTGTCAGGGGGTTAAGTATTTACCAAGCTGTGGCAGACGCTCCCTCTCAGATTGAGCAAGCTGGTTGCCAGGAAGGTTTGTGTAGAGGGAGGCCAGGGTATAGGTTCGTGATCTCAGAAGGTACCAGGTACGAGATGGTCTCCATATGTTAGGATCCTCCAGGATCTCCAACAGCAGCAAGAATCCCATCTCTACCTGCACATTGACACACATAGGTATATACTGTTCAGCCTTGCAGTCTGCTGGGGAAGTGTTTTTGGAGAGACACTATTATAGACAGCAAGGTTAGTCTCACACCCAACCATCGAATTTTATAGCTCCCAAGTGCTGTGTAAATGTAATACTCCAGATATTAATTTTAGGCCAAGTCAATCTATGGCCAGTGAAAGCCAGATCCAGTTACAAATTGCCACTGGTATGCATGGACACGCATTTTACCTGCGTTGCAAATATTTACGTGCAGTGAGCTCGCGTCATCCATATCAATCCACAAAATGCACGCAAGGTAAAAACGCATGCAAGCAGGCACACTAATAAGTATACTTGTACGCATTAATGCAATAGAAGATATGCACTATTAGTGGATTTGCAATTTACTCAAAGTATTGAATATATTTTAGCAAGATATTTCCTTGGAGCTTTGTATCTCATTCACGAGAACCCCAATGGAAGGCTCAATTATAATGTGGTTTATTTTTTGGCACCAACAAATACGATAATCAAGTCAAGACATGCTCCTCTTGAACACTACTTGCAAAGTCTACGCATTCTCTGCTGGCTAGCCTGATCATATGCACCAAGGCTTCATGTGAGATATATTTCGTGTTAATCTCAGGAAGAACTCATGAACCTCACCAGTGAGGGAATTTTTATTTATTGAAAACATGTTTAAACGATGCATCATCATCATCAGCCACGATCAATCCCCCAAGCTACTGCCGTCTCAAATGTTTCTGAAATGTTAAAATCCATCTAGCACTTACAAATAAACGTATTTAATTGCTCCACCTCGAAGATGTGATGTCATATTGGGTGTATTTCATCCTTTGGCTGCCACTCCATTACTATTTAAAGCTTTCGTGACTGCAGGGATTCATCTTCTTGGTTCTTTCGGTAAAGTCACGTAGAAGGGAAGTAATAAAGTAATAAAAATAAAACATAACAAAATAATTCTGCCTTCGACAGACCTGTTCTCCACCTGAAGACGGCTGCTTGCGTTGTGGCCGAAACGTCGTGATAATTATTTTGTTATGTTTTATTTTTATTACTTTATTACTTCCCTTCTACGTGACTTTACCGAAAGAACCAAGAAGATGGACTCCATTACTAGTCGAGTATAGCCATCATCCCATCTAGCGGCACACCCTGCCCATGTCCACTTACTTTTTTAAGTCATGGCTCTAATTTCGATAGATTTCCTCGTGCACGTTTTCTCCCTATCTCACAATGCAAGTCCAAGCATGCATCTCTCTTTGCAGTTTGTTCAGTTTTCTTTCTCAATATCTATGTTTCTGATCATGTGTCATAGCTGGTAATATGCACCAATTGAAAACGTTCTTCCTTAGGTGCATTCGTATGTTGTTTTCATTATTAAACTCAACTTTTCTAAAAATTTCCAACCCACTTTCATCCACCTCGAATTTATATTAATTTTGGTCTGACTTCATTAACGGTCCTACGTATGGATAATCTATTGTTATAGTTGTCGCTCTCTAGACTTTTCTGACTGTTTAGCTAAATTATTGTATAGGACTCATTTGTATAATTTATCTTGAGCCCAACTTTGCAGACCTCTTAATTGAGTAACAACTAAAATAATTTCAATCACAATGGTATAATATAAACATCAAATCCCGTTGTGTTTAGCCTCTTCAAAAACATGAAATGGCATTACTCAGCTGAAATTAATCAACTTTGTTTATTGCCAAATATCAATCATTAACAGCATCCAATGACATATTACGTCATAAGAAATGTGGAAGTTATTTGCCTATGCAAATTTCCATTCAATTAACCCTATTCATTTGCATGTACGTCTGTATCCAGTGCTATAAATACAAAAATTAAGTTCCAATAGAATGGTCTCTTAGAAAAAAGATGAAGTTTTCCTATATTAAGATAACTTTGCTCATTCTAAAAATCTAACTCAAGAGTTTATCATATGACATGGTTCCTATGATTAGGATAAATAGATCACTCTGTGGGTGTCCGAGTCACACAGCATACCTGTCCCATGGCATAGTGGAACTGGCTCTTGGTTAATTTGACATTCTTCTCCAGTACAGACAATTTATCATCTGGTTTGGAAATTGATTCCATTCTTGACTCAACTTCATCCACAAACACCTGCAAATAAAAAGAAAACATGTTTTGCTTTATGTTAAACAACTTCATATTTTAGTTCAACAATCATTGTGGAAGAAGATATATATAAGGAGTGTTTATTTATCATTTGGCTGATATGAAAATAAGCTCAAGTTTAATCACCCTTTAAAAGAGCACGTATAAAAAAAAACTGTATAATATTGTGTATGTATTGTTGAAGTTCTTTTGCACCGTACGTAGCCAACCATGATAACCCAAGGTGCAAAATATAATGAATCAATCATATTATATGTTGATATTTTATTAACATTTTATTTCTCAATTTTTGCTAAAATAACAAATGACAAAGATAAAAAAAAACCCAATTACTTTTCATTATACTTAACCAAAGAATATTTCACTAACTGAAATGTGTGGATGCTTCATAAAAAATATAATTGACTTTTATAAATGATTGGCAGTTTGGAATAAACATCCATAAAAGCATGGATCATCAACGTGTTGGCAAGGCGCTATACAAAATATAAGCACCTGTGCATGCTGTGGGCAGTCCAAGTTAAGAAGGAGGCGTGCAGCCAGACAACCGGCCATTATGTTCCCAGGCCAATCTTCCAACCAGCCACTCAGTTGCTGTTGCAGCAGGCAGCTCTTGAGTGCTTGTAGTGGCTGTTAAGATGAGAGATCGGCCCACATGTAAACAGCAGTCAAATGTATTCGTGATTACCTTTGTATGAAGAGAGCATCATTATTTGGCCTGCCAAACATTTTATAACAACTGCATTGCCAAAAATCTGATATTTTTCTTTGATTAATCTTAATTTTTTAAAACGAGTAAGCCAACTGAGATTCACAGCCTCTTTTCCAAGGAAAATCTGTTATCGTTCATAGATACTATATGAATTGTGTCAAGTGGTACATACTACGTTACTTTCAAACAAAGAATATAGGCTACTGCTTTGAGACACGATGATATACTTGTGCAGACAGTTATGCTAAATGGCTTTTAACAAACCACTTTACAGCAGATTGGTGCAACTTAGTAACTCCCAGAAGAAATTAGCATTTGTTTACAAGAATCGAAACATTGACTAAGCAAGCTAGCCTATTAGGCAAGTGTGAGGATAGTCTTTGGCTGGTAACCATGTCTTGGGATGAATGTGCGAAGGGTGGCATGCGATACCTTGTCAATGAGGCGGTACAGCTCGGTCATCATGCGGATGTTAAGCAGGGTCTGTTGGCTGTTGTTAAGGGCTGGGAGGGTGGAGCCCCCCAGTAAGTTCTGCCACAGCTCTAAGGCCCGATCCAGTGGGGTACAAGCCTCTGGAGTTCGCACACAATCACAGGCGCACCCTCTTGTGAATCCGGTTAAACTGTAGAGAAAAGTGTCTCCATGCCCTCTCTTGCGATAGACTGTGTTCTACTCCAATTGCAGTTCCGAGCCAGTGTGAATAATTAACATTCCTAGAGTAGGAAACAAGCCACTTCTAAACATATTTACTGTTGTTTCCACTAAGTGGTGGTCAAAAAATAGCACACATTTTATAGACAAACAGATGCTCAGCCAAGTCAACTCACTAAAATTAGAATACACAACTTTAGAATCCAGAGCCCTCCCCTCAAACAGACTGCTAATCCAGAAACAACTCAGCAGAGTGGGGCTACAGCATGACAGTACTCACGCTTGTCAGAGGCGATGTTGAAGAGCATGTGGCAGTGTAGGCGTGAGTCCTCGCCCTGTTTGTCTTCCACATCCAAGTCATTGACGCTCACCTCGAGCACCGGGTCCGCAACACGCGCGAGACGCTCTTCTCTCTCCGTGGCCTACACGACATATGGCTCAGGGTGAAGGCTCAATGCCGCAGCGCTGAATTTTACAGTATTTGTGATGGACAGTTCGCCAAAGATCAGTCCCTCCAGAAAAACGCGATTATGCGATCGCAAGATTCCACGCAAAATCAGCCAAAGTCCGCATATTTATGCGGGGGGCGCGTTTTTTCAAATACGCCGCACTTTCGCCGCATAAATTTCACATTTCCGCGCGCAAAATATGCGGGCTTGCATGATTTCATAATCCCCGCATTTTCGTTGCAAAAAGTCACATATATCTTAGCAGAAAGTTGAAAAATGTTGCGTTTACTTCACACAAGCGCAGCCATTTCCCCTGTTGCCATGGGAACGTTATGAAGTGACGTCACTCATTACGCGACATCATTGAAAAGCTGCAAACCCCGCGATGCCAATGAAACCATGATGAAGAGTTTATGCAACTTTACAGTTGTAAGATTGCACTTTTTTGTTAGTAGTATGTAAATTTACATTACTGTTAGACTGTACTGTTACTGTATTGCTTACGTTACTGTGCACTGAAAACACTTATTTTAACAGAAGATGTCTGTTTTGTATAGCTACCTCTGTAAAACAGGAAGCACACATTTTATTTTTTAATATTTTATTTATTCATTTTTACAGAAGTTGTAGCATATTCATTTTGTAAAGCTACAGAACTTGTTCGACTCAATGTTTTGTAAGTTTGAGCCATCTGTTTGTTAAGGTCTGAAATAAAACAAGATGAGAACTTAAATATTCCCAGCACTTTCTGTGATGTAGTATGCTTGCTTATCATAGGAAGTAATAAGAAATGACTCTTTACATTAAAGTAGTAGCCTAGTAAATAGGGTGTTGGGGGAATCACTTTTTTTTCTCTTTTTCATCAAACCGCAGTTTTTGCAAGTTCCTGAAATTTTTGCAAGTTCCCGCAATTTAATCGCATAAAATTGCATAAATATCCCGCATATTCCATCGCATTTTTTAAGAAAACGTGCCGCATAATCAACGATTTTTGCCCGCAACAATCACCAAAAAACTCCGCGTTTTTCTGGAGGGACTGAAAGATGCACTCATTCACAGGGATGTCCATCCACCACAAGTCAAGTAACAGTACATAGTCAGTGTTTCCTTCCGAAGCAAGTATTTGTATTACTTAAGCACACTTGTGACCTAGTGCCAGCGTTGGAAATTCACCATGTCCATGAAGTTGTATCTATGAGACCCTTTTTGCCAGTACTCACTTTATTCCCATAAATATTTTAAACAAAGGGTGACCATTGTTCATTTTCCATAAATTAGTACTCATTCTATTGATGCCAGACAGATGATGGTCCAAGTCATTCCTAACGAGTTTTCACCTTTACAACAGAGTTAAATGTTGTAATCAGTGACACTTTGCCAGATATGAAATTGAGACTTTAATTTCATGTTCACCACTTCAAAATATTTTATATTGGATATATGGATCCCAACTCCCGCCACACAATGGCCTTGCTTTTGAATATCACATCTAAAAGCAAATTCCAAGATTAAATTATAACTTAACAATATACAATAATTATGTATGTTAAACGTCTTTCGCTCCATACGTAGCCAACCGTACTAATCAAAGGCAACATTAAAACACCATTGCATATGAATGAAACTCAAGATACATAGCCAGTTGTGAGCAAGTGACAAATTACAAATTTCTTGAAGGGTCGACAAGGTCTATAAAGCTGATATTTGGTATAGTCGAGTATATTATTTTCACTGAAAATCCGAAGGTTTTTAAATTCTATTTTGGGTACACAAAAAGGGAAGGAAATTACTTCCTATTTTCTAATTTTTAAACATCGGTCGAGACAAATATGTATATTGAGGATTATGAAAGGTGCTGAACCCCAATTTGCATATTTTCAAATGTGTAGTGACATCGCGGATGTCACTGTATAATACCGGCCCTAGAGAGGCACGGCGTGCGATGTATTGACATCATGGGCACCACGTGTATTGTATGTGGGAGCAGCACCGGCCCTAGAGGGGCTCGGTGCGCACTGACTGGCAGTGCTGGATGGCACCACGCTCTGCGTGCAGTGCCGAAACCTACAAGATAGAGTGTGAGAGTGCCGGCCATGGGAATGGGGTTACTAAGGGCCATGGCACTCTGGTTGACCCCGAAGGAAACGTGACCGGTAAAGTCTACACAGGGCCCCCAGGTGGGGGCTAGGGGTGGTCACGTGTCAGGGCCAAGATCCTGCTCGAGGGTTCTCGAAGGTGGTCGTGGCTAAGGACGGAGCCAGCCACACCAAGGAGGCTATAAGCCGGGTCCCCGAGAGGGACCGGCTGCTGTGGTTATCCTGAAGAATCTATGTTCCACGTTCTATGTCCAAGAAGAGTCACCAACGCATGGACCTGGACCCAAGCTGGGGTCCTGTCTGTTGTAGCTACTCCCAGTGTAATTACTGTAGTTACCCTGGTGGTCTACCACCATAGGTTGTTATCTGGTGAAGGGGCAGTTACCCCTTGGTGTTGGTATCAATAAATGTGTTGCCTCCAAAGAGTACGTCTGCGACTCAGTTGAACTCACTACATATGTAAAATAAAGTGTTTGAATGGCCTCCCAAATATAACACACCCTCCCCCACCCCCCCCCCCCCCCAAAAAATCTAAATTGCCACAAAGTCTATATTTGGCACAAATATAGCAAATCCTGTGCTGAGATCTGCTAAGATCCAAAACACAAATTTCTCAAATTGGGCTTCCCATAATTTAGGAGCAAAAATTATTAACGTTTACGCTTTTCATGTCAGCCTATGAATGCTTGAATATGGAGATCCTGCAGGGTGCTGAATCAAAATATAACATGCTATGTTCAAAATCTCAATTTCTTAGATACATTTTTGTAATGATATTAAAGTCAATGGAAAGGGGGCAATGTCTGTTACCAGTTGCTCGTAGAATACACATATATAAAAGACAAAGATCCCCCGTTATTGCCTTAAATATACTGTTGGAGCAAGTGCCGTTAACGAGCTCCTAACAAAGGCCAGTACGGCATACGAGGAGATGGGTGACCAACACTGGGTATTCATTTGAGATCGAGTCAACCTAGGGGGCCCCAAGACGGGTTCAGATATTCATTATTAGTGTTGGTCATGAGCCGGAATCGAACTTGGGAAATCAGGTTTGTAGCCCCGTGCGCTGACCACTACACTACCACTCCCCACTTTACAAAAAGACAAACATGCACACACCCCACCAAATCACATTCTCTCCATATGCAGTTGGTTTCGAGTAAGCACCTTCTTGGCAGTGGCCTCCAGCGTGCAGATGAAGAGCCACAGGTTAGCGGTGGCCTTAATGTCCGTGCAGCGTTCCCTCTCCGATGACGGCCACCACTCCACATTGATGGAGTCCAGCAGCCGCACTGCCTCCTGGGCGCAGTCCAGTGCCGAGCTGAGACAGGCGCCCGTATTAGAGGTGGCATTCAACACCGGCCTTAACAGGCTGCGTTCTGCAAAACTTTCACAGCATTGTCACCTCAAGTTCTCTCGACCGGACTGAACACATTCCCACTGAATAGGTCCAAAGAAAATGCATAGGTGTCATAATCATAAATGCATGTTGGAATGTATATTTAAGGAATATGCATACTTGGGCTGTGTTTCTTCAGTCTCACACAAGTGAGAAGATCCATCAATGAGGAAGTTTTTTTAAATAGCGTTCAGGTACTCTATCATAGGGCTCCAATTACATAACCTCATTGACATATTTGCATTGCTACTGATATTCAATGCGAGTAGTCAACATGAAATTGAATCTGCACTTATCATGGGAGATCCACCCACTACATTCAGAAGATATTCAAAGAAACTGCAGCATACGATTGCAGATGCACTGACTAGAACATGCCTTCCATGAAAACTCAATGGAGCCAATGAAAATATCCACAACACATCAATTGAGATAATGTCCTTGCAAACTCATCTGGACAAACTTAAGTTGATATTCATCCAGTATACATGAGATACTGACATTAAATATACATAGGAGTGGCATCACAGAAACATCACATGATATCATAAGAGTTCCATAAGGAGTGTAAACACGTTCAAGTATTTTTGTCATTCATGACACTTCTAACTAGTCTGACAATGTGAAACGAAGAGCCCAAGGATGTAGCTACAAGCCAAGAGCTATATGTACTTTGAGTTGAATCTTCCTTTAATCGTAATGCCCATTCCCGCAATTTCACAGGCGAGAACACAAGCAAACAATGGTACCCAAGTGTTCGAATGAAAAGGCCGACATTCGGATAATTAATTTGTGCCCACTTTACATTAAGACACTGAATGCGATTGCGGTGCTCACCACTCTGCCTGCCCGATGGTGTCATTATAGCACAAGAACTCTGCAAGCCGAATTAGGTGCAAGCTCCTGTCCAAGCAGCGGTCGATTTCCTCCTCGGGACACAGCTCAAGCAGGTCGCAGATGACATTGTAGCGCTCCTGGGTTGCGTCCACATGCTGCGCCTTGTATTGCCGCAGTTCCTCGTCCAGCACAACGAGCAGCTCGTCCGTTCCGACCTCGTAATCTGAGAGAGCCTCCCGTAGAGTCCTGCCACAGTGAAGCGGCATTAGACCGTAGCCAACGCATGTAAGATAGTGAAACGATAATGGACTAAAATTATTCATTGTTGGAGTATGAATTTTTGACACACTAGTTAAATTATTTCCAGAATATTCGGTACAGTCACGTAGATAGGTTCAAAGAAAATAACAAAAAGTGGATATTTAAAGAAATCGCAACATACAAGTGGTCGTCATCAGGTCGTCATCAGGATGACGACCGCTTGTGTGTTGCAATCGAAACGTCGTAGTTTTTAATTTTCTTTGAACCTATCTACGTGACTTTACCGAAAGACCCAAAGAATATGAACTCCTGCAGTCACGAAAATCAAGATATTTCCAGAATGTTGTGAATTCCAACCTATCATACATACCACTGCTCATGTGAATGGTGTTTAAGGATTTTAACACCTATTTTTCAGGAAAAAGCACACTTTGGTAATTACAAGGCTGCTGCAGGAATCAAACCATCGACCCTTTACAATGTGTCCCACTGATGTGTTCTCACCATCAGCTTATTAATAGACCCGAACCATAATACGAAGCTACTAACAAAATGAAAACGAAGATAATTTCAAGCACAACGGAATGCAAAACAGTTTGTTAAGTTGCTTTCAAACTTGAAAATGTTATTTTGAAACGCTGACATCACATAACCATACAAAGTGCATATATTTGGTCACAATGGAGTTAGAACCAGATCGCCAGGTTTAAGTACCCACTACACAGTGCTCAAAAAACATGTTCCTGCTTGGTCCATTAGAGCCAGTTTTAAAGTGCATTACATGATAAATCCTTTATCTTAGCTGTAACGCCTTAATTCATATTTTAAGCGACGCATCGCTACATGCCAAATTATTATTTCAGTACAATGTCGCATATCAGTTTTGATGGGGACTGAGGCATAAGCGGACATGCAAAAAGGTTGGATATTTGAGCTATAAAAAATGGCACATCACAAACCAACACTGTAAACGGTTAATTGGTCAAGGTGGATATGTAAAAGTTGGCATGGGACGTTGAATTTTATTACATACCCGTCACTGATGACCACTCACCTCAATTTGATAGTCGCCTGGCCAGCACCCACAGCATCGGCCTTCACTTGCACCCAGAGGCTGACGAGGGCCGGCAGGCAGGCGTGCAGGTCACCCATGAGGAGCCAGCAGCTGCGAGCCACTGCTGCCATGGCATCCCCGAAACGTCCCGCCCTGCGGTACACCTCCACCAGTAGAGTTGCAAATGCAACAAACTGGATTGGCCCACGGCATTCATATAAGCATCATAATTAGGAAACAACAGATACATCATGATCATTATTATTTACTATTCTCAGTGCATTGTTGATGGTGACCTTCCGTAATGCAATTGTACTTCTAATTGACGATATACAGTGGTACCTCGGTATACGATCGCTTTAGAATACGTCGAATTTGGTATAAGTCGTGTTTTGACGAGAAAAACATTTCTTGGGATACGACGTCTTGCTTGGGATACAACGCGCTTGCTAGAACTTATATGGGTCGAGATGAGTCACCACGTACCCGCGTACAGTATACCCCGTTCACGACTGAAACAAAGCGCCGCTCCTCAGTCAACAAGCCGTAACAGTATTGTGTGGAATGACCAGACAATGTCACACTTCAGGAACATTCTTAGAAGGCAAAAACAAACTTCAATGGACAGGTTTTTTAGTAAAACTCAAACCTGGTGAGCTTCAACCAGGTCCAAGTCAAGAAAAAAGACAGAAAATAGAAAGAGAAAAAACCCCAGAATTTCAGCTTCCTGAAGCTAATGGAAGGGGACTCTTCTTCCAAAAAATAACATCTCCGCCTCCTCCCCTTCCTCACCACCGTCCTTGTAGGCTATCAACTCCTCTCAGCAAGGTAAAGTGATGTTAAAATAATTTTTTATTTCTATTTATTTTAATTTATTTATGCATTTATTTTAATTTATGTATGCATTTTAGTAATAAGTAGTGCCTAAAATATTTTATACAACCCCATTAATGTATAATATGCCATGTAAAATATAATTTCTTATACTCTGGAACGGATTATTTCTTTTCCCTTTATTTCTTATGGGAAAAATTTGTTTGGTATACGTCATTTTCGGTATAAGTCCTACCTTCTGGAACGAATTAACGACGTATACCGAGGTACCACTGTATGCTCGAGTATTGTTTCCTCACCCACTCAAATAAAAACTCCATTCAGAGAAATACAGAAACAAAAAGTGCCTTCACAGAGGCAGGCACCTACCTTTCCAGTGAGAGTATTGGGCTGTGTGGACAAGTTAAGGGCCCTTTCCATGAGACGGTAGGCAGCCGTGGCCAGGGCCACAGTCTCGGAGGACAAGTCTTGCTTTAAGAACGTGCGGGATAGTTGATAGGCTCCTACCGCTGCACCTATAATACCATACCAGTCATTGCACAATTACATAACTCACAAAAAGGTCGATATTCAAGTAGTCCATTTATGTGTATTGTTGATACGACTGTATTCATATGCTAGTTTGGGTACACGCAAATGTTCTTGGACGGTTGAATTTTGGTGGTAATTAAGGAATTATTTCATTCACTGGTGTCAATATACATTCTAACATGATGTCCTAGATAATTATCAAACTTGCAAGGAGTCGAGACATGCCATGCATGTGACATATGTTAAATACAAAAAACAAAAAGTATTCTGTTCATATATTTACTGGTATAGGAAGTTACATCTGTATATTATCCATCTAATAATTGCGTACTTATACGGAATTCTGAAGTTTTCTTTTCTGATCAACAAAGCTTTAAACTTCAGCTGGAAATGGGACAGACTAGTTAGTATCGTATCAACAAAATAAGTTTAGTTTTTTGGGGGTGCATTTAGATTTCAAATAATATATGTGCAATATGCACCTGCAATTAGTAAGGTTGGGTACGCACGGTGCAAAAGAGGTTCAACATGCATGCTGAAGCAAGGGCAATATTTTATTTAGATGCTAAAATATACAGGTTGCTTTGCATAAAACACCTGGAATAAAACAAGGTCTCACCAGTGGTGCATGAGGCATCTTGTCCAAGTGCCTCCAGCACAGAGAGGTTCATCTCAATCTTTTCCAGCGTAGCTTCCAACAAATTCACCAGCCTCTCCACACCATCACCTGCTGCATCCACCTGTCAGGGGGATATGGCAAGGTATATGTCACCCACATGCCACTAATGAGAATGTTGCTCATTCCATCGTTCCTATCCACTTTCTTTCAACCTCTTGAACCATTCATCGCTTTTAATTACAGTAATTACAACTAGCTTCATCATGTAATTACTGGCGAAACGTAACTAAGTTTCTAAATGTTGTGACTTGGCTCTCCAACACACCGGTGTGCTGTACTAGTGACGAATTGGTATGTTCTGTTTACGTGCCAAACATGCTAGATGGCTGTGTCGTGGCGGGTTTTAACAACACATATTTACAAAAACCTCTATTATGGATGAAATTGGTCGCGAACGCCTACGTGTTAAACAAACTAAAAGGCCACATACTTATGGCTGGGGTAAGTATATCCATAGGACAGTACTAAAGTTTGTCAATCCAATGCTGGATGAAAACCTTCTCAAATTGTATAGGTCATGGGAGTTATTTTACCAGTGTTCATTATGCTGGTCAGTGTGGGCTGGTGAAGGTGGGGAGGGGTAGCCAGGACAGGTTAAGATATTACTAATGTGAACTGTGGCCATGAATCAAACTTTGGGTACAAGATTCATAGCAGTGAGCTGCTCCGCATAAATAGGATTACCAGAGTTTATATTCTGCAGGAGTACTAGTTTTAGTCCCCAAATAGGAATGCAAGGCCGAGTAAACATTGACTAATTGGGAATGGGATGCAAGCGTAGGATTGATCACCCTGTCGCTGGCCGCCTTTGGGGAGGGTGTATAGTATGAAAGGCCGAAACACCCTAGGAACCAAAGGTTCACTACTGACGATGCGCTCCCCAAATTTCACCAGGCTCACCGTTCATGAACTCTTGGAAGTGCTTGCACAAAGGATAGTAACATCTCATCCTGTGTTCTTTGGAATCTGAACCGAGATTTAAATTTGCAACCTTCTAAATGCTAGCTGTGCACTCTAACCTTACCGCCATTTGGCCAACCAGCACATTCAATACAAGTACCTCGATAAAGTTAACACTCCCTTGGGTTCATGGAAAAAGCTCTTAAGGTCATGTGTTAATTTCACTTTGAGCATGTCAAAGTGAGCATAAAAACACACCTCAATGGAGACCAAGTGGGGAAGCTGCTTTTCCACGAGTGTGATGAACAGCATAAGGGTGCTGTGCACCTTCTGATGTAGTTTCTCCTGCTGCACGCCATCCTGCTTTAAAAGCTGTAGAAATCATATTATTTTCCCATTTAGACATTTTGTAATATTTGATGCAAAAAATTGTAACTTAAAATGTAGTATCTGTACAGTATACATTTCATCAAGCACATTTAGTGGTAAGTTATTGATGTAAGCCGGAGATAATATTTACATTTAAATCCCCATATCCTCATTATAATCAAGCATTTTCTTAGGCAGTTAACAGTTAAATCAGATTAACATGATCTAGATATTGCAGTGGCACCTAATATAATTATAGCCGGATAGTAACATTTGACTGCAAGGAGTCTAAGCTTACTCTCAGGCACATAGTCAGATTATAGAAATTACATGGACAAGATGTATGATGCCTTCATATTACACTGCAAATGTGTGTAGTACTCACCCTTTTGTTTTGTACTTCAATCACTTTGACGAATGCCTCCATTAAGTCATGAAAGTGGAAAATGCCACTCCAATCAAACAACTTCCCAAATTCATTCCCTTCCTTGGTACAAATCACACTTTCCAAGGTGGTCATCACAACACCACAGCTATCCACAATCTCAGAAAATGCCTCTGCCGTCGAGGCAACACCCTGCAGTTGCCTGGCCAACTGGCCAAATACATCTGAAGTAACAAACCGAAAGTCAGGCATCAGAAATGACTTCCACATGTCAAGGGCCAATGAACAAAGCTTTGCAGGCAGACACCAAGTGTCTTGGCCAGAGGGCCCACTCGATATGAAGTGCTGTTTCAACACGCTCATTACTTCAGACGCTACACTGACATCCTCAGACGCAGTGATGCTGGAGACACAGATCAGCTTGCACTGCTGCAGCAACAAATCAAACAGCAAGCGTTTGTACTGCTCTGTGTCCTGCGCAAACACATCAGTCAACAGGGACATCAGGGGTGAGTAATATTTGTCGCTTAGGAAGCGCAGGTCAAGCGCTGTCAGCTTGGCTCTGTCCCTCTTGTAGCGCAGGGCTGCATTCATGCTCTGACTGCAGAAGGCCGAGGGAGGCTCGCCCGAGCCGGCATTCTTCCTACCCAGCCCCTCAATGAAAACAAGAAACTTCACGGCTCTGAGCCGCATGAGCAGGACTTCCTGGCACTGGGACGGCTCTGCTTTGCTGGGGTCCTGCAGTGCAATCTGTGTTGCAACCCTTGCCAAGAAGTCATAGCTATATCTGGCGATGAGGTCATAGTCCTTCAAGAGTGCACTGTCTTGCACACAGACCTCCCGCCACCTCATCAGGGAGCTGAATATGTGATCAGAGAAAAGCACAAGGCTTGAGTGCAGGCCACAGTCACGCAATTTCTTAAGAAGGTTCAGGAGGATTTTCTCCAAATATAGCGGCATGTCCTTCTTTTTACTTAGGGCCTTGAAACCTTTAAAGGCTTGCTCAGCCACACAGGAAATCAAGGCAAGGCTTTTTTCAGAGTGGCTGCCATCGGCCAGATGATGAAGACATTCTCGCAGAACGGAGTCGCACACATCTCCTGTCTTGATAGCTGCACTCGCCGACATAGCGGTGCTGCTCTTCAAGGACGGATGCAGGCTTCCCTGGAGAATGAAACGAAATCAGAATCTGTATTTATCCTGGAGGAATCAGATGAGTTATACAACTATTTTGAACAGATATCAAATCGGGCAGGTAAGAAGGTTACAACAAACAATACAAAAGCATAATAGGAGTGCAAAGTAGGGGAAACAAACTATTCTCAAAGGAGAAAAAAGATAAACAAATTAAACACATACAAATAAAACTAAACCATTTTCATCCTCTCAGACAAAGCCCACTGAGGTAAAAACTTACTTTTCAAAAGCGACCTGGCCACAAATGATAGCTCAACAAGTGACTTATCATTTTGACATTTATAGCAGCAAAATAATCTAAAGTCTAAACGTATGTTTCTTAACTTGGAGGTAAAAACCGGAGGACCCGGAGAAAAACAATCCAGGCGACCACGGGAAGAATATGAAAACTCTAAATATACAGGCGCCCATGGTCGCGCTCGAACCCCCGAACTCGATGATACCAGGCGAGGGAGATAAACATTTCAACCACCGTGGCGCTCCTATAAATATAATCAAGTACACAAATTAAAATTGCATATATTCTCAAGCTTCGGAAAGGCGGTAAACAACAGCAAAAACAGTCCCAGATCTCACCAAGACAACGCATAATCTTGGAATCAAAAAATTTACTCTCAATACATTGTGAAGAATTGGCTGTATCCAACACTAATCTTCCGTTTCAGAATATTGGTGAACAAAACTTTCACTCTGCAATATGTCTGTATCTTGTGTACGTTGCCTTTAAAATATAAATGGGTGAACCATATGCATTTGTATGAGAAATTAACCAACCAAATCCAATTCAACAAAATGTAACCAAATGTATTTTTCATCATTACGGTGGAGTGTAGATAATAAGTCTGTTCGGCGACATGAAAATAAAATATTGGCCTATCAAGCCCATGGGCCTTCTGTATCAATGTTTTCAAACAGAATTTGCTTAAGCAGACAAACTCCTAAACTTTGATAGGTGTCTTGTAAAAAAAAAATGGCACACTCTGCTAATGAGACATCAGAGCACTATTTTTTTTCTGGAAAATGTACGTCTCTAAAGGCCCGGACCCAAAATTCTACACCTAAATAGAATCGTCACCGTGATCATTGTTTTTTTACCCTTTTATCTGGCAACAAAACTGACACCTTTTTTTACAAGGAGTCATGTTTGACCACAATACCTGCGGTCAGAATGCAAACAAAAAACACAATTCTGATAATGCATGTATGCACTGTCCTTGAAATTGATTGGTCCACACCCGAGACAGCTTTTCCTAGAGCCTAGTCCTACATGGTGTTGGACCAGATGACGCCAAAAGACTCCTTGTAAAAAAGGTGTCAGTTTTGTTGCCAGATAAAAGGGTAAAAAAAACTATTATCATATTTTGCTACTGGCAAAGGGGGTTCCAATGGAGAATCGTCACCGTTCATGAAATCTGGTGGAACGGGGGAGCAGTTTCATTTATTTCATTTCATTTATTAGGTACAAGCCCTGTGAGCCATTCGGCTCTTGAATCGGGTGCAACCGCAACAAACAACAAAAACATGGACAAGAAAACATCTTAAAGTGACTGAGTGCAAACAGAAAATCCAAGAAAAGACAGCAAAATATTGCAGAAAAATCACCGTACACCAACGCTGTGTGCAAAGTCAAACAACAACAACCACAAGACAACTTAGATTAAGGCCATCATTCTAACTCCGTACTACAACAAACATGGCCAAACCGAAAAACTTTTAAAAAATCACCAAAATAAAACCATAAAAGCAATGTAACAGTGACCAGGTCGAGGTAATTAGTAAAAAAAACATTAACAAGTACAACAATCTCGACACATCGCCAATGCTACTCCTACCCTGTGAGGGAACACTTAATAAGAGAAATATGGCAATCTTAATTTTGGAGCTTTCGTGACTGCAGGAATTATTCTTTGTTTCTTTCGGTTTAGTCACGTCTAAAGATAAAATAATAAATTAAAATAATAGCATATTATAATATGCTATTATTTTAATTTATTATTTTATATGGCACTGTAGACTTGAGAACATTGGAATTGGAGTAAATGTGGCTGGGCCCCTTTCCTCGTCGCATGGATCTCGACTGCACAAAGACGCAACCGCATTCCGTGGGCTCTTGGATTTATATTTGAAGTTTTCGTGTCTGCAGGGATCCATAATACTCTTTGGTTCTTTCGGTAAAGTCACGTAGGTATAAAATAATTTACTTTGTTTCATCTCGCATTGTTTTTGTTTAATTTTGGGAACCGCGCTCACCAACCTCGAAGTTCTTGAGGAAGGCGCTGAGCTCCGCCTCGCTCCGCGCGCGTTTCAACTCGTCCACGATGCTCATTTTGTCCGGTAAAAGAGACCGTGGCAGAGAGCGACGAATGGCCCCCGGGGGTGGGGAGACCAAGAGACGACGACGAGAAGGACGAGGAGGAGGACGCCGCCACCGCCGAGAAAAATTTTGAATTATTCCGCCCGGTGCCACGTGACCAACGGCCGAGCGGCAGCGCGGTGACGTCACGCCGTCGCGGCGGTTGCCGTGCGCGATGACGTGACCCGAGGCGGAACCGTTGCTCCGCGCGGTGACGTCATGCCGTGCGCGATGACGTCACCCGAGGCGGAACCGTTGCTCCGCGCGGTGACGTCACGCCGTGCGTGCGCGATGACGTCGCCCGAGGCGGAATCGTTGCTCTGCGCGGTGACGTCACGCCGTGCGCGATGACGTCACCCAAGGCGGAATCGTTGCTCCGCGCGGTGACGTCACGCCGTGCGCGATGACGTCGCCGAGGCGGACTCGTTGCTCCGCGCGGTGACGTCACGCTGTGCGCGATGACGTCGCCGAGGCGGACTCGTTGCTCCGCGCGGTGACGTCGCGCCGTGCGCGATGACGTCACCCGAGGCGAACCGTTGCTCCGCGCGGTGACGTCACGTCGTGCGCGATGACGTCGCCCGAGGCGGAATCGTTGCTCCGCGCGGTGACGTCACGCCGTGCGCGATGACGTCGTCCGAGGCAGAATCGTTGCTCTGCGCGATGACGTCACGCCGTGCGCGATGACGTCACGCCGTGCGCGATGACGTCACGCCGTCGCGGCGTGGCTCCGTTTGTTGAAAGGCGGCGGGCGACGTTGTCCTCCTCCACCCCTTGGTGCTTGTGGTTGAGACAACAACAAACACAACAAAAACAACAACAACAACAAAAGTGTGCGGGTTCGTCCTCCAGCAACAACGGAGGGCAGAGAGAAGCGTCCGCTCACAACAAGCGGAGCGCCGGGTCCGGATACAATGCAGCAAGTTGGCAATGGTAGAGGGGGGCTGGGGTAGAGTTGGTGGTGCATCTACCAGTCATCTCAGTGGGGCCAAGGGGCCATCCATTTAGGGGTTAACCTAAATGCGTAGCTTGCGTATGGGGGAGGGGGGTCTACTGACAATGTGCGTACGCATAGGAAACGGGGGGGGGGGGGGGGGTGAAGCCTCTATAATAATTTGTCTACATTGGGCTTAGATAGTCCGGCGGTGGACTATCTGCTTAAACACGTTAATATTTCGATTTAAAGCTTTAGTGATAATTGTATTGTTTTATTTGTATTATTTCCCTTCTACGTGACTACCGAAAGAACCAAGAACACGTTAATATTAATCATTGATCGTTTCTGCGTGGATTAAATATCGGCCGTTCTATAGGATTGGGGGTGGGGGTGTAAAAAGTCCACGTGCGTACAGGGAGGGCTCAAGTTTTGACAGATGTTTGCGTACCCACTAAATGGATGGCCCCCAACAACCCATGTGGGCACCTGCTGGGTCTGTTCCTGAGACCTCCTGCCAGCAGCGAACCCCTTCGCCACTCCACGTTGGCCGCAAAGTGCACCTAGCCTGGCACAGGCACCGTGGTGACGCCACCCTCACTTCGTGGCCAATAGCTAGTGTTGGTATTTGTTAGTTGTGCGGTTACTATACTGTACTCTTGGTTCTTTCGGTAAAGTCACGTAGGTAAAGAAAATAATAAATCAAATTAAAGATAAAAAATACATACAATGTAATCACAACGTTTCGATTGTAACACAAGCAATCGTCATCAGGTGTGAACACAGCAAGAAAATGTATACTAAAGTGGGAGATTTGAAGCTAGAGATGCGATTCTTGGTATTTTTTCCGCTGCTGATGTTATGTAAACAATAGGATAGGCTACCGGTTGGTTCCTCCACGTAACAAAATATACAGGTACAGGAACTCTCTACTTACTCTTTGTTTTTTTCGGTAAAGTCACGTAGGTAAAAAAAACTACGAAATTAAATCACGACGTTTCGGAGGCAACACAAGCTTCCGTCTTCAGGTGGAAACCGTCACAGCAAAATTGCTGTATCTCCTCCTCTACTTACGAACGAGTTAGGTTCCAGATGTCTGTCGATTCCAAACGCGTCGTACGGCATGCAGTGGCGGCTCGTGACATTGCCACTAGGTGGCGCTGTTGTGAGTGACCTCTGAAACGATGGTGTTCTAATTTTACAAAACCTCGTCGTGTTATTGGCCTTCCCGTGAAAGATATATAACTGTCTAATCTACCAACGGTAGGCATTTATAAACAATACGAAACAAAACAAGAAACCACTCGTGCTGTCCCCATGACCCTCCAGTCCACACCACACAACCCCTTTGACACTGCCAAAAACCCGTGACCTGCTATATTTGCACAGTGCAACCTAGTGTTATGACATCGTCATTGCAACCATGGGCGCCTTTTTCACTGCCCTGAATAGGTCTCAATCGGCGTGGCTAAAATACGAAGCTAATAGCAATGACTGAAAGGATATCTCTCACTCGGACATCTTCACAGTTGCCCCGAGACCTCCCCGAGGCACAAATCAGACTGTGGTGTTGCAGCGGTTTCTAATATGAAATGTTCCATTGATTAGGCAATTCACGTTGAAATAATCATTACAAAACTTTTTTTTATAGAAAAGTATTTTTATTACAAAAAAAATTTCTCATCTCAAGCTGCTTGGTGGGGCTGCGCCCCAACGGCCCTAGTGGACGAACCACGCCTGACGGCATGTACACTAAATACAGGAAATGGCTTTAAACGTTGCATAATGTCTTGGAGATGTAGATGCCACCACCGCCATCTATTGCGCGGCGGTTGAACTTACGACTCTTATCTCAACAGGCAACTGGACTTCGACAGATTTGTTTCTTTGAAAGTTAGTAAGTCGAGTGTTCCTAAGTAGAGGAATCGCTGTATATGGTTACACATCCCGTCAGCCACACAGCCTTTCTGGGAGTGCATACATTCAGCAGCAATACAAGAAAACTGGACCGGTTTCAACATTCAGTCTCATCAGCCGTGAGGCAGGCTTGAACCAATGCTGATGAACTGCCAGATGTGTTATAGGCAAGGGCCCTCGCTATTTACGATAATGGTCCGAGTTTGACGCAAAACTATACAAAGCATGACACAAAATACTCTCGCTTCCCATCCATTTCCATACGGATAATATATTACCTGGATTATAAAACGCTCCAAAAAATAAGATGCACCCCACTACTTGTGCCCAGTGTCAATAAAGTTATACAAATCTGTTCACACACCGGATTATAAGAAGCACCCACAATTGTTTTTATTTCAAATACAGGGAGAAAATGTAATCTTATCTGGAGAATATGATCACATTTTGCCATGTAAAAAATAATTTATGCATCTCAGTCATACACCACCTTGTAAGAGAACGACCGTGGAAGATCACTACAGGACTACATTGTTGGACCTCCCTTAATAACAGGTTTTAAGATGTTAAAACACCACACATAAACCTTTTGCAAGAAATCATGTCTGCATTAACCACATATACTTGTGGTGAACCTGCAAACAAAAAACATGTTCTGGTAGTATATGCATTGTCTTTAAAACTGATTGGTCCACACCAGAGACAGCTTTCTTTAGAGCCTAGTCTCAAACAGTGTTAGACCAGAGGACGCCAGAGGACGCTTCTGGTCTAATACTGTTTGATTTGGAATTCGCCCAATTAATTTACAACCCAGTATCCACTCACCCACCCACGGGCCTGTTAGCACAAATCTTCACGTGAGCTGATCCCATTGCTCCATCACTGTAGTTGTTATCATCTTATATCTCCTTAACAAGCCTTGATGGTAACTGGCTTGTTTTTACCTATAATAAGACATGTCCTCACTTGATACAGTAAATTTGGCTGTGACGGTCCCACCTGAAGACGGAGACTTGTGTTGCCTCCGAAACGTCGTGATTTAATTGATTTATTTTCATTTATTACTTTTTTATTTTTTACCTACGTGACTTTACCGAAAAAACCTACGAGTAAGATATGCCCTCTCTTTGGCAATGTATAAGTGCAACATGCACCAGCCTGTGATAACGTCTTGTTTTGGATTTGCTATGTACAAAGATAGTTTTGACATTCTGGGGGTTGTACATGAAATAAAGTCAATTTGATTTCTAATGTCTCTATTTGGGCTCCATTTTTTTAAGTGTTCATTATCTTTGCACCCCTTATGGCTATTGTTAATTTTCTTTGATCAAGATGAAGATGTCACCATGGCCAAATTCATTGATGCCACCACACCTTGCCAACATGTTCCTCCCACAGCTGTTGCACAGTAAACACCCTATCTCCAAGGCCTGTCCTCACAGTATCCTACCATCTACTCTAAGGTGTTCCCCTTGGTCACTAGGTCCATGAAGACCACTCCAATATCTACCTTGGCAATCGGCCCTCTCAACCTGCACACTTTCCACGAAATGCAACCAGTACAATAATTACCTGCCATGTTCTCTTTTGAACTGATGAATTGCTCTTTTATCTTCTTGGTTTTTTCGGTAAAGTCACGTAGAAGGGAAGTAATAAAATAATAAAAATAAAACATAAAATAATTCTCACGACGTTTCGGCTACAACGCAAGCAGCTGTCTTCAGGTGAAGAATGAGACACTGCCAAGCGAGGAGCTTATATATAAGCTGAGTTGGAGGTGGAAGAAGAGCGCCTTAACAAAAGAATGTGCATATCAAGAGGATCTTATGATATTCATGGGAAATGCGTAGGAGGTGGGCGGGGGGGGGGGGTTTCAAAGTCATATTATGCCCATGCATTATGCAGGATCAGCAGCACCAAAGGGAGGGGGGTAGCATTAACAAAGGGAGGGCATGTTAATAGTATGTAGAAGCAATGAAACATGTGAATGGGAGAACGGTGGCAGGAGACCCGCAGCGGAGCAAATAATGCGTTCCCTGTGGAGAACACAAGATACACATTTAATGCCAGTGAGTGGACTGCGGTCTGAATTGCTTATACTGGTAGGAACCTCCTGGTTACACCAGCCACAGGGGATTATTGTGTCCGTCATGCAGGGATGGGCTGGGTGGGGAGGGGAGGGTGGAGAGGGGCTGGGTGGGGAGGGTGGGGCTGGGTGGGGAGGGTGGGGCTGGGTAGGGAATGGGAGGGGTGGGGAGGGGCTGGTCACCCCGTGGTGTCCTTATAAAACTCAACGTTCAACCTACTCACGCCGGCTTGTGCCCGCCCTCACAGGCATATTTGCGGAATACACCACGCCGCCGTTGAGCCTGGCCATTGACCCGAGCAACCAAACGTCCCTACCAGCTCCCTCCGCAGGAATGTGTTCCTGTTCTGGCACAACATTCCTTGTTATCATCTCAGACACCTGTGCTCAAATCCCAACAACTTATCTTTGTCTTCTTGGTTCTTTCGGTAAAGTCACGTAGAAGGGAAATAATAAAATAATAAAAATAAAACAATAAAATACAATTCTCACGACGTTTCGACTTTACCGAAAGAACCAAGAAGATGAATCCCTGCAGTCACGAAAGCTTTAAATCGAAATTTAACTTATCTTTGATTTGTTTAGCGTCCAGCACAGGACATATTGAGGTAGATGGACAACCCCCACATATCGTTGGACCTGGAAACCACTGTGAATAAAGTTTTACAGATACAGGTCCCAATATGCTGCACTATTATAGTTGAATAAAAGGCACTGAAAATCCGACATTAGTTGTGCATCGTTAATTTTAACTTCACTTATGAGTATTTGAAGTAAGAATATTGTCCAATAGGATTGTAATCAGGGTAACCAATCTGTGACTATTCTGTTTACAGTGTTAGCAGGTACATTTCAGTTTATTAAAACTGAGATGAAATTTCAGTAACCTGATTCCATCCCTTGGGCAAATACATCAGAATGCTGTAGTACCAGCTATGAGACAAACAATCTACTGCACACATGATCCATTGGCATTTTTATTAAATCGGCCAATTTCAGGAATTAGTCCTGAGGAAAAACCCAGTGAAGTACAACGCAGGACATGTCATTCAAACAAATGAACCCAAAGTGTTTACAGACTTGATTCTATGACATTTGACAAAGAAATTGCTGCAGTGCACGCCACGACAGTGCTAATTCATCAATAGAGGCATTACCACTGTTCATGTGAATTTTGTTCTGCTTCCATAAAATCCATTCTAGAAATGTCTGATCAGGTTTGATGCATATTGTATTGTATGTGGCAGTGGCTCAAAACCTTTTCTGGACCCGCAAACCACAGTGCACCAATAAAAAAAAATTCTAAAAGCACTATAACATGTTCATGAATAAGCCATAAAAAACTACAAACTGGCTTTTTTATTGATCCATCAAAATGTATATGCTTTGGGCAGTAAAAAAATGGTGTTTTGTATAAAATAAATCGTTCTGAAAAAGTTCTGAGGACCACTTCCTACGGCCTTGCAAACCGTGGCCCACAGCCCACAAATTGGAAGCTACTGGTACAGTACAGTATATGGAACACATAAGCCTCGATTTGTGTTACAGTATTGAAAGCGGTATTGTCATGCAGAGACGTGCACAATGGTGTGGGAATTTAGGTGTGCAGAAATGGACAATCAAAGCCATGAAAATCTTGGCTATGCTTTGTCCACTCAGAGCCATTGGGCAAAAATTTATCACGTAAAATAGTAACAGCATACAATGATGTGCACTTAAAAATGTATAGAGCAGATAGAGGTGTAATGGCACCAGTACTCTGTGCCAGACATACCCTTGCTTTGTGTATATCTGTTTGCATTTGGCTTATGGTGGTAAAAAAATCCCTGAGGATCAGAGATGGTAGGTACACACTAATTTGCACATGCAGCATTTACTTTACATGTTGATATAATAAACCCAAAATCAATGCAACACAGTTTATGTTGTCATGTGACTAGTGGAGACAAATGGGGATATCACAATTGTCATGTATATGTTTTCATAGCTTTTTCATTTCCTACGTTTAAAAAACTTTACATGTCAGCAAACTGACTTTACCCACTGTGCAAACACATAACATAAAATTAAGTTTTTTTACTTTTTACCATTTACAAAGTCCCACAACAGTTCACATTGCATGGTTAAAATAAAACTGAAATAAGGCAGTAAAATTAAACGAAACAGTTATAAAATTAAACCAAAACATTCCAATCCTCAAATGAAAGTGACAATGTTACGCAATCATATTCTAACATTAACCAACCCTGCCTATATACGCCCACATGCCTTATGCATGTTGAAACCTGCACACTGAAATCGCTTCATATACTTTACGTATTTTAATATCTTGCCCGTCAAGTGATTTTTGTGTTCAAGTAGCTTCTTTTTGGTGGACTTTGGTTTGGGTGCGGTGGTTGTGGGGCCATTTTCAGTGAGTTTGAGGAGCATTCGATAAAGTGGCCCACCTGTTTATTTTGTAGCCAGTTCAACTCCATTCCGCGTTTCACCGTTCCATCACAGGACTACTGTGTAATCTAAACTTCAAACTTTTGCCCTCACTCCTATAAACGCGCACGTATACAATTCCATCAATGTGGAATAAATAATGAATGAAATCACACAAAACATGACAATTTTGTTGACAAATGTGAAGCCTTGGGTTTGAAAATCTTTGATGTCAATAAGATAACCTACTTTGTTATTTTTAAAGAAAGTAAAAAAAAGTATTTTTAGACACACTTTTGAGTGACTGATTGCTTAGGTCACAAAGGTGAAGGAAATGCGTCATTCACATCCCATAGTTTTCTCTTTACAGCATTTACTGTCAATGACATACAGAAAATCAATTCTGTACTTGCCCGATCAAAAATTATAATTGTTCACACATCAAAATGCAACTTTTGACAATTTTTATTCACTATTGATAAGAATTAGTTACACAATGTTTCTAAGTACACATAACAGCAATACAACAGACATTTAGTTGTGATATAAAAGTGGAATATCAACTAAACAATATTTGCCATGTAAAAATCATACGTAAAGATGATCGTTGTTGAGGGTTCATGTCGTGTTCACGTGTACGATCTTGTTTCTCTATTACGAAAATAAAATATTTGACCGGCTTTCGTGTGTTGTAATACACACAAGGAATATATTGAAAATTCTTACTTGGTTCATATGCTTAACATCTAATTTTGCCTAACATCTGTTCGCTTTAGACGCATAACGGTCATTAGAAACAATTTATTTGCATCAACGGTTGTGACAAACACGAAGTATCCGAACGTGGCGCTGTTTACAAAACATCTTGGCACGGGCTCCGATTGAGAAATCTCTGAGACGTGCCTCGTGTTTCCAAGTCGAGGGATCCCCCCCCTCAACCTCCACCACGAGAAGTGTTTAATTGGGGAGGGTACAGCATATATAAACCACGAGTCGTATCTGGGAAGTGCTCATATATATCAAGCAAGGTTCCACTGTTTGCTAAGCCAGGCAGAGCGACGCAAACGGTGTTGAGTAAAAATTCCCACCACCAAAGAAATGTTGGGTTTTGTAAAGCCGACATAAAAGGTGGTTGTTGGCAACGCGCGTGGGTGTGTTAGCGATTCATCGGGTCCAAAGAGCAAGGCTCGCAGAAGCAGAAGCAGCGACGTTTGGACTTTTCTCGGAGCTGTTCAAGTCCGTGACCAAAGCCTGTGCTGTGTCACAGATGAGTTATTAAACATGAAGCACTTTAATCTGTGCTGGATTTTTCTATGTTTGATCGTTCTTCCTCCAGTATCAGCGCAGTGGTGGAGTGTATTCAAGGTACCCACAAAAGCACCTGCATTGCCAAAGACGGGGAAGGTGGAATCAAAGGATGGTAAACAAACCACTGTCGCGCCTACAGATCCGTCGTTCAATGAAGAAGACGAATATGATCTTGAAGAAGAGTTGACCGACGAAAACCAGGAAAATTTGGACGAGAACGAGACAGAAGAAATAGATGAGGGACAGAACGAAGATGAAGATTACCCTGAGGAAGATTACGAAGATGTCGATTTTTTAGGGGAGGCTAAAGAGGAAAAAGAAGGGGAAGAGGACAACAAAGAGGAGGAATTGGAAGAAGAAGTGGAGGAAGTAGAAAATGAAGATGAGAACGGAAACACGAAGATTAGTGATGAAGACATAGATCATCTGGACCCAATCGAAGATGACGATGATGAAGACTATTCAGGATGAAACGACAGACAGCGGACCGGTTAAAGGTGACAACGGAATCATAGCTGGTAGAGATGATGAGAATGAAGGTATGCATTCGTTTATTTATTGTTTGAATCAATGAGTATGGACTGTACGTTTATAATTTACACGCATATATGATCTGCTCCTACTTATGCTAATATACGGTATACACACCGTGTTGTCTTACAAAATCATTTCCATTGTGATTGTGTCGTTAAAGAGAGCAATTTTTTAGCAATGTGTGTGATTACGTCATCACAAGACAGGACTTGAGCTGGTAAACCTCAATTAGATTTAGAATTAGTGCAGTAGATGTCAGCATAACAACCTAAGCTTTCCCTACACTAATTTTGCGTGCTGAAGCTCTACGCAAAAGGTGCGTGCAGTACAACCTTTACGAGTTGAGTGGATAAGATCTCTAACATTTATGTGAACTTGTATCACAACCAGCGTGAGCTGTCAAATTAGCCTGTATGTAGTAGCATGCAAAAAAACAAGATATATACGGCCTGATAGAGTTACCACGCATAAAAGCCTTTTGTAACATAAACGAGTGGTGGGTTACGTATCTGTAAAAAAAGCTGTTCAGAGTGTCAGCAGTATTAGCACGTGTTCAATTCATGAACGGTGGCCTTCACGTCATTTTCGTAAACGCAATTAATTTTAAACTTGATTTCAAGCTTTCGTGACTGCAGGAATTACTCTTTGATTCTTTCGGTAAAGTCACGTCGTGGATAAGGTATTTTTAACAAGAGGAATAATGTACAGCCCTCTAAGTCTACTGCCGGATGAAGGCTTCCCCATGCAGTATATGTAATGGGGGAGCAGAGATTAACCACATTTCACCGTTAGGGGAGGGATGGTAAAGTTATGGGGGAAGGGGGAGACAGGTACAGATATCACTCGCCAATGATGTTAGCCGTGGCCGGTTATCAAATTAATTTCACCGGGTTCATAGCAGTCTGATAACCACCCCTCCACCCCAAGTACGTACAATACAACAATGTAAACATGCACGTTGTTATATCTGTCTGTATTGTCTGGAAGTTAGGATCTAGTAATCCATTTTTGTGTTTTTATATAATATAACAACACAACTTTTGATTTAAAGCTTTCGTGACTGCAGTGATTCATATCCTTGGTTCTTTCGGTAAAGTCACGTGGAAGAGAAATAATAAAATAATACAAATATAAAACAATACAAATTCTCACGACGTTTCGACTGCAACACAAGCAATCATCATCAGGTGTGAAATCCACAAATCCACAGTCGAAACGTCGTGAGAATTTCTATTGTTTTATACTTGTATTATTTTATTATTTCCCTTATACGTGACTTTACCGAAAGAACCAATAATATAACAACACAACGTTACTGTGCTATGCACAACGGTAAAATGGTGTGATTAATAAACTTGGAATTGTGTATTCACGTGAAACCCCACCTATGTATAGTTGTTATGGAGATGCAGAAATATTTCAAATGTCAAGGTATCACAGTTCAAGCATTCAGTGTATGCCTCGACACTGTTACATCAGGTAATTTATACTGTAAGAAATAACTAGAAAACTTACCTTTCATTATATAGTAAATGATGAATGGCATATGTACGCGTGCCAACGGAATGACAAGCCATCTGCAAAATGGCACGATTGCCTTATAGGAACCATGGTGGCAATAACCGCATCCTGGTGCTCCAAACCACTATGGCTCAACCATACGGCCCGTCCCTGCGTTACTGCGGTTAGAGAAGGACTCGTTTCAATCCGCCCTTGCAATATGGAATGCTCCGGCATCAACGGCGCTCGCCTAAGCCGCCGCACCCAGGGGCATTTGGGCACGCGCGTTTTTTTTTCCTTCATTTTGCGTGGGAGACGAGGAACGGTGGTTTGCTGTGAGTTTTGTTATAAAGGAGCGTGTGCCCGTAGGGTATAAGCCTCGGCAGGCATCCGTGTGGTGCTAACGCGGGCTTTCGAAGGCTACGCCCGTTGAAACAGACCCGTTTTTAAACACTAATAGACCGATGATGATTTGAAGGGCTAAGCGTTTGCATTGCACGTAAAATAAATGTTGACTGATTTCAAATGGATATGTACTCGTGTTAAGGCTGCGGTTGAACTTGCCACCATCACTGTTCCAAAAAAATGATTATGTACAGGTATTTACTGTGTGGTGAAAAAAAAAAACCTTTGTGTCTCTTAAAATGGCCCAGCAAAGAGACAAAAGGCTTCATATTATTTTCCCATGCCTAGGCAGCAAACCACCCCATGACCACACATCTTCTTTTCTCAACCACTGACCTTAACGCCTCCAAAGTTGCTCACACGTGACTATTTACAAAGGCACCTTGACAAGGTGATGAATGCATCAGTGCATGGGATGTTCCTTGCCAGGGTGACTGCTTTTGGGACATAGAGCAGTTAATATCAGCCTTTTGTGGCTGTAAAAGCCATGCAATTAGCACGTAAGGGGACATTCAAATAGTGTTTGAAATGAGGCAATGGGCCAGAGAATAAATTTGTACCACTTAAGGTAGCAATACTTTAGTTTCACCAAGTTATTTATATTGTGAATAAGAGTCCATCATTTGATAACCCACTAATTTCAAATGCTCATCACGTAATTCACTCTTGTTTTCCACACGAAAAAATGTAACCACTGAAGAAGTTATATCACCTAGGGTGGCCTGGGACTCTTGAAATAAATGGTTGGACTGTGGGGACTGGGAGCACACACAAAAATGACATCGCTGTCACTTTATACATTTATTTGTTTGTTTTATGAAACACATACCACGGTGTATTATGGTGTATTTTATGTATATGGTGGTAAATGCACGTGCATTGTTGTTCAGAATCAGCTTATGTAAATATTGTTTCATCTCTCTACTGTGGTAATTAGTATCAGCTAAGGGTACGACGACTCATTTGTGAAGGGATATTTTTTTTTTATCCCAATGAAATGCAGAGTACCAGTGTACCCGTGTCATGACCACATTAAGAATTGTGTCCATAAAGATTAAAATGCCAGATTGGGCCATCACGATTGCTCACCAAGGCTCAATGCCTGTGTGCTTAGTAAAGTCGCATTGAGAACACTGCAATTGGTTTAAGGCAATGCCTCATAAATTTTGTTATTATTGGGTGTAAACAGTTTGGTTCCACCTAATTTCAAGAGTCTTTGTTTGGAACAAAAACTATGTGTAAAACCCACCAATGCAACACACAGACACTTTGCACAGTCAGATATTGATTTGTAATAGGTTTATTTTTTTATACCTCATTTGTATCTTGTGACAATTTTAATAACGGATGAAACTGCTCAGGTCAACAAAGTGGATTTCTATCACAGTAGGACTAAAAAGGAAGGGACCATTTACTGTTCTTGTAGTTTGGTGTTTATGATAATTTCATGAATAATATATAAGTCATGAGCCAAGTACAGACTTCTCATCTCTAGCAAATTATTGCCAACGACGATGATGACATACAATTCAAACACCTTACAGATTTGGAATCGAATTAGCCAATAACTTGCAATTTGCCACCCCAGTAGCAAGCGGGCCGACACGCAGGGCTACCTGTCCAGATTTTTTCTATTCCTTTTTTTCCCTTTTGAAAACTGTGGACTGTCAAACCCACACATCACCTGACTGGGTTTGTGGTTAAGCTGCGTGCGTGTAAGGACACAGCAGCCCTGGATCGCTGTCGCCAATAAGCAGCTGCTAGCAGCACACGTGAATAGCATAGCCCCATCACGAATCCGAAGAACTCACAAAGCTATAACGCAGCGCGGAGCCCTGTCTGAAAGAGGCTTGGCTTATTCATACATTTTTTGTTGTCTCCAAGTGAGCCAAGTTCACTTTTGAGTGAAGTGTGTAAGAAAAGAGAACCTAATGAATTTGGATGCATTCACACCCGCATTGCACAAAAGAACTCTGCTTGAAAGTTAAATGAGTTATTTTGCATTCACGTTGCATTTACAAACACATGCACGCCTAGACCAAAATGACCCACAATGCACCCAATATTGCCACATCTCAGAAGCTAAGCAGAACTCAGCCTGAACAGCGCTTGGACGGGTAGCCACCATGCACACCAGGTTGTCACAGACATCTGGCGGACTAAGTTGGGCACAGCAGCGGGAAGGGCAGGAAGATCCATTGTTGGACTGTACTTCCGATGCCCCCACGTCTATGCCTCCTGCAGTCAGTAACCCGCAAATAACTCCCCATGACCCACATGCCATAGAGAGGCCCTCATCCAGCAGCGGAATAACATATTATACACGACTGTTTTAGCATGATAAATATCATAACTATAATTATGTACATGCACAGCAAAGACAAATACCCCCCATGCTAGGACGGGTGTATTGCAGTAAATCTGAAGCTTGCAAGCGAAAAGCAGACCGCGACGTGATAGTCATTGCATCAATTCGTGTGCAGTTTATAAGGGCGCGGTGACACGGACTTATTTCATTTTAAGGTTATATAATCCCTTGTTCATCATGACGTCCTTTTTACTTTGATGTCTCAACAGCGTTACGGAGACCACGTGACGTGAGGGCTCTGCCTTTGTAGTGAGGGTTGTAAGTTGACCCTGAGGAGGGGGGAGGCGCCGCCTCGCCCCCCATGTGGAGTGACGTCAGCCGCTAATTATTATGAATGGAGGGGGTGTCCATTTGGAGGACGTCACCTTATCATGATTATTAATGAGGGGGGCTGGACACATAAATTATTGGCTCATTATAGCATTGACAGACTGTAGTGGCAAGTGCTGTTAGCGAGCGCCTATCAAAGTTGGCATGGCACACGAGGGGGTGGGTGCCCAGCACCATGCCTGGCCGCCTTTATCTTCCTAGTGGAGATGCTTACACACCCACCTCACCAGGTACTTATTTTAGGTTCAGCCGATGTAGGGGAGGCCCGGGAATGGTTCACAATCATTACTGGTGTTGGCCATAAGCGGGAATTGAACTCGACTCCCCGGGGTTCGTAGCACAGAGTGCCATGGCCTTTAGTAACCCCATTCTTACGGCTGACACTATCCTGTAGGGCTGGCACTGCACGCCAAGCGTGATGCCATCCAGCGCTATCAATCAGCGCTCACCGGGCCCCTCTAGAGCCGGTACTACACAGTGACATCCCGCGATGTCACTACTCTACTATTGGTGCTCAAATGATAAGTGTAAAGACAAACACATCGTTATTGAGGGTGTTTAGAATGCCACTTTATATACAACTGGAGGGTTTCATCGTCATTTAATATTGTTATATAGAAATCATATGTTTTTGAAGTGATCCCCTGAGACTTATTTGGTCATGAAGGCCGCCGGCAGTCACAGACTATCCATAAGGGGTAATGCTTGCGTGAGTCCTGTATTAATCAAAACCCCTTCCATGTTTCTAAGGGCCTTCAGGGGGCAAGTCGGAGGAGGAAGAGCTTCCCCCTATTAAGGGAGACTTTGAACCATCAAGCACGCCTTCAGCAACACAGGTGAGCACATGTAGAGGTGAGGGTGGACATGATGTTACTTTCTCACCAGCTGTTATCATCTCGCCACCGTAGTACCCTATGGTGACGAGATGTTAACTACCTCGCCTGATATACAGGAGGTCGTGGGTTCAATCTTGCCGCCTGTATATTTGGAGTTTGCGTATCTTTCTCCCTGTGGTGGCAGGGATTTTTCTCCAGATCCTCTGGTTTTTCTCTCCACATTTAGAAACATGCGTTTAGAGTATGTGGCTGCTATACATTTCAACATGATACGCCACTTTGTTGACCTATCATTTATGGCCAAGTTGCTTCTGAAAAAGCGTTACATAGGTCAGTGGGCCTTACCTGGTAAAATAAAAAATAGTTTTAGTTTTTATAGTGTCATAGAAGGAATTTCAGTTAGTGCTGGAACACAACCAGGGCTTCAATTCTCACTCCATCACTAGGCTGGCTTGGAGTAGGAATTATTGGCGTAAGGCACTAGCACTAGAGCACTACCCATAATAACAATAATTATGTTTTTGGCGAGAAGGATGTGGCATGCGAAAACAATTCCTGGAACAGCGTTTCAGAGTGCTCTGGCTGAAATCAAGCACTGAACATAAGTCATTACAAAATACCCCATTGAATTTGGTGACATTTGCTGAACAAAACAAACCATCCATGAATGTGAATAATGACCCCTCATGGGATTACACTCACCTGTAGACTATGCAATCGTTATTTCGTGATTTCTTTTCAAATTTTCAAATCGTTATGTACACCGTGTGATCTAGCAGAAGAAGACAGTAATTATTAAATTTTGTGCAAATTGACCAAGACTCGAATGACCAATCATTAATAATATAGCATGCAGTGTTTCCCTCGGGTGACGGTGGGATGTGTTTACCACGCACAGGAAAAGAAAATAACGGTACTTCCTACAGTGAAAGTAGGCGATTCTATACCCAGCAAGCTTCAACCCAAAGGACAAATAACCAAGGAATTTCCTCTTATCAAGGGTGAACAAGTAAGTTAACTTATTGACTGGGTTCTCCAACAAGAGAGAGTGCCTTGCAAGGTTTTTTGTGCTGGCTGGTAATTTAGGGGGAACCACGATTGCGAGATGTTAACTACCTCGCCGGGTATACAGAAGGTCATGTGTTCGATCCCAACCCTGACGTCTGTATATTTGCAGTTTTCATGATCTCCCCGTGGTTGCGCGGATTTTTCTCCGGGTCCTCCGGCTTTTCTCTCCACATTTAAAATCATGTTTTCAGAGTATTTGGCTGCTATAAATTTCCACATGATAAGCCACTTTGTTGAGCTATCATTTGTGGCCAGGTTCGTTCTGAAAAAGACCTATATAGCTCAGTGGGCCTTACCTGATAAAATAAAATAAATGTACTTTACAGTCTTTATAGTGTCTTAGAAGGAACTTCAGTCCGTGCTGGAAAACAACCAGGGCTTCATTTCTCACTCAATTTCTACGCTGCCTTGGAGTAGGAATTATTGGTATAAGCACTAGAGCACTCCCCATGATAATAATTAAATGTTTTTGGCGAGATGGATGTAGTATTCCGAAACAATTAATGTAACCACATTTCACACTGCTCTGGCTGAAATTAAGCACTGGACATAACTTGTGAAAAAATACCACATTGAATTCAGTGACATTAGCTGAACAAAACCCACCATCCATTAATTTGAGCAATGACCCGTAATGGGATTACGCTTACCTGCAGATAACGTCATTCATATTGTGATTTCTTTTCAAATTTTCAAATCGTTACGTACACCGTATGATCTAGCAGAAGTAGACAGTAATGATTCAATTTTGTGCAAATTGACCAAGACACGAATGACCAATCATTCACAATATAGCATGCAGTGTTTCCCCCGGGTGACGGCGGGATGTGTTTAACACGCACAGGAAAAGAAAATAACGGTACTTCCTACAGTGAAAGTAGGCGATTCTATACCCAGCAAGCTTCAACCCAAAGGACAAATAACCAAGGAATTTCCTCTTATCAAGGGTGAACAAGTAAGTTAACTTATTGACTGGGTTCTCCAACAAGAGAGAGTGCCTTGCAAGGTTTTTGTGCTGGCTGGTAATTTAGGGGGCACCACGATGGCGAGATGTTAACTACCTCGCCGGGTATACAGAAGGTCATGTGTTCGATCCCGACCCTGACACCTGTATATTTGCAGTTTTCATGATCTCCCCGTGGTTGCGCGGATTTTTCTCCGGGTCTTCCGGTTTTTCCCTCCACATTTAAAATCATGTGTTCAGAGTATTTGGCTGCTATAAATTTCCACATGATAAGCCACTTTGTTGAGCTATCATTTGTGGTCAGGTCCGTTCTGAAAAAGACCCATATAGCTCAGTGGGCCTTACCTGATAAAATTAAAATAAATGTACTTTACAGTCTTTATAGTATGATAATTGGTTCTTTACCCTTCTATCTGGCAACAAAACTGACACCTTTTTGCAAGGAGTCATGTTTGCATAGACCGCAATACCTGCAGTCATAAATACAAACAAAAGACATAACTCTGATAATGTGCACTGTCCTTGAAGTTGATTGGTCCACACCCGAGACAGCTTTCCTTCGAGCCTAGTCTCATATGGGTTGGACCAGATGACGCCAAAAGGCGCACAACTCAAGGACAATGCACCATCAGAGTATGAGAGCTCGGGGCAAGCATCTACACTATGGGGACCTCATTTGCCAGTAAAAATATGATAATTGGTTCTTTACCCTTCTATCTGGCAACAAAACTGACACCTTTTTGCAAGGAGTCATGTTTGCATAGACCGCAATACCTGCAGTCATAAATACAAACAAAAGACATAACTCTGATAATGTGCACTGTCCTTGAAGTTGATTGGTCCACACCCGAGACAGCTTTCCTTCGAGCCTAGTCTCATATGGGTTGGACCAGATGACGCCAAAAGGCGCACAACTCAAGGACAATGCACCATCAGAGTATGAGAGCTCGGGGCAAGCATCTACACTATGGGGACCTCATTTGCCAGTAAAAATATGATAATTGATTCTTTACCCTTCTATCTGGCAACAAAACTGACTCCTTGCAAAAAGGTGTCAGTTTTGTTGCCAGATAGAAGGGTAAAGAACCAATTATCATATTTTTACTGGCAAATGAGGTCCCCATAGTGTAGATGCTTGCCCCGAGCTCTCATACTCTGATGGTGCATTGTCCTTGAGTTGTGCGCCTTTTGGCGTCATCTGGTCCAACCCATATGAGACTAGGCTCGAAGGAAAGCTGTCTCGGGTGTGGACCAATCAACTTCAAGGACAGTGCACATTATCAGAGTTATGTCTTTTGTTTGTATTTATGACTGCAGGTATTGCGGTCTATGCAAACATGACTCCTTGCAAAAAGGTGTCAGTTTTGTTGCCAGATAGAAGGGTAAAGAACCAATTATCATATTTTTACTGGCAAATGAGGTCCCCATAGTGTAGATGCTTGCCCCGAGCTCTCATACTCTGATGGTGCATTGTCCTTGAGTTGTGCGCCTTTTGGCGTCATCTGGTCCAACCCATATGAGACTAGGCTCGAAGGAAAGCTGTCTCGGGTGTGGACCAATCAACTTCAAGGACAGTGCACATTATCAGAGTTATGTCTTTTGTTTGTATTTATGACTGCAGGTATTGCGGTCTATGCAAACATGACTCCTTGCAAAAAGGTGTCAGTTTTGTTGCCAGATAGAAGGGTAAAGAACCAATTATCATATTTTTACTGGCAAATGAGGTCCCCATAGTGTAGATGCTTGCCCCGAGCTCTCATACTCTGATGGTGCATTGTCCTTGAGTTGTGCGCCTTTTGGCGTCATCTGGTCCAACCCATATGAGACTAGGCTCGAAGGAAAGCTGTCTCGGGTGTGGACCAATCAACTTCAAGGACAGTGCACATTATCAGAGTTATGTCTTTTGTTTGTATTTATGACTGCAGGTATTGCGGTCTATGCAAACATGACTCCTTGCAAAAAGGTGTCAGTTTTGTTGCCAGATAGAAGGGTAAAGAACCAATTATCATATTTTTACTGGCAAATGAGGTCCCCATAGTGTAGATGCTTGCCCCGAGCTCTCATACTCTGATGGTGCATTGTCCTTGAGTTGTGCGCCTTTTGGCGTCATCTGGTCCAACCCATATGAGACTAGGCTCGAAGGAAAGCTGTCTCGGGTGTGGACCAATCAACTTCAAGGACAGTGCACATTATCAGAGTTATGTCTTTTGTTTGTATTTATGACTGCAGGTATTGCGGTCTATGCAAACATGACTCCTTGCAAAAAGGTGTCAGTTTTGTTGCCAGATAGAAGGGTAAAGAACCAATTATCAGTCTTTATAGTGTCTTAGAAAGAACTTCAGTCAGTGCTGGAAAACAACCAGGGCTTCATTTCTCACTCAATTTCTACGCTGCCTTGGAGTAGGGATTATTGGTATAAGCACTAGAGCACTAGCCATAATAATAATGATATGTTTTTGGCGAGATGGATGTAGTATTCCGAAACAATGAATGTAACCGAATTTCACACTGCTATGGCTGAAATTAAGCACTGGACAAAACTCGTGAAAAAATACCACATTGAATTCAGTGACATTAGCTGAACAAAACCCACCATCCATTAATTTGAGCAATGACCCCTAATGGGGTTACGCTTACCTGCAGATAACGTCATTCATATTGTGATTTCTTTTCAAATTTTCAAATAGTTACGTACACCGTGTGATCGAGCAGAAGTAGACAGTAATGATTAAATTTTGTGCAAATTGACCAAAACACGAATGACCAATCATTCACAATATACCATGCAGTGTTTCCCCCGGATGACGGCGGGATGTTTTTAACACGCACAGGAAAAGAAAATAACGGTACTTCCTACAGTGAAAGTAGACGATTCTATACCCAGCAAGCTTCAACCCAAAGGACAAATAACCAAGGAATTTCTTCTGATCAAGGGTGAACAAGTAAGTTCACTTTTTGACTGGGTTCTCCAACAAGACAGAGTGCCTGGTAATGTTTGCGCTGGCTGTAAATGTATGGGGTGCCACGGTGGCGAGATGTTAACTACCTCGCCGGGTATACAGAAGGTTGTGTGTTCGATCCCAACCCTGACGCCTGCATATTTGAAGTTTGTATGTTTTGCCCGTGGTCGCGTTTATTTTACTCCGAGTTCTCCGGTTTTTCCCCTCTACATTTAGAACCATACGTTTAGAGTATTTGGCTGCTTTAAATTTCCACGTGATAAGCCACATCGTTGAGCTATTATTTGTGGCCAGATCGCTTCTGACAAAACACCTATTTAGCTCAGTGGGTCTTACTTGGTAAAATAAAATAAAAAAATATATATAGTAGTTAAGGCTGTACTACATAGCGATAGGGATACTGCCATTTGTAATTCTTCGCACACTGGACAGTCCAGAGGATTTTCGGATCAGTTCTTTCTCCCAGCCTGGTATGATGGATTACTTTTTTCAATCCCCCCCTCCCCCACCAGAAGTTGATTATCAGGTCGCATATGGTGGAGTATAGTGTGTGTACGCCCATCTCTTCTTCAAACACATCTCGCCAGCGTGGAAAAGTAGGCCAATTCATTTTAGAGGGGCTCTGTAGAAATTCCTCGATTAGACCCCTTCCACCAGCAGTGGCATGAGGCAGCCATTAAAAAATATATTTTTTTTCCTGAGGACACTTTCCACCACCATCTATCAACTCAAACCATCTGCAGAGTGGTTACAGAGTGGTTATAGCTTCAAAGTTCAAGCCTGAACCTTATTTTATTGTCAACTTGTGTTCACAAAAACTAGGAGATGCCTCCTGGGAAAACACAGCTTAATGGCAGCAAGCAGTCCCGCGGGAGTAGACTCACAAATTACGTGGAGAATTTCACGGCAGAGTCGATGCATGCCCACACATGCATGAGCATTTTGACAGAGGCACAGGTTCATCCACTCGTGTGGTGCAGTGTCACGCGGCTGTGCAGTCGATTGGTTATAAATGGTGAATGTACACTTAACTCGCTTTATTTTTCAGTTGTGTACAATTGCATTTTGGACTTTAACGACGATAACACGTACAGTACATATCTCATGTGAGCGAGAGCAGGTTGGAGTGCTTCTGGAAATCTGCACTTGATAATGAAAAGCAACGTTCCAATGTACCTAAAGAGAGTTTTCAATCAGTGCATATTGCCTGTCATGACATTAGATCGGAAACATGAAGACTGACAATATTTTTTTACACAAAATCTGAAAAGTGTGAAAAGAAGCATGGGGAGGTGCATGCTTGGAACTACACTGAGAAACAGGAAGAGGAACTCATGAATCAGAGAACAAATGCAAAAAGTAATCTTATTGAATAGTTATAGCAAAGTACGTAGGCTTTGGTCAGACATATTGCGAGAAAGGATGATTATCAGTGGTCGAGACTCATGGTGGAGTGACAGCCAAAGGAGGGACACGGACCGGAGAGGATGACCACTGCAGAGATGGAGCAATGATATCAGCTTGTGCAGCAGCTAGATGGATTGATGCATTGTGAGACTATGAATGATGGTGACCTTACTAGGCCCTCTCTAACATAATTTTTCCAAACAATCTATATGGCTAAATGGAATATCATTCTATGGTATATATGTGAAAGATCCCACTCATAGCCTTAACATACTTTTTGGGGCAAGTGCTGTTAGCGAACACCTATGAAGGATGGCACAGTACACGAGGGGGTGGGTGTAAAGCACTACAACTGACCGCCTTTTTCTCCCCATTGGTGACATTTGCACACTGCACCAGGTACTCATTTCAGGCTGAATCGACCTAGGGGAGGCTCAGTACTGGTTCAGATAATCGTCACTGACGTTGGCCGTTAGCGGGAATCAAACTTGGGTTGCCGGGTTCGTAGCGCAGCGCACTAACCACTACCACTCCCCATGGTACAGTATATATAGTATAGTTTCAACATACACGTGTAGTGGCACCACTGTCAGCCCTGCACTGGGGCCGGCTGAGATGACCTGTCAGGGATGGATGGCACTGCACTCCACGTGCAGTGCCAGCCCCCAGAGGTTAGGGGGCGAGAGTGTCGTGCACGGTGCGGGGTTCACAAGGGGCCATGGCACTCTGAGTGTCCCCGCGGCACACGTGACTGGAGGTACCGACTGGGGGGGCCTCCAAGGAGAGGGCTGGGGGACCACAGGTCCTATCGAGATCCTTCTGGGAGCTTCCAGAAGGTGGGCGTGGCTAGGGGCAGAACGAGCCCCCCACCGAGAATATAAGCCGGAGCCCTGAACAGGGCTGGCTGCTGTTGTATGAATGAAGACATGAAGTCGTCACCTGGAAGAAAATCCCCGAAGACAAGACCCGGACCCGAGTCGGGGTCCGGTCTAATATAGCCTCCCCAGTGTGTGTTAGGGTTTGGCTAGCCCAGAGAGACGACCTCCCTAGGTTATCTGTGGAATGGGAGATACCCCTTTGTGTTTAGGGCTGAATTGCTAAATAAACGTGTTGCCTCCAAAGAAACCTTCGTCTCCCTTTGTGTGAACCACTACACATGCATAAGCGGTTTAGCTGCTGTGAATCTGGCAACCCAAGTTCGGTTCTTGGCCACGGCTAACATCACTGACAAGTATTTTTCTGAAGTAGTCATGGGCACCCCTTCACTTCGCCAACCTTGCACTGGCATGGGGAGACCTTCATCGACCAGTTAATTGACAAAGCACTGTTCATTTCATTATTATTTAGAAGTATATATTTTACAGATGGGTGCATATTACCCTTAATCCAAAACTTGTCTTTCAGAATGAGAGAAATAATTGCGTACCAAGCTTCTCACTTAGTTTCAAATGCCTCTAGCAGTGAGATAGGAGCATGTACCGATTATAAATCAGGACTACCCATCTCTGCCATCCACACCGTGGCTTTGGTTTCTTACAGGCTCACACATGCACCACCATGCACAGCGGCTGGGTATGTCGTGCAAAGGTCACAAAAAGCAGCGTGATGAACGCACGAGCTGCAGTAGCTCAATCAGACATCTACAACTTCAATGGAGTTGAACTACACGAATAGGGAATATTCTAAGGCAGTGGTTCCCAATATGTGGATCACAGAAGAAAGGTGCGCCACAAGGCCTTGAGGAGTAGTCCCCGGTCTTGTTGCCATTAGGATTATCTTCACAAGACACCATATTTTTTTTATTGTATGGTGAGGGTTGACAGCGATCCAAAAAAGCTGGAAGCCACTGCTCTAAAGTTTGTTTGCATAAATATTGAGATTCTGCATTGTTTCGTATTTCAAGTAATTTTCGTTAAAACGCGCTCTTGTGAAATGCAAATCAAAATACCTGACAGGGCTGTTGCACTGACAGCATGTGGTTGCAATATCTTTATGACAGTTATAAGTTTCCTATCGCAGTTGGGCACTGATGTTACCACCTACCCAGACGTTACAAACAACTCATGATGTCATCATCACCTTTGGCCATCGACATGTGTAATGTTTAAAAACAACATGAGTCAGCTGTGAAACTGTGTGTTGGTGTTAAAATTGGAAAATGTCAGTGTTTTATTCTGTGGCATTGTTAAGTTTATACTGCAACCTGCAAAAATGTTGTGGTTATTCACCACCATTTATAGCGAGTAACCCAACGCCCTCGGAACATCAGATAAAACCTTTTGGAAATAGCACCTAGAAATGAAGTTTCTAGAGACCAGTGGAATGGATCTCAGGCTGCTTTTTGTGAACCTAATATATTATTGTGACATCAACAGGAGAACTGAGGTTCAACCAAATATGACTTGATGATCTAACAATGTAACTATCCTGCAACGTGTCTAGAAATTGATTTGAACAATTAGACTTTTAAATTATTCTTAAAATTAAGCTCAATAAGTTAACATGCAGGAAGCATAGTGTATTATGTTTTTATTTTAACAATAAGCTAAGACGATTCCACACTGACACAGATAGTTTGTGCATTGTTGGCAAAAAAAAGTTAGCCTACCTCTCTTTTGGGCAATAATTGTTTAACAAATTCAACTGCAAACAACAAACATCCCAGAACACATTTTACGAGCATTAGTCAAAGTGTGCTCTGCGTCTTATGCCTACTATCTGTCAGCTGTAAAAAGTCACATATTCTGTGAGAAATCGGCCTTTCATAAAAGTTATAACAGCTGCTACTGCAACAGTTTAAAGCTATCAAAAAAGTAGACCTCTTAATAAAAAAAAACGTAGCAGCTTAATTGAATTTATTGCGCAGTTATAGAAACAGCTATAGCAGAGTGCAAAGCTAGGCTTGTCTTGCAGATCCTTAAAACTAACTCCCAATGGCCATAGCTAATGTGTTTAATAACTCTAAGATTTGGGGTTAGTAATTGTGTACTAAGACGAATCAATGTGCTAAATAATTGTTTGGTGGCATGCCTGATGTTTGGGAAAGCAAACTCTTTGGAAACTGATAAATACTAGATTTGTAAGGGTCAAAGGTCTTTATTTTTCAGTGTGGGCAATTGCCAAAACTGATCCCATTTTATTATTATTGTCTTATATTCGTACCCTACTCAAGCCGTGTTTGTTTGCTTTCTATGTTTTTCAGGGGATCAGGGGGCCACCAGGGATACCAGGAAAGCAAGGATTAAAGGGTGCTGAGGTGAGCATCCCAACCCCTTTGGCATAGCCAACAAAACCTTCATAAAGTATCTTTAAAGAAGGTGTTTGCTCAGCTGCGCATGCTACCATCGCACCAGTGAGAAGCATGGACAGCCTGCGCTTGTCATACTTTCTTAATAGTGAGTTAAATAATACATTTCCATACTTGACCCTACTAATTTAAATGGCAGGCTGCTGGTTTTTAAACCCTTCTACCACATATGTATTTCAAAAGCAATAATTGCTACAATTATATAAAAAAATACATTTTAGAAATCGATCAGATTGCTGGGTGGCTAAGAGGTCAGGGTACTGATCTGGCACCGCTGAGGTCCTGGGTTCATATCCAGACAGCCGCCTTTAATTAAACGAGGTTCCCAAGTGTACTGAGTTGATTTTCTCAGATCAGTCATCAATGGCTGCACACAAAAAATCCATCTAATTAATTTTAGTGATGCGCTTAATTTGGCTAAATTCCAGATCTGATCATTCAAATATTGGTTTGACTGTCATGCAATGAACCCTGCTCATCTTATCTTATTTTAATATATCGCCTTTATATAAGGCCCTTTACAAGGGTTATGAGTGGTACAATGAGGGTCGGTTAAAGTGATATGGTCAATAGAGATGGGGTGTGGGGAGGGAGGTTAGTGGGTATGGGAATTACGGGGGTACCTCGGGATGGAGGGAAGGATGGACCATGGAGAAGAGGTGAGGCTTGCGGGATGAGTGAAAACTACACAGGGAGGGTTGCTCTCTTAACGTGAAGGGGAAGTTTATTCCATTACAAACAGGCAAGTAAGAAAACAGGATTGTGCACAAGGAGAAGGGGGGAATGGTTAGGAGTAGGAGAGATTGAGACCAGAGCGGGTGGGGAGGAAAACAAACGAGACGAGAGAAGCGAGGTCAGGTGGGGCAAGGCCATGAAGAGATGTATATACTAGCGTAAGGAGCTTGAACAGACAGCAGTAGTAAATGGGGAGCCAGGTGCATTTCTATAAGAGGGGCGGAGGTGCCGGAGCAGTGTGGTAGGTTGTAAATGAAACGTGCAGACGCATTTTGGATCTGTTGTAGTAGAATGAATGCACATCCATGTGTAGTTACACAATGCAAAGGTAGACAGACAATATTTACAAAGTAATGGACATTTATTAATCAGCCAAGCAAGCAGTGCTATTATGCAAACCTTGCTACTGCATACCTCAAAAAATAATACCTATTTGTTAATTTACTCCAAAGTGGCAGCCAGAGTGAAATGAAAATATTAATGAATGTCAACCGACTTACAAATGCTTCCATGAAAGAGAGATCATAGAGACATTCATATAATACTGTACAGACAATGTCAAGGTATTAATTGAAGTTTTTGTTCTCATCAAAATCTATAGAGCTGTTTATCCATGTAGGCACAGCATTCCTTACAAAATGTATTTGGCATTGTGCTTATGCATTTGACTGTGTCTCTTATATGATGGGGAAACGCACTTATATTTGATGTACCTAATGATCTCTTTCAGGGACCAAAGGGAAGCAAAGGTTCACCCGGAGTTCAGGTGTGTACTAAATTAATGACACAACCTACATCACGTAATTGAATGAGTACAAGAGGCTCACAGCATTTGTTCTGGATCGTGATGCACCAATCTCCTTAAGCTAGCAATGTATGCATTTGGCACCACTTGAGCATCTTCCATTCCATGCAAGCTGTATTCTGTTAATACCCAACTGGATTGAAGGCGTATCGGGCCTCTGATTAATTTGTGTGTTGCAACCAACAAATGCTCTCTCCATTAGTTGGGTGCCAGGCATACTTGCCTATCAGTCAATTAATTCAGCAACAATGCATTCTTCAGTCAAGTACATTGTGAACGATACAGGTGTCGCCCTGCAATTGCTTGCTCGCATCACTGCTTGGCAAAATAACCTCCTCCACTTGCAGAAGCTCTGGAATTACCCTCTCGATGGTATTTTGCCCTACGTTTTCACGCTGGCCAAACAGCTTGGAAAGAGGTAAAAGTACTCACAGTTCAACGCACCATCGATTGTGGTGAAGAAATGTATCATGCTAGGTGGACAGAGGCAGAGGTGGAACACCTCCCTGGACAAGGGGGAAGAAGTCTTGCCATAGCTCGGGACATCAAGGGAACCTTTAACAAAGTGTGGCACAAGGGCCTATATGCCAAACTCCGCTCCATGACATGGCTGCAGAGCTACCTCTCCAACAGATCCATCAGAGTTGTATTGTCCGGCCAGGCTTCATAACCTTCTCCCACCAATGCCTATGTACCACAAGGATACGTAATTCTCGATACACTTCTCTTCTCCATCTTCATTGACGACCTGGTCGATGCCTGCGAGAACTCAGCTATACCTCTACGCTGACGACTCAACCCTCTATGCTCCAATAGGAGCACCTGCAGAAAGCAATGCAGTGGCAACTAGCCTGAACAGGGATCTTAATAAAATGAACATCAGGGCAGACAAATGGAAGATAATTTTCGAACCATCAATGTGCCAGACCAAGATACTATCTCGGAAGAGAATTCCATCCAAGCTGGATCCCTATTTTGGTGACTGTCAGCTAGCATCAACCAACCAGCTTTAGATCATCGGTGTTACCATTGACAGCAAGGTCCCATGGTCAAAACATCTCACCAACATCTCCATCATAACAGGACAGAATCTGGGTGCACTGAGAAACATGACCAACAAACTTGACACAGAGGGCCGAGCCACAGTCTACAAAGCTCAAGTCCACAGCATCATGGAGTACGCCTCTTTGTGCTGGATGAAAGCCCCACCAACTTACCTCACGCAACCCTCTCGACAACAGCCAGAGGAAGGCGCTGAAAATAATTGGTATTGATGAAGCCACCGCCAGTACACAACTCACCATCCCCATCGTGCATAACCGTCGACAAGTTGCTGTTATCACAAAATGCACACCAACCACTGCCCCACAGAGCTTCAGGCTATGCTTCCACCCCCACATGAAAGACGCCATGCCACCCGATAGTCCACAACCCTGCCAAGCCATGCCCTTGCCCCCCAGTTGCCAGAACATTGCTCCCTGGACAGAAGCTCCCTTCACTCTGCTGTCCAGATAGGGAATTGCCTCCCTGAAATCATTGTCGGTGAAATCACCGATTCTGGTCTTCAGGCCTTCAAATTTCGAGTGCATGGACATCTCCTAACTTCACCACACACCTTGTAGAACTGAGTCTTTGAGCTGCAGTTAACCAATGATGATGCCGATTACATGTACTAATTCCTGATATGGTTATTGTTCATTATTGCACCGACTAAAAAAAAGAACATGACACTATACTAGCGGTTGGCAACGAAAATAATAATAAAAGCCAATGTTTTCGAATTGGATTAAAAAAACAAAATATTTCAAGAGCTGCAATGCATGTGAATACGAGATAGTGGTCCTTAATAAATAGCGTCATAAAGCAGTCCTTAAAGAGCCACATGTGGCTCCGGAGCCGGAGGTTGCCAAACCCTGCCATGTACCATTATTGTAAAGCTAACTAGTGGCATTTGTATTTCAGGGCCCACTCGGTTTGAAAGGCCTTCCCGGGCCCCCTGGACCTCCCGGAAGTGTCGTGGAAGTACCGGTAAGTTGTTTACCCTCTTCTGTATGACCAGTATCTGTGACTTCAATCTCCATGTGGGTGGCTGGATTGCCCAAATGCCTACATGGCACTTTAGGCCAAGGTGGAGTCTTATGTTTGAGAATTGTCAGGACATCAATCTGAGATCTTGTAATCTTGTACAATGTTTAGAGCAGGGGTCCTCAAACTTTTTAAACAGGGGGCCAGTTCACTGTCCCTCAGACCGTTGGAGGGCCGGACTATAGTTAAAAAAAACTATGAACAAATTCCTATGCACACTGCATATATCTTATTTTGAAGTGAAGAAACAAAACGGGAACAAATACAATATTTAAAATGAAGAACAAGTAAAGTTAAATCAACAAACTTTCCAGTATTTCAATGGGAACTATGGGCCTGCTTTTGGCTAATGAGATGGTCAATGTCCGGTTCCATATTTGTCACTGCTAGTCGTAACAAGTGATGCAAGTGTGTATCCGTTAGTCTAGATCTGGTTGGAGATTTCAAATGTTTCATTCTGGTACAAGTCTGTTCACAGACATAAGTGCTGCCAAAGATGGTTGCCATTTTGAGTGCATGGTTCCTGAGATGAGGATATGTCTCAGAGGGGAGAGATGCATAGAAATTATGAAGGCAGTTCAGCCAGTTCCATTTGGTAAATTGTATTCACATTTTCAATGTCAATAGAAAATGGGTTGCGGAAAAGCTGTATGTCCTGTTCATGGAGATGAAGCTCTTTAAATCTAAATTGGAACTCCTTTTGCAATTTTTCCAATGAATCCACACATGTTTTGTTTGGGAATGCAACCAATGGTTTTTCTGATAACAGATTTTGAGTTGTGGGGAGATGGCAGAAGTTTTCCTCCTTCACTTGTTTGATGAGGAGGCCTTATTTTACTTCAAATGCTTTGACATGTGATTGCATATGACAGATGAGCTTCCCCTTTCCTTGAAGTTGCACATTGAAACTGTTGAGTAGCTCTGTTACATCTGTAATGCGGTTGTAAACGGCCCTTCTGAGGTGCCGTCAGGGGGGGAGGAGTTAGGTCACGTGGGGGGAGAGGGGTTGAGATAGAAGGAGGGGAACCGGAAGAGCAGGGGGAGTGACGGGGAACCAGGAACAGAGGAAGGCCACGAAGGGCGAAGCGGGGTGTGGCGAGATCGCCACGAACACGGGGGGAGCGAGGATCGGCACCGTTGGCCAGCGGTGACCGACCCGAAGCAGCGAGGAGGCTGCAGTCAGCAGCGGGGCTGCACAGAGAGAGTGGGCAGCGGGTCTGCATACAGTGACAGCCAGAGGGTCTGCACATAGGGGTAGCAGCAAGTCTGCAGGGAGGAGGTTACATTAGATGAAGCAGAGAGTCAGAGGGGTGAGGAAGCTATAATAGCAGTGAATAGCCGGGGGCTACAAATACAGGAGTTATAACAGAGTGCCGTGTGGGTAAAGACGTGAACCTGAATAAAGACACGAAGACAGAAAGAAGTGTTCGAGTCCTTTTATTACACTGGAGTCAGAAGTGAAACGGCATGGCGAAACAACTGAGGAAGAAGAATATCCCATCTCCGGCGTCGGCTTCATCATCGGACGACGACGATCTTCCTCCTGAGGTCGGCTTCACTTCGGCGGAGGGAGAGATCCGTGAGGGCCCGGGTGTGGAGGAGGTTGCCGCTGCGCCCGACCCATCTGCGTTGAAGGACGAAGATTTAAGATGGACCCGGATGGCGGAGCAACTGGCGACCCTAAAAACCGTCATCACGGAGTTGTGTGACCTTGTCACGCCAAGGGCGGCGTTGGAAGGTGATGGTGGTGATCGGCAGGAGCCCGGGTCGTCTTCGATGGCGCCGCCATCGACCACGCGGCGTGAAGACGCCATCTTGGGCGTGGCGCACCACGGAAGGCGGGAAGCCGCCATCTTGGGGCCGCCACGAAGATCGTCCGCCATCTTGGCGACACCGCGTTGCGACGCCTTGCTGAACTTGCCGCCGGAAGAGTCGGTGACGGACGGAAGCAGGCCAAGGAGCCGCAGTCGTCACCTTACAACTGTTAAGGAGTTCTCCATCGGGGGCGATTGGAGTGCGTTCGCTTGTCGATTTTTGGCGGCGGTACGAACGGCAAGGTGGACGGACGCCAAGGCGCTGGAGGTGCTTCCGACTCTCCTTGACGATGAGTCTGTTCGTTTTTTTCGCTCTATAAAAGCTGCGAAGAAGAAAACATTGCGTGGAGTGTTCGACGAAATGGCGGACGCGTACGAGCCACCGGATGACGCCCATCGCCGCTTCGTGCAGCGGCAACGCGCACCGGAGGAGTCGCCTGTAGCGTACAGGGGCGCCGTGCTGGAACTCGCGATGGCCGCTTACCCGGAGACGGAACCTGACCTGCTGGAACCTCTCATCTTGGGGAAGATGTTGGAGTTATCCCGGGATCTGGGCATTCCTATGCCGGCTTGCGGTCACGAGAAACTCACGTCCCGGACCGCGGCTAAGTGTTTGGACGCCCAGTTCAATCTCCGCCGCTGGAAACAAGTCACGGCGTGGACGGGCGGTCCTGTCGTCGATGGGGGGGCCGTAGGGTGGGACCCTACAAAGGCCGTGTACGTGCCGGATGCGACCGGCCCAAAGGAGCTGTCGGCCGCCTCCACTCCGTGGCCGGCTCGAAGCGAGCCGGGGCCGCGGGCTCCGCCGCCGGCGCGGCCACGTCGGGACGGGGTGCCTGCTGCGCGCCGACCCGACGTCGACTGTTTCCGCTGCGGCCGTCGGGGCCACTATGCCAGGGACTGCTGGGCCCGGGTTCCGGGGCCGCCCCAGCAGGAGGCCTCGATCGCGGACGTCCCAAAGAAAGACCCTCCGGCACAGACAAGCCGGCCGTGACAGCGCAGGGAGGAGGACCTTCCGCTTGTGGGACGCCGACCGGAGCCGCAGAACCCACGGGACCTGCAGCTCTTCCTATCCCTCCGCGGACGCGAGTACGGGATGTTTCTGGACGCGAGCGGGACAGTGGCGGGCCTCCAATGGCGACGGAAGAACTTGCGCCCGTCGCCCCTAAAACCCTTCCACGTTCCCGCTCGGCGGGTGGGCCGCCGACCGTCCGGGACGGCCCGGCTACCCGTACTCGCTCGAAATCCCTCACGTTTCGTTAGATTGTGTTGTGTTGTGTTATTGTTATAATGTTATTCAATGCTTCGTGTCTTTTTGCGTGTTGGCCCTTTACACCCGCATTGCTTTTCAGGTTGCAATTCAGCCGAGGTCGGCTGGATTTTCTTTAGGGGGGAGGGTGATGTAATGCGGTTGTAAACGGCCCTTCTGAGGTGCCGTCAGGGGGGGAGGAGTTAGGTCACGTGGGGGGAGAGGGGTTGAGATAGAAGGAGGGGAACCGGAAGAGCAGGGGGAGTGACGGGGAACCAGGAACAGAGGAAGGCCACGAAGGGCGAAGCGGGGTGTGGCGAGATCGCCACGAACACGGGGGGAGCGAGGATCGGCACCGTTGGCCAGCGGTGACCGACCCGAAGCAGCGAGGAGGCTGCAGTCAGCAGCGGGGCTGCACAGAGAGAGTGGGCAGCGGGTCTGCATACAGTGACAGCCAGAGGGTCTGCACATAGGGGTAGCAGCAAGTCTGCAGGGAGGAGGTTACAGTAGATGAAGCAGAGAGTCAGAGGGGTGAGGAAGCTATAATAGCAGTGAATAGCCGGGGGCTACAAATACAGGAGTTATAACAGAGTGCCGTGTGGGCAAAGACGTGAACCTGAATAAAGACACGAAGACAGAGAGAAGTGTTCGAGTCCTTTTATTACACATCTGTCAGAAAGGCAAGGTGCCATTTCCATTCTGCATCATTGAGCTCTGGTACTTCTTTGTTTTTTGAAAGCAGAAAAGCTGTAATCTGTGGAAGTAAGTCATAGAAACGTTTCAAAACTCTCCCTCGACTCAGCCAACGGACTTCTGTGTGGTACAGAACATCTTCATAGTCAACATTTAGCTCAGACAGAAATTCCTGAAATTGTCTGTGGTTTAGGCATGAGCTCTAATGAAGTTAACACAAGATACCACCATTTTCATAACAGAGTCCCACTTCAGTGATTTACTACACAGCGCTTGTTGGTGGATGAGGCAGTGTATGGCTATTGGATGAGAATGGTTATATTTGTCCATCTCTTGGTTAATGCGAACAATTACTCCTTTCTTAGACCCCACCATGCTAGGAGCACCATCAGTTGTCACGCTGGCTAGTTTAGCCCAGTTCAGTTCCAAACCATTCACAGTTTGGCAAACCTTTTCATAGATATCCTCTCCTGTAGTTGTTCCTTTGATGCTTTGCAGTGCAGCAAGCTCTTCTGTGACTTCGAAATAGTCATTCGACCCACGAATAAAAATTAGAAGTTGTGCAGAATCACGAACATCATTGCTTTCGTCGAGTGCCAAGGAAAAATAGGAAAGTTTTTTTGTGGAGTTTTGCAAATGCTGATGCAAATTGTCTCCCATTTCTTCAATCCTCCGTGTAATTGTAGGTCCTGAAAGACTCACTGTACTAAATAAATCGGCCTTCTCTGGACACATCTCTTTGGCAACAGAAAGAAGGAATTCTTTAACAAATTCTCCCTCCACGAATGGTCTGCCAGTGCACGCTATTAGCTTGGCAACTTGAAAACTTGCTCGCAGTGATGAAATATTTAGCTGCTTCTGCTTCACAAAAGTATTTTGCTGAGTTGTTAATGTATTTTTCAGTTTTAATATTTTATCTTTTCTCACTTCTCCGACCAAACAATCATATTTATCTTTATGTTGAGTTTCATAGTGTCGACGTAAATTGTATTCTTTGAACACAGACACTATATTCTGGCATATCAGACACACAGCTCTTTCCTTGTACTGCATGAAAAAGTAATCATAAGTCCACGGTTCTTTGAATATCCTACACTCCGAGTAAATGTTTCTCTTTCTTGACATCATTGTTTCCTAGGGAGTAAAAATTGCTATTAGTAAAATACCAATATATATACAGCGCTACAAAAACAATATACCAGCAATAACTTTGCCCACACAAGAGACATACAGACTGTACTGCCCATCAATGCAGTCTGATTGGGGGGAACTCCGCCCCCTCTCACTCTTCCACCAATGACCGTCCTTCTCATGCAGAAAAAAGTAACAGACAGGCACGGCGGCAAAAACACCCGGCGGGCCGGATAAATGTCCTCGGCGGGCCGCATGTGGCCCGCGGGCCGTAGTTTGAGGACCCCTGGTTTAGAGTGATTGTAACAAGCCGTCAACTTCATTTCAAAATACTCTTCGAGAAACTGTTTTATGTATATTTGATACAATATTTTATTGGGCCATACCATGACTGTCTAAGAATATTATAATGTACTGTAGTTAATGCAGTTATTAGCTAATGCCTGCCACTATTGTATGGAGCCTGGGTTTCCACATGACTTGGAAAAAGGTCCTTTCACTTACTCCTTTATGCCGAGCAAGATCGTTGCCAAACCTACTCCTACGGTGCTATTGTGTGGCATTTTATAGAGGACTTTTGCAAACTTTTCTTGGTATAACCATGCCCAATACGGTTATAAAGTGTTTAGTCATTCTCCCTTTATCTACAGGTGACATAGAGTTGTTGTGAGCAATCTATGGGTTTTTGCAGGTTTTTGGTATTGATATTACAGTTAATTTATAATTCACTATTTAATTACTCTTTGGTTCTTTCGGTAAAGTCACGTATAAAGAAAATAAATTAAATAATAGAATACGACGTTTTTCACTATTTAATTATTACGTTATAACCCATTTAAAAAAAACAATCATGAACAGACAAACATACATACCCTGTGTTATATATTAACTCTCATTCGTTATTTTAAAAAAAAGAATGCTTCATCAACATCCATGATTTATCCACTGCTGGATTAATGCCTATTCACATTAGTACCATCCCTGGTGATCTTGCTGAGCCATAATCCGTCACTCCTGCACGAGAGCTGATCTCTTCACTCCAACTCCCCACGTTAGTGGTTGTTCTTTCACGCACGTTTCATTGCTTGGCTGCTTGTCTTTCACAAGTCAGAGATGTTAACTACATCGCCTGGTATGCAGGAAGTCGTGGGTTCGATCCCGACCCTGAGGCTATATATTGAGTTTCCATGTTCTTTCTCCACGTGGTCATGTGTATTTTTCTCCGGGTCCTGGTTTTTCCCCTCGACATTTAAAAACATGCATGTAGAGTATTTGGCTGCTATACATTGCCACATGAAACTTCTCATTTTTAAATCCTTTATATTAAGTTCACTTGCTTGCTTGCTTGCGCGCTTACGACCGTGCAAATCTTTCCGTCGTTTTTTAACCCACTTCCCGTGATTCAATCGAGCTGACATTTTGCACACAGACTCGTTGTGCGTGACAATTTATTTTCGTGAAATTTTTTTCCCAAAATTTTCCACTTTTTAGGATTTTTTTTTTCATATTTCATTTAAAATACCAATGTGATAAAAATGAAACTCTTACTCAAGAAAAACAGAAATGAATAATAAAATAAAACCGATGCCACGCATATAAAGGATTTATAGTGAAAAACTTTGTTTTTACGGGTTAATTTTTTAGCCAGGTCGCTTCTGACAAGGGGCTATATAGCTCAGTGGGCCTTACCTGATAACTTGAAACATTGTTTCATTGTGTTAGTGTTTTAGTTTAGTTTATCCATAAACCATTATTCTCTCTCAAGACGTGTTTTGCTAAAGTTTACTTAATACAAATGTACTTATATAATGAGTGTTTATACATGTGGGAGCAAACTGGAACACCTGGAGAAAACCCCAAATGTGCGAGGGGCTTATAACATATCCGTACAGATGGAAACAGATGGTGATTAGTACATTTTCTGTACTGCCTTCTACTGGTGATCCAGGGTATGGCACCTCGATGCCCACGGGAAGGGAGTTTCGCACCATTTGTGCGAAACACCAACCCTTGCCTCCACAATGCTGGATTACAGGCATTTGCCACCACTGCCCAGCATTTACTTTGCATACCAGTTCATATATATCTAACTTATGTATGTTCTATAAATTAAAATGTTCTTCTTTCTGCCTCTCCATGCTTGTTTGTGTACTCACATTTTTATTCCAATTTCTTCGTGGTTTTCCATAATTTCTGATCCATATGGAGTATATATGATGCTTAAATGACTCGAAATTTATTGATAACTAGATGTAATATCAAATAATGCGCCATTTGCAAATGTGTATACCTTTACAAACATTAGTGCTCGGTGGCTGTTTCCACATTCAGTGTCTCACAACTTTTAAAATAAATATCTTGAAAGGTCAGGTGTAATGACCAAAATAAGCATGTTTTTGTCCAGTATAAATATCTTAAATAGGAGTGTCGGTTTAGAAAATGCAACAAGTTACTTCGACTGTATATATATAATTATTCAGATGTATTTTTGTACGTATGTAATAACACGCATTTGCATCAGAACAAAGATTGTAAACATTTTCTTTAATTAAATGTTTCTTTCAGATCTCAAGTTCAGTTGGGGCTATACCAAGCACATCGATTAAGGTTAGTGTCTCGGCCTTGCTGTGCGCTGCATTGCACCACTATCCGAGTAGTTAACCTCGCATTCAATAAACTTTCAGATCCAGGGTGAACATCCGACTTCGATGCATATAATGAATAGAACAAGGTAAAACTGATGAAAAACACAGCACAAAATACAACATCTATTATTACTTGCAATATCAATACAATGAATGAATACTGGAGCATCATAACATTGTCTTAAATAACATTATTCTCAACAATAGGTACAACAAGAGAATAAGCTACTGTGTTAAATAAGGTCACTTTGTGTAATCACCATACTGCAGCCTAAATGTATCGCGCTGCATATAACACTGACCTGTGGATGAGATACTTCTTCATCCATGCTCTCAAGATCGCATTAAAGTTACATGGGCACAAGTCTGGCTCGACTTATCCAACTACAAGTAACTTCACAATAATGCAAGTGGCAGGCTTCGTTGCTAACTAGGCCTTATATCTATCATAACAATTTAACAGAATTATAAAGGCATTTACAGCATTATGACTGCAATTCTAGCATTATAACAGCATTCCCAGTATTATAAAAAGAAAATAATCGATCTTACAGACAATGCTTCTTAAAGTCCCACAATGAACAGATGCACCTGTCTTCACTGAGACGCTATTTGTGCCTCCATTTTGTACTCTGTGTAATGGCTGACACAACTGCCTCGTGGCTTAGAGCAGGGGTCCCCAACCCCCGGGCCGCGGACCGGTATCGGTCCGTGGCCTGTTAGGGACCGGGCCGCACAGCAGTTCAAGTTCAAGTTCATTTATTAGGTATAGCCCTGTGAGCCATTCGGCTCTTGAATCGGGTGCAAGCGCAACAAACAAAAAACAAAAACATGAACAAAAAACATCTTAAAGTGAATATGTGACTAAGTGCAAACAGAAAATCCAAGAAAAGACAGCAAAATATTGCAGAAAAAAACACCGTACACCAACGCTGTGTGCAAAAATCCCAGTGGGATGCAAGTCAAACAACAACAACCACAAGACAACTTAGATTAAGGCCATCAGTCTAACTCTGTACTACAACAAACACACATGGCCAAACCAATACACTTTTCAAAATCACCAAAATAAAGCCATGAAAGCAATGAAAAAGCAATCATAGGAACTGTGATGGAATTTTCAATTAAATGGCATAAACAACATGTACTACCAAAACCCTGGAGGTGAGCGGTGAGTCCGCGCGTGGCCCGCCCATGATTTTATTTACCACGTCTGTCCGCGCCTCTTTCCCGCACTGCGCACTTGTCTCAGCCACAGTTTTGGTAAGCCCACAAGCTGCTAACCCCTAGTAGCCACAATCAGTAAAGAACAAACGTCGCTGGAGAGCTTCTTTGAAAAGCGGGAAAGACCCAATGATGAACCCCCCCCCCCCGGTCCGTGAAAAAAATTGTCTTCCACGAAACTGGTCCCTGGTGCCAAAAAGGTTGGGGACCAATGGCTTAGAGAATCTTAAATCGTAACTTCCTGGTCAAGTGACCAAACTCAACACCATATCAGGAAGTTCCCGTGTAAACACCCCCCCATATCTGCAGTGGGGCAGAACAGTTAGTAATACTTATATTTTGATTTAAAGCTTTCGTGACTGCAGGGATTCATATTCTTATTTCTTTCGGTAAAGTCACGTAGAAGGGAAATAATAAAATAATACAGTTATAAAACAATACAAATTCTCACGACGTTTCGACTGCAACACAAGCAATCGTCATCAGATGTGAAATCCGCAACTTTTTTCAAATTTTCTTGCTGTGGATTTCACACCGGATGATGATTGCTTGTGTTGCAGTCGAAACGTCGTGAGAATTTTTTTGTTTTATATTTGTATTATTTTATTATTTCCCTTCTAGGTGACTTTACCGAAAGAACCAAGAATAATAATTATATTATTGTGTAAAGTTATAATTGTGTATTTATATACAGTAGTTGTGTCATAACACTCCCATAATGATCACTGAAATGCAGCACCTCTTGACAAGCATGATAATATATGTTCTACTTATTCTTGTCATTTATTGTATATTTACTGTCTATAGAAATAATAGTTATATCACAATGTATATTGCTGTCATGCTTTTGATATAATGTGTCGAGGACATCTTTAATCATCCTCTGATAATAATTATTAAGGCTAGTTATAACAGTAAGAAATATTTGTTTTACCCTTTTCTTAATTGTAATAATAAAATAATCATATGCAGCCATTGGCAATTTATTATCAGATGGTGAAAGACTGAAGACAATTTACTATAAGTTCGTGAAAGACACAGGACTGGTTTTAATATCACTGACCACTGATGTTAGCTATGGCTTGGAATGAAATTCAGGATGACAGGTTCATAGTGGCATGCGTGTAACCTAAATTTCCTTCAGAAATTTCCATCGTAAAATATAGATATCTTGGAACAATGGGCTGTCATGTGTTTACGAATAAATATGCATAAGGAACATTGTGCAGTGTTTCACCTCCTATAACATGCTTGTTGTAGGGATTGCCTGGGCCTGTTGGGCCTGTTGGGCCTGCTGGGCCTGTTGGGCCCAAGGGAGAGCGAGGACTGCCAGGTATCAGCGGGCCCTCTGTAAGTATCAACCAAACTGGGTGGATTGACACAAATACAGGAGTAATTATGGAGCGTTTACATTTGTAGGTGTGGCTCCTAAGGTCTCAAAATGACCCCAGAGAAATTGGCTGTCTCAAAAGTATATGGTCCCTTTATTAGTCTAAAAAGGACCTATGATAGTATATATGTCCTAAATAAGTATATGTTTTGCCAATTGGACCAGTGTTAAACGATGGACGCGATGTAAATCTCTGGGTCCTGTGTACTTCGATAACCCATGTTTTAGCCATACGTCCAATATAAATAAATTTTCCTGGCTAAGTCTATGGGTCTAATCCAAGATTAGTTTATGGATTCAATATTAGTCATTGAGTCCTATATTGGTCTATAATACCTATGTAAGTCAATGGTCCAACATTGGTTGTATGGAACCCCTCTAAGTTTATGTATCCATGTAAGTATATGATGAAATTGTTAGTCTAAGGGACATAACATTCTGAGTGGAGTCTAAGTCTATGGGTACAATGTATCTTAATCGACCATACACAAACCTTTGGCTCCAGCGTTGGTCTTAGTGTCCATTGTAATTCTTGGAAAATACATAAACTTAATACATTTTCATCTCTGAAATATTACTGTGATAACTATACATTATAACTGTGATAATACATTATTACCACATTGATGTGATAAGAACTTCCACACAAGCCTATTAATTACATACGGACAGCGGTAATCATAAAGCAGTCACAGAGAAATTATGCTATTTCCTGATTAAGCAATGGCTTGAATGGTGAAAAAATACTGGTATAAAAATAATACAAGGTGAGTACACTGTTTGAGCAGGATGCATATGCATTTAGCATCACAGAAGTTACAAAACCAATTGACTGCAATAACAAGATGCTCTAGCTGGAGAGTTGGGCTGGGCAGTAGTAATTATTTTGCAAGGGTCTCCAGCACAAGCTCCAGCTTTTCAGTCACCAGTGTGTGGTTGCTGGAGAATGTTATCGTTGTGTAATGGGTTCAATTTAGGCGCACACACTTCTTGGGAGGCAACACTCATTTATTAATGAACACAACTGTTACTCAACAGTTACTCTTACTCTACACATAGGGTGGTGACCACCCACCTACCCTAGCTAACTTGTCTCTTAGCTACTCCAGTGTGACCCAGCCAGGTGGCTGCTGGCGGTCCGCTCACTGTAGGCCTTCTCTTCTTGGCATCTTCACGTGGGGGCCTGGGTCCCCCTGGACCCCCGGCCCCCCTGGGATACGGTCACGTGTCCAGCACCGGCCCTAACGACGTTCCCGCCTCCAGCCGGAATGACGTCATGTGTGTGTGTAGACCCACATGGTAGTAACGCTCCCGGCACAGTGACGTCATACGTGTGCACACAGTAATGATACCACAATCATTACAGTTGCAAGAGCTTGGGCAGCTCTGCGAGTGTGTGACCTCGTCAGTGCACCAATCAGGAGGATTTCTCCACAAACCTGGCTGTCGCCTGATGAAGCTAGTTGCAATTCCCTTCGAAACGTCGTACTCAGAATTTAAATGTTGTGGCTTTGCTCTCCAACACACAGGTGTGCTGTACTAGTAACGAATCGGCATGTTCTGTTTACGTGACAAACCTTACTAGTTGGCTGTGTCAGGTGGTGGCGAGTTTAATGACCCATTTATATATTTACGCAATCTAACCCAAAAAAACTTGTATAATGCATGATATTGGTTGCGAAAGCCTACGTGTGAAACTGTATGTAGCCAACCATGCAAATTGGAGGTGTGAGGGATGGACAAAAACCTAAACACAAACATCAGTTTTAAAGAAATGAGTTTTCAATATTGCTTTAAAAGTGCATAAAATAAGTAAATGGTTTTAGACACACATTAAACTAAATGCACGACTGCTTTCTCAGCATGGATGAATAGTCAGTTTGTCTGGGTACCTCCCCCTTATAAAGAAACGTGGAGATTTCGATTTAAAGCTTTCGTGACTGCAGGGATTCATCTTGTTGGTTATTTCGGTTAAGTCACGTAGAAGGGAAATAATAAAATAATAAAAATTAAACATAATAAAATAAAAATTCTCACGACGTTTCGGCCACAACACAAGCAGCCGTCCTCAGGTGAAGAAACAGCTGTCGGAAAGACAGCGTTCTAATGAGCAGAGCTGTCGAAAAGACACATTGGGACGCTGTCTTTCCGACAGCTCTGTTTCTTCACCTGAGGACGGCTGCTTGTGTTGTGGCCGAAACGTCGTGAGAATTTTTATTTTATTATGTTTTATTTTTATAATTTTATTATTTCCCTTCTACGTGACTTAACCGAAAGAACCAAGAAGATGAAACGTGGAGATATTATATATCTCTATATTAGAGTCTTAATTGATTCATACAATATGTCGAAGTAAACATCTACTTCATTATTACAGTAATGAGTATCCATTTATTAAAAGTAGCTAAAATGCACTTCTGAATTCACAAAATTCCCGGTACTGCTTATTAAAATGTACACATTGCAAGGCCACACAATACATATTCCAAAATAATAATATACACAGTGTGGCACTGGGCTGCATTTCCTCCATGCGGAGCCATGAAGTGGCCTCGTGTTGCGCTGTGCATTAATGCAATATTGACCCTTCACCTCTGCGACTTTTGAATGTGACTCGCGTCGAAGGCAATCGATCACGCACGTGACCTCCAGTCTGCGTCGGGGTGCACCGGTGACCCCACGAAGATGGAGGAATGAGCCTTTTGGCCTCACACACTCCACCTCCTGGCAGCACTTGTTAAAAAATAGCTGCTTGTAATATTACACGTGAGAAGAAACCACAGCATTAACTGAGCCATGGTATTAACTGATATATTGTTCGCGTTAATGGATATGCTAATTTACCCTTAATTTGTTTGGAATGTCTTATTGCCTTGCTGTGCTGTAGTATAAACAAGGGGAACCCTGGCCATTGCTTTAAATTTGTTTTTGCGTATTAATATTGGGGTAACGCTTATATCTCAGCCATGAGAATGGAACATAAATACACCACCCTATCTTCAACACTCACTTAAGACCAGCGCATAGTTTCATGATGGCTAAACATGATTTAATAAATTAATTTTAGAATTATTGCCATTGGACTGTGGCAACTTTCTATCTCAGTTAATAAGAGACTCCATAGTACTCTTGAATCCCACCCATAAATAACAGGATTGATTTTGGTAGTTATAAACGAACAGGAAAGGGCTTTGTACAACAATTTCAAATTTAGATATGTATTTTATCACCGTTGTGGGACAAAATTATGAGAAACAGAAAGAAAGGAACACATGGATTAGGAGGCACATGTAAGTTGATGGCATCTTTTTTTTACTTTAGAAAAGTCAATGGGGACTCGTACTCTTGATATACACCACTCCATGGATAGGCATGGGTTAAATACCATGCTCCCGATCGTTGCCCCCTACGTGAGTAGGGCAGGCAGTCCAACCTCCTTCCCTTTCTCCTGTCCCGTGAACACCTGGCCTCGGGCTTGTCGTCCGCGGAACATCAGTACCCCCCCCTCCCCTTACACCTCGTGCTCTGTACCCGGCTCTTGCTCAATGAAAAAAGAAAATAAAGTAAATGGGCTTGGGCAGGACACGACACTAAATGGGATGATGGACAGTGGTCGAGAGTAGCAACGGAGTGGCAGCCAAAGGAGGGAACATCAAATCAGCCCACGAGCAGTTGGTAGATGGGCTGTTGCATCGTGGCACCATGAGAAAAAATTATGGCTTATGGAGGCCTTCATCCAACAGTGAATTGATCATGGCTGAAACTGCTGCTGATGATTATGATGATTCGAATTTTCTCACCACGGTGCGACTGATCGTAACCAACCTTTGATCGCATGTGTGTGTGTGCATATAGAGTGCACGTGTGTCATTTACTGTTTGCTTCGGCTGTGTGTGCAGGGAATACCTGGGACGAAGGGACTCAAGGGTCAGAAAGGAGACCCTGGGCTGGGCTCAGGCTCAAAGGGCGTGAGTGATTTAGAAGCCACTTTGTAACCGTCTGCCGTTCCATCATGAAATATTACACCACTCATTTATTCACATCGTTATGAACATATCTTTTGTTATGATTTGTATCTACGGTTATGATTTGTATACCAGTTTGCCTGGGAACATAACACCAAATTCAACAAATGGAGTGGCATTTGAACGCTTGTGATATGCATTTTATGAGAGCAAAGTAAAAATTGTGAGATTTTATGTTTTATTTTTCATCCGAGAATGTGGTTCTTGTTCATCCGAGAATGTGGCCTAGCATTTACGGTGCTTATTTCTTTCTAGCATTTACAATACTGGTGCATGATGAGGCCCATTCGAAATAACACAATGGATAGGTGCTAATTACTCAATTGGGATTACACGTAGGAATATCGTGAAATCGAGTCTTGAGACTCAGAAGGGCTTTCCTGGATGAACAAGCATAAATAATAAATAATAATGCAATGTTGGAGGTTGGGGGTGCGGGCACAGGCAGATTTTCCAGGGCGAGCAGCGGAGGGGTGGAGATGAAATGCCGTGAGCCCTCAAACTAAAACTATTTTTGTTATTTTACCAGGTAAGACCAACTGAGCTATATCGCCCTTTTTCAGACGCGACCTGGCCACAAATGACAGCTCAACGAAGTGGCATTATCATGTGGAAATTCAGAGCAACCAGATACCCTAAACATGTAATGTTGATTCTAAATGTGGAGGGAAAAACCAGAGGACCCAGAGAAAAACCCACATGACATCAGGGAAAGAGACATGGATACCCCAAATATACAGCAGGCGTCGGGGTCAGAATCGACCACACGACCTCCTACATACCAGGCGAGGAAATTAACATATCAATATTGCTAGATGTAAATTAGAATAATTTATTTTAAGGTTTTAACTATAGATTGACACCCACCGACATCATCATCATCAACCATGATCTCTCCACTGCTGGATGAAAGTCTCGCAGGTTGAAGATACCTAGCATATCTATTGGTATATCAAAACACACTGGCACAATAATAACGCCTCATGTCTTTGACTTATGCATTTCTCCCCATCCGGGTGGCATCATCCGCTCGATCTCCGCTCATTCACGTGCAGAGGCTGACCTGTGAGCGAATGCAGGCCCGGTCACGTGTGCTTATTAGTGTGGTTGTGCGGCCCCCATTGTGTGTCCAGGGCCTGCCTGGACCTCCTGGTCGCACCGGACCAATAGGTCCTCCTGGACCTCCTGGACCTCCAGGTGCCCCCGTGTTATTCAGCTCAGTAAGAGGCTCCTACTTGATTCACACCTGACCACATTGTGCGATCACTTGTATGGCAATACCTGAGTAGGTCATTCGTTCAAGACAACGACAGCGACACCTTGACTTTTGTCCACTTGGCTTTCTTCGCTTCGCTCTTTCGGCCGTTTTTAATTGTAATCACATTTCAAATTTCACGACGTTCACGCCACGCACCATCTTTTTCGTTCAGTCTTTGAATAAAAGTCGTTCAGTGAGCATCTCTTGTGTATTTGAATTTATTCATATATTATTAATACTGTACTTATTTCTGTGATTATATTGTAAACAATTCGTAGTTATTTTTGTGATAACAGTATAATACTACAGTAATTACTTACGCAAGACAAAATATTTCAAGGTGCCATTTTGTTTATTAATTTAGTTTTGTTTATTTATTTATTTTTGTTTATTTATTCTTATGTTTCTTTTATTTCTGTTTATTTAGGTTTCGCACGCATGTGTTACATATTTACTGTAGTTATTTGCATGTACGTTTTTAAATTTACTGTAGTTATTTGCATGCACGTTTTTCGCCGGCCAAAATTAATTTGCAAGCTAAATAAAGGCTCCGCTTTGACATTCGTTCATTTTTGATATTCGTCCACGCTCTGGTCCCTAACCAGACGAAAGTGCAAGGTATTCCTGTATTGCCTTTTGCGAATACGCAAATAACTATTTGCCATGATCACAGATGATTTTGCACTATAATTTAATTGTGATCACCAGCAGGTTTGAATTCATAAGCCAGGAATGAGTAATTTTCATTGATAACGCCTGCACTCAACAAAAGCTCATTCACCAAGCTATCACTACACACAAGTGTACAATGCATACTGTATTACATCTCATTAGTGTGGAAGGTATTGTGCTGTAAAATCCACATTCCTACCTGTGTTTGTTCTTGCTAAATTGTTCATATGTTTGCTTTATACTCTATTGTTTCAAAAGATGGAGCAGGAAACCTCAAAGGACTCTGATATGGGTAAGTTTCACTTAATTTAATGACTGCACGTTACATCTCAGTCATCTTCCTGTTATTGGCTGCAAGAGCCCTCCATACACTGCATGCAACATTTATTGGAATTAAGCACAAGTACACATGTGCGTAGCTTTGTACTGATAAGTACAATTTCTTTGTTTTTTTTCAGAATTGACAAGAAACACACGCAGCTGTCCATGTGATAAAGTAAGTCATTTATCATGAACCGCGGCGGCAGTCATTCTGTACCCGCTGCTGAATGTGTATTTTTAGACTGCGCTTGAGCAGCTTTGTGTTGAGTGGTGTAGAAAGTGCAGGCTGATAATATTTTACCACCATCATCTTGAATGTTGCCTTAACATTTTCAGGTAAAAATGAGGCCAATGTTTCAGGCATCGGTCCTACAGAGCAGAGTATTTTATTGTAAAGTGTTTTTTCAAAAACTATCTTAAAACATTTGCGACTATGCAAAGTTGATTTGCATTGGATTTTCTCAAATGTATCCATTGATTTCTAAAATAAGAATTTAACAGTGATGTATCCGCTAAACTGCCACTGTAGGTGTGCCATCACACGCCCAATGCTTTTGTGGCTGCGCATTCTCACTACCGTTCACTTCAACAACTACAAGGCAATGCAACTGCCCCTTACCAGCTCATATTATTGTGCCCAGAAACGTCTGAGAGTAAGAGGTAGCTTTAGGGGAAAGCCTATTGTAAATAGTAGATCTAACCTCTATGTAAATATTAAACACTAGCCTTTTGCCCGTCCAAGGACGGGTGTATTGCAGTAAATCTGAAACTTGCAAGCGAAAAGCAGATCGCGACGTGATTTTCATTGCATTAATTCGTGTGCAGTTTGTAAGGGCGCGGTGACACGGACTTATTTCATTTTAAGGTGATAATCCCTTGTTCATCATGACGTCCTTTTTACTTTGATGTCTCAACAGCGTTACGGAGAACACGTGACGTGAGGGTTCTGCCTTTGTAGTGAGGGTTGTAAGTTGACGCCGAGGAGGGGGGAGGAGACGCCTCGGCCCCCCATGTGGAGTGACGTCACCCGCTAATTATTATGAATGGAGGGGGGTGTCCATTTGGAGGACGTCACCTTATCATGATTATCAATGACGGGGGAGGGTGCTCCATGTGGAGTGACGTCACCTGCTCATGATTATTAATAAAGGGGGGGGGGGGGGTCCATGTAGAGAATGTGACCTGTTCATGATTATTAATGAGGGGTGGGGAGGGTGTCCATTTGGACGACGTCACCTGCTCATGAATATTAATTAGGGTGGCTGGTCGATGTGGAGTGACGTCACGAGCGTTAAGGACTGACCATTCTTGGATGATTATAGTCGGTATTGTACGTAAAATATAGATTTTTAGGGGGAGATAGTCGGGTTACTCAGGGGTTAGAACGTTAGGCTGAGATGCTGCACACAAAAAAATCCCATCATATAGAATTTGGTCTTGTCCTCAATTTGGCTGAATTCCAGCTCTGAGAATGGAAATATCACTAGACTGTCATGGCAACAAACATTACTATCACATGGCAAAGTGAGTACGAAAGTTCTGCCGCTACTGTGCGGACCAGAGGTCAGTGAAGGGATCTCAGAGGTTGTTCTATAATATCCATTCTTGTGGGTCATTGTCTAACATGACATGATACCGATAGGGATAATAAGTATAACCCGTAAAAACAAAGTTTTTCACTATAAATCCTTTATATGCGTGGCGGCTAGAGTCCTCTCGTCCTCTGGCTTGAGATGGCTGCCACCTATGGGTCAGATGATTGCATTGCACCATTAAGCAATTGGTAATTAAATATAATATGTTTGTCCTAAAAAGTGTAAAATTTAGGAAAACATTTTTCACGAACATTAATTGTCACGCACAACGAGTCTGTGTGGAAAAATGTCAGCTCGATTGGATCACGGGAAGTGGGCTAAAAAACGACCGAAAGATTTGTACGGTCCTAAGCAAGCAAGCGAACTTAATATAAAGGATTTAAAAATGGGTGAAATTTTTAAACAAAAATATAACATTTTCAAATCAAATGTCTGATTGCACAAAACCACTCAAGTGAAAATATCCCTTACTTTACAACTAATCTAGATTGTAATCTAAGGGTTGATATCACCTAAGATGCTTTATAAAAAATACCACAGGAGAGGAGGCAGCCGACCCTCCCTGCTCCCTCTCACCTGCGCTGACCTTCGCCCGCTCATGTTGTGCCCGTTGTACGCAGGGGGAGAAGGGAGACCCCGGCAGGATGGGCTTGAAAGGGGAGCCAGGGGAGGAACACGGCTCCTATGTAGCGGGCCCCAGGGGTGAGCCGGGAATGCCAGGTCTTCAGGGAGCTACAGGCCGTATGGGGCCCGTGGTGAGCACACTTTTCACACATGACACACATTGTTATCGCTCATATTTTACTATCTCTCTTTAACAAAAAAAGTGATTTACGTCCATTTTTTATATGATAGTCCCACAGTGGAATGGGTATGACGCTGGACTTGCAATTCAGAGATCGCCGGTTCAATCTCCCCGGCGCAGCAGTTGAACGAATTGTGCAAGTTTCTTAAATCATCTCGGCCTCTGTCAACCCAGTAGTGTTCGTATAGATTGTGGCGAATTAAACCTATTCCAAGATATCTGGCCAGTGTGGGAAAGTAGACCGCAAACCCTCCAGAGGGGACCCTCTAACACTCCATCGAGTGGACACCACTTGTGGTCTGTAGTGGTGACAAACAAGTAATTGCAGAAATTAATAAAAGTAAAATAAAAATCACGACGTTTCGGAGGCAACACAAGCCTCCGTCTTCAGGTGGAACCGTCACAGCACAATAGCTGTTGCCTCCGAAACGTCGTGATTTTTATTTTATTTTTATTTTACTTTTATTAATTTTATTTTTTTACCTACGTGACTTTACCGAAAAAACCTAAGAATATGAATCCTTGCAGTCACGAAAGTTTCAAATCTAGAAGTAATTGCAGGTCTGTGCCTTTGCCGAGAGCATCAAAAACAGAAGGCACAATAAACAAGTCAATCCAAGAACCCGAGTTGAGGCCTTGGCAATAAATCAACTGAATGTGGAAACTGTGAAAATAAATTAAAGGAGAACTTTAAAGGGAAGGGGAAGAGGGATATACAAAACCAAACAATCTGCATCTATCAGTCTACCTACATCAATGCAGTTATAGATATCAACAGATGGAAACCAAATCTAGTTTATAATTATGGTTATAATCAATGGTTATAATTCTGAAGCCTATCAGCATCATTATAGACATTGTGAAAAACAGTCCCCTCACAAATCAAGCTCATGACAGCACTACTCAATTCTTCCAATTACAAAGTATATAAATTTGTGTTGAAATCTTAAATATTTGATTAAATCTTAACCTTCTTCTTGGTTCTTTCGGTAAAGTCACGTAGAAGGGAAGTAATAAAATAATAAAAATAAAACATAATAAAACAATTCTCACGACGTTTCGGCCACAACGCAAGCAGCCGTCCTCAGGTGAAAACCAGGTCCGTCGAGGCGACAGAGTCTGACTCTGTCGCCTCGACGGACCTCTGTCGCCTCGACGGACCTGGTTTTCACCTGAGGACGGCTGCTTGCGTTGTGGCCGAAACGTCGTGAGAATTGTTTTATAATGTTTTATTTTTATTATTTTATTACTTCCCTTCTACGTGACTTTACCGAAAGAACCAAGAAGATGAATCCCTGCAGTCACGAAAGCTTTAAATCGAAATTTAAATCTTAACCTTTTAAGAGGTGGTCTGGTGGCTCAGGGGTCAGAGCACTGAGCCCATATCCCTGAAATCATTGGTCTGAATCTGGGCAGCCACTCATAATAAAACAGCTTCTCAAGTTCTAGATTTGAAGCTTTCGTGACTGCAAGGATTTATATTCTTAGGTTTTTTCGGTAAAGTCACGTAGGTAAAACATTAAAATTAATAAAAGTAAAATAAAATAAAAATCACGACGTTTCGGAGGCAACACAAGCTTCCGTCTTCAGGTGGAACCGTCACAGCCACGACAGCTGCATCAAGTAAATGAGAGATTGCAGGAGCTACCACTCTCTCATTTACTTGATACAGCTGTCGTGGCTGTGACGATTCCACCTGAAGACGGAAGCTTGTGTTGCCTCCGAAACGTCGTGATTTTTATTTTATTTTACTTTTATTAATTTTAATATTTTACCTACGTGACTTTACCGAAAAAACCTAAGAATAAGCTTCTCAAGTGCATTGGATTGATGGTTTCAGCCCAGTCACCAATAGCTGCATTAAAATCATACGAAATATTTTGGGGTTTTTTCACTTGATTTGGGAAATAATTCAGCTGAGAATCAAAATAAATGTTTGTATGATTATTATTTATTCAACATTAATATCTACGGGGTGATACAAACAGGTGATGTAGGTTACAAACATCTTCTCAAGCAAAACTTGTTTTTTTTCTACTGCAGCTTTTGCGTTTCTAAGATTTTAAAATTGCAATTAACACATTTTGCAGGACATATAAAAGGTGTGGATGAAAAAGCTTATTCAAGTTTAAACACACTTGTAACATCATCTTCTAGGGATGTTGTCTGACACAAGGTGGTGAGCTGTAAGCTGCAAATGTTCCAAATGAAAGTATTTGAGTTGGAAATGTATAATTGTATTTCTGTATGATAATTTTTTTTATCATTGCCTGTTAATATTTATCGTCGTCATCGGCAAAAATAAACTCTTCCCCTATTCAAGATTTTTTCTATCCTCTGCTAATGATGAATTATTTGACTTTAATTGTGGATGTAATTATTTATTAAGTATGTGTCAATTTCCTTTCTTTGCATACTTAAAACGTATCGTCTCTCTTAAAGTTAATTTCATCTCGAACTTTACAACTAAGTGTCCTGAGATTGTGGTGCATTTGAGCACTTTGCATTAAAATTGGAAATGTATTTAGTCGATACTGTATCTGCAATGTCCTTTTGTCTTCTTTCCCGTACAGGAGCTGTTAATAATATATGATTTGTTTAGCCCTGATTATGAAATCAGAATATAACATTTTAAATTTAATTTTACAGAGAGGAAATAACATTTAAAGAGAGCTATTATTTTCATATTGCAAGGAAATTTGATAATTTTTCAGACATTTTAATGCATATTGAACTGTCTTAGATGTCGATGTCGCTGGCAGTGGTGTGAGCTTGCAGGCCCAAATCTGGTCAACATCAATGTGCAGCATTCTTTATATCCCTGCCTCTTACCCTACTCATCCCCATTACAGTTTGCAACCATGACTTTTGTGAAAATTGTTATGCAACTATGGCATCCCATAGGGCCCCAAGGGAGATTCAGTGATGGGCCCCCCAGGGATACCAGGGACTCCAGGAGCTAATGGGCAGCCAGGCTATGGCCTGGAGGGTCCCACTGGACAGCCTGGGCTCCCTGGTGCCCAAGGGCCTCCGGGAAATCCTGGAGTAGGTGTGCCTGGTAAGTAAAATCCAACCAAATCTTTGGATTATTTTGCATTGTTCAATGAAGCTGTTGCTTTGCCACTGCGCCACTGAGAATTTGTTCTGAGACTTAAGGGGCATGCACTGAATGCGGAAGATCGACGACAATTGCTGCCTCTGTGCTTTGCTTCACGGACAGGAAAACCTGGACCACGAGGCCACGTTGGGGAGCACGGAATGCCAGGGTCCCCTGGCTTCCCCGGTTCTGCTGGCGAACCAGGGCCACCTGGCCCTCCTGGGCCGCATGGACCTCAAGGCCCTCAGGGACCTGATGGCTCTACCGCATCCTGCGATCAGAGTTCACTTGGGAATGGGGTAGGCCAGGCCTAGGCTCCCTACTATCAGCAATTATTTATAACAACCGGCAGTTGCCTTATTCCAATATTGGCAAATGCCTGTCTTCACCTGATTTGAGAAGAAATGCTTCGCTTTCTTTTGGTAAAAATTTTGTCAGTGAAAATAATTAAATAAACGTACAAACAAATAAGTCATTGTAAGAATTTACCATTAATATGTAATTCAGCAGCATTGAATACTACTCAAGGCACTTTATTATAAGAAAATTCACTGCTGGATGAAGGCATCCCGAAGGCATGTTGCGGTCATGGGGAGTGTTTGACCCACTCATATAAGAATGGAGTGGTGGTCACCTCTGTTTGTCACCCTGAGCCAAAATGCTATGGCCGGGCTATTTTCTCCAAAATAAAACCACTCTTGACTTCATATATATCATTGTATCAATATCAAAGGAATGAAGGATTTAAAAATACAACCTCCCAATTGTCAGCCAAGCAGTGGCCTCTGACTAAGCAATTCCTAACGAAAACCAAATTCAAGTATTGTGACCTTTTTTGCACAGCGGGCGGTACAGAAACTCCAAAATTATCCTTCTTTTCGTGACATGGGTGCGCACGTTCACACGGAGCGGTCGTGTGTGCGCAGGTGCTTGTGTTTGGGAACCACCATGAGCTGGTCTCCCACAGGGCTCGAGACGGCTCCCTGGCTTATGTGACCCAGTCTGGGAATCTCTACTTCTGTGTGCCTGGAGGATGGAGAAAGCTGGCAGTAAGTTTATTTTCGTACGGTGCCAATCAATAGTCATTATTGGTTAGAAACATAATTGACAGCTTGTTGTCAATCTTTGAGTGGATGAAGGCCTCCCCAAGCTATGTCATGCACGGGGGTTGTTTAACCATACTTCACCATGCTAGTCAGTTCCAGGACAAGCTTAAATATCACTTGCCACCAATGGAGCCGGGTCCATTGTGCAGTGCGCTAACCACGCACCACCCTGTTAGATATTATGGATGATTTAAATTCAAATTCCACTGACAAAAAGAGTCTGTGGATGTTTATACAGACTTAATGTTGTTTTATTGTCGAGTGTAATTTTACCATTCAATATAGATAAAGCAGGTCTTTGTTTTCAGTAGGTCATGTGCTAATCAAAGCAATTGCATTTAGCTGGTAATCATTTACTGTAATGTTCAGTAGATTACTATAAAGCCGTTATTTTATTAATGGGTTGATGCAATGAACATATTTGTTTTTAATCCCAATAACCAAGAAAGAACATGCTGTACCAAGTGTCAATAGCCAAAAATTGTTATTATAAATCAATAATAGCCGACCTGCATCTTTTGAGATGTAATATAATTTCTCGATGGGTAAAGGATTTACAGAAATATCCACTTGTGAGTTACAGCCATTCTTTTCAATACTCTTCACCATCTAAAATAATCACTTACAGATAAAAAAAAACGATTGCATTTGTATGTCTGGTGAAAAAGAACGTTGTCTAAATTTATAATTTGGTCCTTGTGTTTCTAGACTGTCACCAGAGAAGTATTTGGTATTAAAAGTAAAACATGTATCTGTGATTTAACAATGTGTTTCCCTTTACCCTCAGATTGGTGAATTTGAGCCAAACACACTCAATGAGAAATTGGTAAGTGTGTTTGTTTTATATTCTTGGGTCTTTCGGTAAAGTCACATCGATAGGTTCAAAGAAAAGAATAACAAATAACAGAAAACTACGTTTCGATCGCAACACAAGCGGACTTCAGAAGACAACCACTTGCGTTGCGATCGAAACGTCATAGTTTTCTGATATTTTTTTATTATTTTTTTGAACCTAGCTACGTGACTTTACCGAAAGACCCAAGAATATTGATTCCTGCAGTCACGAAAGCTTGAAGTCATGTGTTTGTTTTACTTTAGCACGAAAACTTGATGGAAATCACTTGAGTTTCAATGATGATAGTGATTATTGACATTTGATTTTAGCTAAATAATCAATTGCATTGTGTCCCTGTTTGTTTTACCTGTCGTGTATATGCGGCACGTCCTAAACTACTCTTTCATTTGCTCTGTATCAGTTGTATCGACGTTCTCATTTGTAGTGTTCATCTCATTCCTACTGTTGACTTCGTTCTGCCTGTTACGCTTCTACTCCTGTGTTGCCTTGTTTGCCCTCTTGTTCTCATGTTCATTACCCGTCTCATTTGTGCAGTCTCATCGGTCGTATCTTGTTTGTATTGTGGATCTCATATACTTTGTCCGTTTTTATATTATATTCTTGGTTATTTCGGTAAAGTCACGTAAAAGGGTAATAATGAAATAATAAAAATAAAACATAATAAAATGAAATTCTCACGACGTTTCGGCCACAACGCAAGCAGCCGTCCACAGGTGAAGAAACAGAGCCTCTCTCCTCCCACCCAGCTTAAAATACGCTGCCAAGCTTAGCAGTGTTCATTAAGACGTTGTCTTTCCGACAGCTTTGTTTCTTCACCTGAGGACGGCTGCTTGCGTTGTGGGCGAAACGTCGTGAGAATTTCATTTTATAATGTAACTTTACCGAAAGAACCAAGATTATGAATCCCTGGAGTCACAAAAACTTTTTATATTGCCTTGCTTGTACTATTCGTGTCATTTGTATGAAACTTGTCTTGTTTGTACTGCCTTATTTGTCTTGCCTGTACTTTTTTTTAATTTGTATCGTCTTGTGCATACTATTTGTATTAACTATATCGCTTGTTTTTGACTCATTTGTATCTTGTCTATTACATTCTATTGTTTATGTTGCTTGAAATGTCAGTATCACTGGTATTGTCCAGTCAGCTCCGTTAACTTCAATGTAACATCGGTTTACAACAATCAGTTCTCACGCTCGCAATTCAATCTATGCATCATGAGCATAAAAATCTACTTTCATCAATGAACTGATGCATCGTAACGTTCATATTAATTGCTTTCCCCACTCCATGCCCATGCAGTTCCTCCCCTACGTACATCACCAGTCAGAGGTGTCTGATCAGGGCTTGGCAGCGCAAAGCGGCGGAAAAACTCTGTGGACAAATGGACGTTCGCACGCTGTACGTGAGTCCAAGCTGCAGCCAGGGCCTTTGTTACGTCGCCATGCTCTGCATGCTGCTGCGGGGGTCATGGCGGTTGTTGTCTGTGCCTGGCAGTGATACCGAAACATGTGGTGGCTGGTAATGATCATGGTCAGCCACCTTCAGATTAACCTGAGCGTAATGAGTGGACGGTTACAGCCTAGATTTAATGAATCTGTTATACGTGGGTTTTTAATCAGTTTAGGCTAATTCATGTGATGTTTCTATCTATCAAACAAATTTCTTTGGTGATACTGCTGCATTGGAAGTGTTGCGTAAACACAAATGATTAAACAAAAAAACTCAGCACATTAGTCAATAGCACTGCGGCCTTAAAAGGAAAACTATATCACAGGCGACGTTTCGGGCGATGGCTCTTTATCATGGCACATTGACTTTATTTGTTATCTGTATATGTAGGACGATAGAAACATGGGGAAAAAGTCATTCGAATTAAAGGGTGCTATTTTTCGGTTATGATGAAACTTTCTAGATTTGAAGTTTTCGTGACTGCAAGGATTCATACTCTTTGGCTTAAGTGTGTACACACTTAAGCGGTGTGCTTTCACTACGTTGTCCCCACCTGAAGAAGGACGCTTGTGTTGCGCCCGAAACGCCGTGATTAAATTTATTTTAATATACTTTTTTACCTACGTGACTTTACCGAAAAAACCAAAGAGTATGATGAAACTGTGAGTCTACAGATAACAAAAGTAGCTCTATGTTGTATTGTGCTATCTTGTTTACAAATACACATTTTGCTGTGTTGCCATATGCATTTAAACTCAAGTGTCTAATGCAAATGAGGTGTTTGATTTCCATGAGATCCTATCAGGATGTAAATTAAGGCTATCCACCTCGTTCTGAAGTGCCCTTTTCTATGGCCGTTTTAGGAAATAATGCGTGAGGATTTCAGGGCTGTAAGAGATTCCCGAAGGATTTTCATGATCTCAGGCATCCACTCCAAAATAACACTTTAAATGTGACTAGTGATTAAGCGTAAAAGATGGGCTTAAAATAGTTTGCAATTTAACACGATCCGCACACTCACTCCACACCTACGCATGTGACATGGCGATTGATGCATGCTCACCTTCCTTCCAATGGCTCAGTGGTCCAAAAAGGAAGACTGACTTCGAATTTTAGATGGGGGTTGATTGAATTCATCCCTCTGGGGTTGATGACATGAGTACCACTTTTTGATAAAGTCCACAGTGGTTGTCCAATGGAGAGACTCATCCTGCCATCAGAACATGTAATGTACACCACTGGCTCAGCTCTGCCTCCGTTTTTTTATTTTAGAAAAATGATCACTTTGACTTGTTTTGACATTTCATATTCCTTTGTGTGCTGTTCACAATCTCACCCTCGCGCGCACACCATGCTGGTCCGGCACTGCAGCTCTACATGGCAGCCCTAAACACGCCGGTAATGGGCAGCATGGGCGGCCTGCGGGGCGCGGACACACAGTGCTTCCGCCAGGCGCGCAGCGCCGGCCTTACCGGCACCTTCCGAGCCTTCTTGGCCTCTCCCAACCAGGACCTTAATGCCATCGTGGACCGTGATGAGGCTGCACAGGTGCCCATCCTCAACCTCAAGGTGAGCGGGGGGGGGGGGAGCCCCCCTATTGGCTCATGGGTCAGAGCACTGAGCCAGTACTGCTGAGTTCAGCCACTAAACTGAGTTTTAAAGTACGGTGAGTTGATATCGTCAGACTGATCACCAATGGCCAGCTCTGAGAATAAAATAAATATTTCAATACCATGAAATCATCACTTCTTAGCATGTGGAGGGATAACATAGACATTTGGTGCAATATGCATCCATAGGCCAATCTCTAAAGGTGGGCAGGTGGCATCGTTGACCCTCTTACTTGGCCAAGTTTTGTCTTGCACATGTGCAGGCCATTTGAAAGAGAAGAGAATAACGATGAATTGTGCCGTCATCGCCGTTGTCTCTGTTGACAGAACGAGCTGCTCTTCTTCAACTGGAACAGTCTGTTCACTGGAGACGGGGCCTCTTTCAACCCAAATGCGCCCATCTACTCCTTCGACGGGGGCAACGTGCTCACAGACTCCAAGTGGTCAGTACTGATTTCATGACCTCGCAGGCCCGATACAGACAGATAGGAGGGGATAATGCTCGCACTTCACATGGATAGTTGATTTAATGCTTTCGTGACTGCAGGGATTCATATTCTTGGTTCTTTCTGTAAAGTCACGTAGAAGGGAAATAATAAAATAATAAAAATATAACCTAATAAAATGAAATTCTCACGACGTTTCGGCCACAACGGACGGCTGCTTGCGTTGTGGCCGAAACGTCGTGAGAATTTCATTTTATTATGTTTTATTATTTTATTATTTCCCTTCTACGTGACTTTACCGAAAGAACCAAGAATATGGATAGTTGAATGTCTACTTGCTGTACTGCCGCCTATAGATACCACCTATTGCCTACAGGTGGCAGTACAACAAAATCGTCTCATTATCCATCAACCCTACCCCTTAGTTTCCCATTTTAATGGAGTGTTTTATTAACCGACTTACTTGGAAAAATAAATATTGTGAGTTGGCTAAAGCAGTGGGTCTTCCTCACGAGTCATGATTATAGTAGCCAGTGTTTTATTATCATACATTTTTAACACAGTGTATTTTTCAACTGTCTGGAGCAAGACCAAAAAAGTTAAGGCAGGTGCTGGCATGTGGAACCAAAATAGATCCTTCTTTGTCTTTATAGATCCCATGGCACTTTGCTAACTACTTCGCTTTTTGTGAATCCCCACTAATGATGCATGCAGTCTCCTAGGAGGTCTAGTACTTCCCAGCCCCAATATCATTTTAAAGTTAATGATAAATGGCACTACAACCAAAATCAATAACTGAGAGATGTTTCAAAGTTTAACTCTGTTGAACTTATTTAATCAATATCGGGTTCTGAATTGCCATTTTTTTGCAGGGCATAAACCAGACCCCTCAAAATGAAAAAATAAATGATTTGCTTGAGTCCCAAAAGCGCTTGGCCCGCTATTAGCGCATGATGCTGACATGCGCTTCCGATGTGCGCTGCAGGCCCTTCAAGCTGGTGTGGCACGGCGCGGACGGGCAAGGGCGCCACAAGCATGGTCCACAGCTGCACTGACTGGCGTAGCAGCAGCGATGACGTGGGCCAGGCCTCGGCCCTGCAGTCAGGGCGGCTGCTGGATCAGCACACGCACCACTGCGCCAGCCACTTCGTGGTGCTGTGCGTGGAGAACAGCTACCGGCACCACCTGCACCAGCACGGCAAGCGGAAGAAGTAGATGGTGCCCAGCGGTGGTGGAGTTGAGTGGAGTGCAAGCGGGGTTCTCATTGACAAGGTGTCCTCGGAAGCTCAGAAAAATTTTTACCTTTGTGTCAGATGTTCACCCCACCCCCGGGAGAGATCTTAATCATCTTGTCATCTTGACGGTGGTCTTACTCAGGAACAACTATCTCCTTCAGATCTTTTGTAATCATGGATTTCAGATCTTAGTTTCATTGAGTCATCCTGTTGCCTGCCTACTGCATGGATTTATTGAACATAATTTAATTCGGGTCTCTGAGAAACCATCTCATCACGTGACCACATCAGTTTCCTACTGCAGGAACATCAGAGTAACCCTCTCACGTAGGTCTCGGGAAAATCAGGCTGTTAGAACCTCAGTATTCATCTCGTTAAATCTGCCCAGTGCAAAGGGATCACAATAAATCACCCATTTGTTACTGTATGTCATCAGGAGGGAGATAGCTTTATCATATCACTGTGTCACCTGTCACATAGGGCTCAAATAGGCCTTTCACAGTTGCCATTTGGATCCAGCAGAGAGATCAGCACACGTACAAGGAGCCTTATCTGTCCTTGTGTTGCATTTCTGTAAAGGGCATTGTAGGTTCCATGACAAAGTGTGGGCAGTTATATTAACGGGTACAGGACGAGTGGTGTAAGTCATATTTGCTGTATGTCACTGCACACTTGCAAAAGCGAACCTTTTGGGTTGCAATATTTTCTGTTTTTCATGTCATGTGTGGGAGGTCGTGATGTCTCTTTGCACTTTCAATCCAGTCAAACATATTATTGACCACGCTTGGTCACTGAACAGCATTTTTTTTTTGCATAGACCCTACCCTCATGAACGATCCAGAATATCCTGCAAACAATACACGCCGGGGGTGATAGATGTTCCAGCCTCACAACAAAATCACGAGAAATGCCCACAATGATGCGCAGACCTTACATATTAATACACACAGCAAGTAGCTGCACAAATCTGCCTGATTGTGCTTCACGGGTAGTATACATGCCCCCCCACCCACCCACAGATGAGAGCCTGCCACGTATGTCATAGGGGCCGTTCATAAATGACGTCACGCACCTAGGGGGGGGTTAGACATTTGTGACGATGTGTGACGAGGGGTGGGGGGGGTTGAGAAATGTGACGTCACAACATCAGAGTGCAGCGCCACATTAAATACGCACTACAATGACAATAGTTTAAAGTTATTTGAAGCATGTTTTATTTTAAAATGGAAATATTTTTTTTGGGGCGGGGGCAAAGCTTTCTGACGTCATATTTGAGGGGGGTCTGACTTTTTGTGACGCCGTGTGACGAGGTAGGGGGTCAAAAATCGTCCAAAATCGCGTGACGTCATTTATGGACGGCCCCATAGGTATTTTTTTTTAAAACAGCGTGGGGGATTAATAATGAATGAAGTGTCAACAATTTACTCCGCTGGGTAGACGTGGGAGGCCACTGATGGTGCTGCAGTGTAAAAATAAATGCACTGAAAAACCACGGATGTATATTTACTCTGCATTTTGTTTGCCAGTATAATGTTGTGTTATCGACAGTGTGCTTTTAGTTATCTCCTATTGCCTCGTGACATATCAGTTTTATCTCACTGTGCCTTGGGTCACTCTTCCACTGAATACTAATTCATCATTTTTGCTTGAATAATAACAACGAATGCCAAAAGCAAAGGTAACGGTCACATTCATTAAACTAAAAAGGGGTTGAAACAAAAAAGTGCCTCTGCGTTGTTTTGGTTGAGTTGGCATTCAGTGCTGCATTTACCAGGCTATGCCGAGCACAGTCGTTAGAATATGACATGAAAAGTCCTATGCAATGGTGAACACATTAGGTAAGTACATTGAAGTGTGTTCGATGTTCTACCTATTTTAAATGCTGCCTAGGTCGTATTGCAAAAACGTGTGTTAATCGACCGTGCTTGCTATACTCGAGAAATGATACTTCATATTTTAATTGGCAATTTGATACCATGAAAGATTCAAAATGTTGTCTTGCATTTACAACAGCCTCTCCCGGTTGAATGTTTTACAAAATACCATTGGCGTCCTGTCCATATCAAAACAGATAAACGATTTGGATATAATTACAGTCTAAGGGGCTCGTTTATACTGTATGGGCACCATAAAGCACAACAACACATTCACTCAGTGTTAAAATAGTTGAATTTAAAGTGGTCTGTTCGTTTATGACAAACATCTTTAAGTTCCTTAAGTCCGGATGTCTCCAGCACAGCATGACAGATGTTTTTTTATCGCTTTCTTGCTTGCTTGCTTTTGTGATCATCAGCAACACTGTAGCCAGTTGTACCATTTCCACAAGGAAGTAACAGCTATCCATTAAAACCATTTGCCTCAAATTCACAGCAAAAAAAATTCGCTTTCATATAAAAAAAACCTTGTTTATGAACAAATTAAAATGACTTTGTTAATGAAAAAATAGAGGAGAAATTATATAGACGGCGTTTCTGATTGGTGTTATATTACTCGTTTTATTTTCACGGGACGTTAAAGAAAGGTCAGTGTTCACGAAGACCATTGTCACGTGTTACCGTCATTATGGCGCGTGCCCTACACATGTGGTGGAAATAGAGTTTGGCGTGGAAAACTTAAATTCCGCAGGACACAGGAGTGCTTCAGCCTTGCATCGTGTTAGTTGAGAGTCCATGATTGTGGCAGTGTTATTGAATCATTGGTTCCAAATGCTGAATTGTCGCAGTTGTGAAAACGAGTGCTACAGTGGCCCAAATTGCTAAAACACACCTTTGGGAACGATTCGCTGCCATATTTCTCCATGACGATCAATAAATACAGCCAATTGTTGAACATGCGATGTATTTTTAAGATTGCATTAGTGCCAATTGAAGGAACATTTACAAATGGAAATATTTACTCACTCTCTGTGTGTAAAGGGCAGGCAATGTAATGGCAGAACCTTGTTGTTTTATTGCTTATTGTTGGAAAATCTACCGGCTTAAAACCAGACGCTCTGTTATATTATGTTGGTGTGCCAACAAAAACAATGTGATTTATGAAATTTGGAAGTCTTGTCAAGTTTGAATGAATCCCATGACAGCCCTGAAAACATGGACTTGGTATTTGGAAAGTAAAAAAGCAAAAACTTTCATAAGCCGAACTGCTGTCGCTCACAAAATTGCATCCGCAAAAATCATGGCATTGCCACAATTCTGAAAATATACCAACGGCTGACGTAAGCTGGATGAAGCACAATCTATTTATTTGTAAAACTGCTGTCAAAATGGTAATTTGTGCTATTAAATTGTTGGATTTTCAATGCCACCACGAGAAACATTGTTTTGAGAAGATAAGTAAAATGTCAATATGTTCTCAATAAACGCTCATCTTGCGAAGGCACCGGCCCCTATGGGCTCTGGGTGCGAGTTTGTGGGTGGAAACCTTACAGATAGAAATCCTCGAACAATATCACCACAGCCCATTCTCCACAATTTCAAATCTAAAAACAATAACTTGTTGAATAGGTCAGTAGATATGTTTGTGTTTTTGTAATTTTCTAAGACATACATTTGCTGAAAATAAAACAAGGTGCTAACTTTATTACATAGTGCTGCAATTCCAAGAATTTTCATGAGGTTAATCAAGATTGTGTTTTAGAATTGTGTTCTCCATATACACGGTAATTGTATAATTTTACGTAGAATTGGGCGATATAATCCCTGTGAGTGATGTCCATTGAGTCCAGTTTTGGAATTCCGTGTAAGTCCAGTATATGTTTTCCTGAACACTAATAAATTGCAGTTGACAAAAACTGGTCGTCTTGTGTATTTCATGCTCGATTTGAAGTTTTCGTGACTGCAAGGATCCATACTCTGTTTTTTTCGGTAAAGTCAAGTAGGTGAAAAAATAAAAATTAAATTAAATTAAAAATAAGAATAAAATAAGAAATCTAATTTAAAATTTAAATAACCAAATTTAGTTATTTCTATTTAGAAATGACTAAATTTAGTTATAAAATGTAGTTATTTCAAATGTTTTTAATTGTATTCTAATTTTTATTTATATTTTATTTTATTTTTATTTTTTCACCTACGTGACTTTACCGAAAGAACCAAAGAGTATTTCATGCTAATTTGTCACCACTATGCTAGCTTGCAAGGAGTTATAACTGCTCAAATTCCACCCCCTAAAATGTGTCAGGGGCACAACCGCTACAATAGCCGCATGTGGTGGTGTGTAATATTTGCAGGGCAGGCCCAGCTCTGATTCGATACCAATGGACACCAGTGTGTGTGGAGCCAGGGATCAAACCGGGGAAACCAGGACCGCAGTGCAGTGTGTGTGTGAACCAACATCGCCACTGTCAAATGCGCATGGGTGTGTAAAAGAATACACAATACGTATTTCACGTGTATTTAAAAAAGCAAAATAAAAATAGCATTCCGATGATTAATGCATCCTCTGTGGTAATGCAAACCACACTCTGACATTTTAGTCGGCATTCCTGCAAATTCTGAAAATAGCAGTGATATATTGTCACATGATTCATTCAACGCTAAAGGTGCAAATACAATTGAAGAGAAAAAAACCCTTGGTGCTAAACCAATTTGTAAACGTATTAACAGCCAGCGGAAGTTGAAACATCAAACGGGGATTGGGAAGCGCAGAGTGGAGGGGAAGAATAATGTTCACACGTGTTTCTTTGACTCCATCAATCTGCCGAGTGGCCGCATTTTGGCTGAATACAAATCAGAGATTCGGGATTATTGTTCTTTACGCCACGTATCCGACCTCCACATATCTGCCCTCACCAATTTATCTCCCACACTCAGTGCTGTATGTGTGCACGGTGTAACTGTCATTTTTTGTAGATGTTTACAAATCCGACCTTTGCAAATGACACACGGTGACATCCCGTGTGCATTCGCTCCCTTCCTGAGCGCAGCAAAGCGTGTAGCTACATTTAAAGCAGTTTGCACTTTATTTTTGTTAAGTAACTTATTTTTATTCTTGGTTCTTTCGGTAAAGACACGTAGAAGGGAAGTAATAAAATAAAATAAAAAATAATAATAAAATAATTCTCACGACGTTTATTTTATTATGTTTTTTTTATTATATTACTTCCCTTCTACGTGACTTTACCGAAAGAACCAAGAAGATGAATCCCTGCAGTCACGAAAGCTTTAAATCGAAATTTAACTTATTTTTGTCTGGTGGTTGTTACTGTCATATTTTTTAGCCGTTCGTGTATTCGACCTTTTCACATATCCGCCTATGCCTCAGTCCCCAGGGGGTCGGATATGCGACGTTGTACTGGATTGTTCAGTCAAATCAATGCAGATGGTAAATTAGACTACATAACAGCATAGCATTTGTTTGGATAAATAGGAAGGCATGATGGAGTACAATATTTCGTTTAGCAGTGCCATTTCCATTTTATCCATACACATCACTGCTTATGCATAGAAAGTATATATTTTGTATGCGTTTAACGAGGTAAAAGTAAGGAACAGTTTAAAAAGCACACAGATACGCACTCTGTATACATATTTAGTTTCTGCGTTTTCTCATCGTTTACAGATTTGAATTAGGGGCACCTTTACGAGTTGTAATCTGGGTCAGCTGCAATAAAACAAAAACCTATGACCCCCAAGAGAGTGGAGCACAACTGTGGGCATCTTTAGCCTTTATCCTATTCACCTCCATTATCTTAGCAGTTTCACACAACGGAACGAGGAAATCAAGCCAAACACAATTGGTGTTACCCCACAACAGCCACGTGCACTAAACAGTGATAATAATAATACTCCACCTAGTACAGTATGTAAGCTGTGTTTAAATACAGTGTATAGATACTGTGTATACACGTGTAGTGGCTTCCTTCATCCCGGAGAGACTGTGCAGGAGGCGTGAAGAGTTCAGATATCACTCACCACTGGTGCTAGCCATGGCTGAGAATTAAATTCAGGTGGACAGGTTTGTAAGGTAGTGCGCAAGCCACTGCACCACTGCTCCACCCCATAGTAACTTTGAGGTCCGTAAAAATGGGGACCACGTGTGGGAAGTCAACTATGGTCAATCCTGCTCAAAGACTGGCTCCACCATGGAAATGTGGCGTTTTCACTGCTGACTCTGGACTGGAAATGCAGTCGAGTGCCGTGGTCATGGAGGATTTGCTAGACACGCTGCCTTGTGACTGGAATTGCAGCAGGGATTTTATGTATAGGCATTGAGAAAGAAAAATGAAACAAACATGTATGACAATTATATGAAATGGATTTAGAAAGCTGTTGAACTGACAATAATTATAGGTAAGCTCAGTCAAAAGGTAGATGGGGAGTGGGGGGGCACAATGAATGGAATTAGGTAAGCCCGACCTTGAAGTGGCAGCATGGCTCATCGGTCAAAGCAGTGAGTCAGCACTACTCCGATCCTGGATTCCCATCTGGGCAGCCACCTGTAATTAAGCCATATTCTCAAGTGCATTGAATTGATGGTCTCAGCCCATTCACCAATGGCTGCACAAAAATAGTGTTGAGTGATTATTAGTCTCAATTAATTTGAGCCAAAATTCCAGATCTGAGAATTAAAGATATTGGGTTGACTGCCATTTGATAAACATTTCTCCATGCAGGGCGCAAGGATAATGTCACACCCTCTACTGTAGATAAAAGTTGTCACTCGAGGTAATTTGAAGGGATCTCAGAAATAATTCTACAATATGTCCTTCCGTGACACCAGATACCTAGCGTGGGGTGATGTACAGGTCTGCAAGAGTTTATCATGGCATGATGCCTTTACTCGACTGATCCGATAACACAGTTGGAACAAACAAAAGTTTCGCCTCTGTTTCCACATGTGCTGCTGGAAAGAAGATTGTAGGCGGGGCTTGGTGACGTCACTGGGTGTGGCTTGTCGGGGTTTTCCCACCTTGAGTAGGTAGGATGTGAGGTCAATCGCCAAAGGGAACCCGAGCAATTTATCACAAAAATGTGTCGATTCCAATTTTTAGTCAACTCACCCTCCGAGCTCTATACAAGAAACACGAGTGACACCTACTCTGATCCTAATGCTCCTGACCACACATGACCACTAGAGGTCATGGGAGGCTGCTTCACAGCCCTGTTTTATGGCATCATGAGTCACAGGGCTTTTAAAGCTAGAGTGCCCCGATGAAATATGAAAAAATCCCACAGCGATGGCAAGGGATGTGGATCACCTTCACCACCGGAAATCACGGCGATGCACTGATATACTTACTGGCAACGCTCATCGTTGACAACTGGTGATTGCGATGGCTATACAGAGGATAACTAGAGAGGCATAGAGATGAAGACAGACACAGGCAAATAGACAGATAGATAGCTGCACGTGGAAGATGCAGACAAATGCCAGTGTGACAGACCAGGGGACAGACAGAAAGACACAACAGAGGATGTGTGGATTTACAGCCCATTCTGCAGAACAATAAAAGATGCCTCCAGACACAGCCTAGCATTCTACGTTTAATTATTTTCAAAATTCGCTCATGTGTTCCACAAACAAGCCCTGCATATGCTTATTAAGCAGATGAGGATACATAATGATCTGTTGTCTGGATTTGCCAAGATCTGTGTTAGGGACGATAGGAGCTAATTTATAATAAAAATACTGTACGATACATTTTGGCTCCAGGTTACAAAACAACACGTTCAAGATCGCCCAACGACACAATGCATCTACCTGCAACGCATGCAAGGTGAAATGTGATTACATTAGGATCTGTCGGGTGCCCTGCTGTTGTGATGAATTAGACATTCAATATTATATTACGTTATTGCGTGTGCAGCTAATATGGAAGTGTGCTATGTGATATATTGCAATATCTACTTACATTCTGCATGAAGCAATGTCGCAGGGCTTAACTCATCTGAATTCTACTACTTAAAAACGTTGGGGCTGATATTGATGATCACTCGTTCATTTGAAAGGTCTTCATCTCATTATACGTGTCCTTTCAATGGGTGAACTTCCCTGCATTCCAAAACATTATTTGTAAAGATGAACACATTGAGCTGGGAAATGTTCATGGTTGAAACATGTAATTTGATGCAAACGATCTCTCCTGCTATTGTATTGGATGTGTTAGCACATAGGTTTTCACAGCGAATATTAAGATTCATAATTGATTTTTAGGTTAGGCCACGTATTGATCTAACCAAATGTGTGACGTTAAGACCTTTGGATTTTTATTATGACTTCTTGGATATTGTCCTGATGACGTTTAATGTAGTTTTAAATTTAACTTGATATCTAATTGCTAAACGTTCAATTGAAAATCGTTCTTCAAATACCGTTCAGCTGAATTTTTTTCATTATCCCATTAAATACATCTACACACATGGATTTGTTTGGCTGTCGGGTGGTTGAGGGTCTTAACGAAACATTTGGCCAAATCATTGTGGCCTCGCCCAAAAATCAATTGCGAATGTATTTGGATGTTGTTTCATTTCTACATTCAATAAAACACTTCAATGTAGTGATATTAATTGTATATTCTTGCCATAATTTAAACTGAACAAAACATTAATTAATTTCCAAACACCGTTCGTAGGATATACATGCATGCACTTCATACAAAATATCTATCTTATTTATAAACTGGCTCCTGCCATAGGAATATAGAATTTCTTCCAATATTTTAAGACCATAATTGGAGATGAGTGCTAAACTTTGTTTGGCCATGGACACACGCACACACACAAACCGAATAATTAACGCTACACACTGAATATGTAAATTCGCACATTTTACATATGCACGGGTAAGTTACTGTAGGTAATGCGAATGGTACCTATGCCTGCTGAAACGAAAATCTCTGCCCAAATGTAATTTAATACTCATGTACTTAAGAAACTTGGCCAATTGGTGTGAACATATGAAACTTGTGAGAGGACAATAATTGAGATAATTTATAAAAACATATTTTTCATAATTCCAATACCATATATAATTCATGTTTTAAGAGATGTTTTGAGAATAAGCTCTACCTGAGAAATGTATTTAATATCTCTGATTGACAAGGCAGCAGGATTGCTTTATCAGTCACTGCCAGTGTGAACGCGGTTTAAATATATTACGCATATTCAAGACGTGTAATATGTGCAACAGACACGCACAAAAAAGCCAACTCAATGAAACAACCTTCTGTTCTTACCACTGTTACAATAACAGTCAGAAGATACATTTCAAAATCCATAGATTTCTCAACCACCGCCGTTTATAATTGTACGATGTATATTTAGTCCTTGTCATCGTTGTTCCATCTCCCAAATTTTTTCTCTTTATGTGTGTGTGTGTGCAAACGTTGAATCCGCGCGCCACCCAATTAAAACGGTGCAGTCGATGCAAATGTTCCGTTCAAAATCTCCCACATCACAAATTGACGTTGCAGCACCAGCGGGTGGTGGTGGTGGGGGGGGTGCGTGGAGAGGGGGGGGGGGGTGCCTGGTCGCCTTGGGGGCCCTTTGGGGAAAACGGCCCCCGGGGCTCGGCGGAGCGAGGCCACTGCGCGCTCCTCCCATTGGCCGCACGCACAGAATGCAAGGGGCAGGGAGGGAATGGGAGGGGATGGGAGGGCGGATTTCACATCTGCTCGACGGTGTCACCGCCGCGATTATATTTTTTTGTTGTTCTGTGATCGGGCTGCTGGCGGTGGCAGTAGCAGCAGCAGCAGCGGCGGCGTTCAGCCAGCGGACGGTGCCTCCACCCACCACCCCCTCTCTAACCCATCCACCACCAAACCGAACGGGCCATTTAAAATCTTCGACGGCGATCGCTGAAAAACAATTGCACGGCCAGAGATGCGCCTGTCGCAGCGCAAGCGCGCCCTTCTCTCCATCGTGCGGCGGCGATATTGAAGTGCGAATATTGCCAAACAAGCCGTTCATTTCAATGCACTGACAGACGGACGGACGGAGAGATTGAATTGCGCAACTGGGGGTGCGAAGGATTTAACGCGGAACGGCATTTTTGTTGTTCTTGTTGTTGTATCGCTCTCTCAGTCTCTCGTGGAGGCTCCGGGGTGATGAAGCAAGCCCCCTTCATTGAGAGGATGATTTCCCACCGAGGAAACGAGTAACCGAGTTCCCTGTATGCCCAAGGGCGGTCGCGGAGTCTTCAGACGCCACGGGCCGGTCGGTGTCTCGTTGGGTTGGAGAGCGATTTGCTGCTGCCTCGACACTCCAAGGTCAACGGCAGCGATGTTCTGCACCTCGGATCGCATCGACACAGCCAGAGATCTTCTCCGTCGCTCCAACATCTACAGGGGCAAAGGCACGCGTGTTTAAGAGACACCCGAGCGAACAAGAGGTCAGTCATTTGGGTGGCTTTGCTCATCGCAACCCACCCTTGGCGCTGCATTGACGGCAACGACCACTGCTGCTGGAGGATACCGATTTTGTGGTGGTGACATTGACGCCGTGGGAAATCGGAGGGGCGAAGAGAGAGAGCGAGAGAAGAAGAAGAGACTGAGAGGTCGGCACACAAGTGCGTGGCTTTCGGGCACTGGGCAGGCAGCGGTGAGCCACTAAAACAAGGTGAGGCAAAAGCCCCTTTTCGTTGTTATTGTGTTGACAGATTTGTACGTTTCCACTCGAGCTGTGATGGAAAATAAACACGTTGCAGCGTCACAGGGGTTTGTTTTCGCGATTGACGCAGCCGCTAATTGCTAAGTGTGGTATTATTTGTTTGGCAGCATTCATTCATTCATGCCAGCGTTATCAGTCAGAATCACTGAGGCTGTTGAGCAGCAGTTATGCTGGTTAGTGTGGATGTAATAAAGGATGTTGGGTCGTTGTATAGAGAATGTTCTATTTGGGGGGGTGCTGATAACACAGATTTGTGTGAACATGTTTACAATTTTTAAGATTTCTAATCGTTGCCAGACATACGTGATAAAGCCTTAAATGTTACATTAAAATTGTAATGAAATTCATATTATTGGGTATTTCGGTAAAGCCACGTAGATAGATCAAATAATAAAAATAATAAAAAATATCACGACGTTTCGATCGCAACACAAGCAATCATCATCAGGTGAGAAATATCTCGGGAGTGCTGCTGAGAATATATATTGAATGAAATTGTATTTTGCAAATATTCCTCATTGGGTCACCCAACTGACATTACTTTACATATTTGGATAGTGGCGGGAGGGGGGGGGCTAACTTCAGCATGAAAGAAATAATTAAGGATAATGTGGAACTCCTGAGGTTCTTCTGACTGTAAATTATCTTGTAATTCCAGAGCCTGGGAGAGAAGTACAGTAGTAATGGTTTGAAAACATGAGAGAGACATACAATCTGGTGCACAGCGGGTTTCATATTAGGTGAAGTTTAATCCAGCCTAAAAACCACTCGACTAGAATTCTATGCAAGATCGTGACAGTGCCGAAACAATGCGCTACACACAGTACTTACAATATTGCGTGCCCTTGCACACATACACAAATGTTGTACACATTTTGGGCGCTAAAAAATGTTTTGAGAATAATGAGCAAGAATCAAATACTTATATATAAATATATAAATCAGAGGCTGCGGGTGCATTTGAAAATTCACGTTCGAATATACTTTCACCACCTCACAATTGCATACTCTGTATACTACATGGCAACGTACGGTGCGAAAGAAGTTCAACACACATACGTACGGTATACGTATACCATTAACCCAGGAAAGCCTTACTTAATCTCAATACTTTTTGAGCTTCATCAGCATTTAGCTTCACATGGGATGACACAGGAGAAACATGAGAAAACTCAGCACGCATCCAAGAAGCCAACCCTCAACACTGCCATCTCCTGGCCACCTCACGTCTACAACACCTGGCAAGCCCCTGGTGGTCATCCATCCTCGTACTAACCAGACTTAAGTTTGTCTGGCCTGCAAATATGAATGACATTGGGTGCATTAAGGATGATTAGGTCGTAGATATGCACAGACTGTATAAATTACGAGTAACCAGCAGTAGGCTTTTACATCACATTCCACCATGGGAGGCAAACTATTTGGTTCACTGATGATGGGCAACATATATTTTTCAATGTTTAGTATGACATTTAAAAGCAATTTAAAACTCATGCTGAGCCGGAGCTATGAGTGAAACCAGTCAACCTCCGGGCTGTAATTTTTGGACATCCAAATTGTCGTTGGTCAGCATATACTCGACTAGAGTTGTGCCAATTTTAAACTTTGTAGAGTGACCGGATCATCATAATTTACATTGGTCACTCACTCGGTACCAATTGTCTGTATGCCCAGTAATTATGATGTGCATGTAGCGATTATATACATAATTACAAAAGCGAATGTGCCATCCCAATTATGGATACGCACTATTTTGAGGCTAAAATACATTGAGATGTCCACACTTTTCCCCACAAACAAGCCTCATGTAAACATCACCTCTACTGGGACTCGAATCTGATACCAGCCCAATCACATCAAGGAATCATCACATCCCTGTGTTTATAAATAAAATGTGACCCTGCAATGTGTTTTTAGTTCGTAAATTAGTTACAAAATAAATGTGTGCTCAACAAAGCCAATGTAGATTGATGTACGTGTTTCACAATGGGCTCTCTCACCTCGTTTTAAATAATGGGCTCCATTCATTATTTTATTTGCAATTTCCTAAGCAGTCTTCAAACAGCGTGCATCAGCAGAATGCAGACATGAGATTGATTAGAAGTGAGCCAAAGGCAGGAGGAGCGCTGATAAGAATATGGCACACGCATTTTTTAAAGCACGCTGCGTTATTTCTAAATATGTGGTTAAGGCAGCGCGTACATTCTGCATGTTTGAAGGACATCCTTGCCAATCAAAACGATTGTTATTTAACAGTCCTTATCGAGGTTACTTATGTGGTGCTGCTGCTGCTTCGCGCTGTCAATCAAGGATACCTTAAATTTCGATTTAAAGCTTTCGTGACTGCAGGGATTCATCTTCTTTGTTCTTTCGGTAAAGTCACGTAGAATGGAAATAATAAAATAATAAAAATAAAACATAATAAAATCATTCTCACGACGTTTCGGCCACAACGCAAGCAGCCGTCCTCAGGTGAAGACCAGGTCTGTCGGGGAGACAGCGTCTGAATGAAACAACACCATGCTGTTGGTCTTCACCTGAGGACGGCTGCTTGCGTTGTGGCCGAAACGTCGTGAGAATTATTGTATTGTTTTATTTTTATTATTTTATTACTTCCCTTCTACGTGACTTTACCGAAAGAACCAAGAACAAGGATACCTTGTTTGTGTTATCGAATGACCACACGTACAGATGCTCTACCAAGAAGCATGCAGCCAGCGTGTGAACCAGAACATTGTTTTCAATACCTTTTAGACACAGCAGTTCAATTACACCGACACAGTGGGTTTACAATGGAGGCCCTAGTTTAAATGTTGTCAATTTTTCTACGAAGCGTATTAACTCGCACCAACGACAATGGCACAGCGCGAATTAGCCTCACGTTGCACGGGGGTAGTTATAGGACTTTGTAAAATACAATCACAAGAACAGCACGGTATGACCTCGTACCAGTAACATGCCTGCTGAAAAACAGTGATGGATACTGGCATCATAAAGCCTAAAGGCATCGATGATACGTTTTCGTAGAAATCTATTCAAGCAGCACTTAAAAGTGGAAAAGTATACGTAAATCAATTATAAAATGATTAACAGCCCAAATAATGAAGGCCTTCTCATGCCGTGTCGGTCATGTGGATTGTTTGACCATAACTCACGAGGATGGTCAGTGCAGCTAATGCATACATTTCCCAATTTAGTCATCATTAGACTGAAAACTCATTTCTTTAGAGCTGATGTTTGTGTTTAGTTTGTTGCTGTTCCCTGGCACCCCCAATTAGCACGCTTGACTACATACGGTGCGAAAGATGTTCAACGTGCATCCATCACAACTTACATACAACAATGATTTCATTGTAACAGATGTGTGGATTCAAGGTTATTTGCTGGTTGACATCAGATCCGGAAATGTCTAACGATGAATATCCAGCTTCGACCGCACTGTGCTTTCTGGTGCAGTGGTATTCTGTAAACGCGCAGGGCAATGCAGTTTTAATTATTTCCTAGAATAGGCCTGAGGTTTTTTTACCCCACACTAGTTCGCATCTGCAATTAAAATTCAGCTTTTTTAAAGTAAAACGAACAAAGAAAACCAATTCAAATTGTTCTATTTTTGTTATTTTTAACGATCTACATTCTAGCGCAAAGGGAATCTGAAAAAAAAACAGATTTAGGCCAAATATGTTTAAATACATTTTCTGTGCAATTTGTGTACACATTTTCTGCATACTGCCCCTACCGACCGTGGCTTTAAAGGAGCTAAGGGCTGAATATTATCTTACGATGGTAACCAAATCCAGTATCTCTCCATCAATAATTGCTGGGCCTTGTGCTTCCATCGATTGAGGAGTCTCTTTCCAAACAACTCCTTGGAGTGGAAGGAGATGCCTGCAACAAGATTCATATGCCCCTGATGGGAAGCCCAATCATATCCATCTCTTCCCCATCACCTTTGATCTTTATCACCAACGTGGAACTAATACTTATCTTGGTTCCCTCACCTCAAACAGAATATTCATTCTCCCTGCGCTCAGTGCAGGCTGTATGTTGGTGTTATTTAATTGCACGTGATTGAGGACATTTGCCTATTTGTGTAATTTTTCAGGTTGTTTCTATCAGCTTTTGGTCGAATAATGGCCAAATTGCCACTGCTTTCAACCATTTGTTGTCCAGAAATACATAAATGAAGCCCAATGCGCTTAAGCAATAATAATAATTTGCACGGGGATTGTTTGACCATATTCCACCACGCTCGTCAGTGCGGGTCGGTGAATATCAGCGTGGGTTTGGGCAAACATCGAATTCCGGTGCCCAGACACCCAAAGTGCCGCAGATCCACCCCATGGCTTTAATTCATAGATGTTATTCAAGCAAAAGGGGTAGAAGCAAAGATACATCGGTCCTTGCATAACGAAGAAAAAAAACCCTACATTTGTTTATCCTTCTTGAACCTGGATGTCAGACGTGAATGGTTAGAGACAACCTCTCTCCCTCCATGGACAACACAGGCTTACGCCTGTCTAGAGATCAGCATTTCTCTACGTGGACATAAAGTAGTCAAACACCTGTTCCATGATACCTACTGATGCCAACACGTTTCTTTTTTACGTACCCTAAGCTGGGAAGCTCGCGGGATTCAGTGTCCGTGTAATTACTGAGTAAGTGCCACTGAAATACTGGCTCTGGGCTCCGGAGAAAACAGAAAAAGGAAGAGTTGTCCCACCATCTCGAGCTCATCAATGGCGAGTTCCCACAAGCAGAGACTTCACAGCTGCTGCTTGTCAGCAGAGTTGGTAGGCAACATTGCAGCCTGCATTTTGTTTTTGTGCCATAATCTGTGTTGGACACAGCAGGTCCACCACCATTGGTGAGACAAGAATCTGCAGAGAGCAGTGTTTCACTGCCAGCTGCTTTAAAATTCCTCTCTGGATACCGAATTCAAAGGAATGACG